TCTGATTTCGATCGGGCGAGGCGCGATTCTGGATAATGGGGCGGTTGTGGGAATAGGCGATGTTATCCAGTGGGTATGACGATGACCTAGTTTTTCTTTGTGGGGAAGTGATAATGACGCCGTACGCATCATCTGTGACGACGTGCGATCTAGAACGACCGGTTTTAAATTTATAGACAAGCGACCCAAAAAATTATCAAATCTAACTACGTGATAAATGATGCTTTAGTAAAACTATCAAGTTTCCGTGAAAGCTGACCTGATTCATGGATTTATTACTGAGATAAGAGCGGCAACGTGGCGGACGCCGGATATACAGTCTGCTGAAAGAATATATACAGTGTTAAAATTCTAGCGCCAAGGGCGCTGGTGGCTGGAACGCCAACCTACCACTAATCCAATCGCCAGATGTCACCTCCTCCGACCCCCAAATTTCTGCCCCAACCCAATCAATACTTGATACCCGCTCCGCGGCACATTTTTAAAATAGACACACCGCCAAATAACTCGCTCATTTCGCGTTAACAATCCCAACACTTGCACTTCCCGCCCAAAATCGATACCCTTAATAAAACACATTCGTGGATTTCTTTTCCGAAAACACCCCATCAAATCTCCCAATAATTACACACTCGGGGGCAATTTTCGTTCCGACCAAACTGTGATATTATTTTCGAGTCAAACTGGAATTGAAGCAATTATCGTTAATTTCGGCAATAACCCGCTTTTAAGTGCATCTGCTCAAAATTTATTTTTTGTTGAGCAACGCACGACTCGAAATAGTCGCTAATGGCCAGATCACATGACGCGATATGAGAGCGCCGCTCGTCAAATCTTGCTTATTATTCAATTTTCGACATTTAGAAAATAAAATTCTTTATCGGTGGGGAAATCAGACGCGGACTTCGATATTGCAGAAGTGCAGAGACGTAAGCTAGGAGATGGCTTCGGCTATTGCAAGTCTAAAGCGACAAAGTGAGTTCCCGTCTGACGCTTTTTTTTATAAAAAAAGAACGTTCATAATTCGATAAAAAAGCAATTTTAAATACGTCCGATTACGGGTTTTTGTGTTGCGAGTTCTAAATATCCTGAACGAAACGAGATTGAACACGGTCTCATTTGAAACGAGTCAGGGACGGCAACAAGGTCCACTCATATTTAAGATAGTAGGGTGTGACCTTGTCTAGCTTGAATTTTTGAAATCGAGGCGGAGTTATACGAAATACAAACACGGGACGTCAAAGACCCGTACTTATTTCATTAACAACTGTCAACAATACAAAGCAAAATGCAAACAACACAGAATGCAATATTTATACACGTTCCACGGTGATGTAGCAATGGGAAAACTCGACACATGTTCCTGTAAAATGTGAAAACAAGTGCATATAATATCTAGGAGTAGTGCATTTTGTAGGATCTGACACAAATGGGTTATGCCCAAAATGGCGAAATGTGTTCACCTTGATGATTCTTTTTTTCTATAAAAATGGACTTCACGATTCGATAAAAGGTGATTTTAAACACATCCGATTAAAGTGGAAATGACCCCGAGTTTTCGTGTGGTGACTTTTAAATATCCTGTGCGAAACGAGAGTGAACGCGTTTGAAAGGCCTCATTGTTGGGACGAGTCAGGGACGGTGGCAAGTTCCGCTCCTATTAAAAACAGTGGTGCGTGAATACAAAGCGTAATATTTATTACACGTTCCACGATATGTAACGCAACAGAGATTGCTGTGAAATGGGAAAAAATTCATCAGTGTTATCTAGGTAGAAATGCATCCAGGCAGAGGTTAATCAAACTGGAGATTAAAACAACAGCAATTAGTGAATGCGAATTTGTAAGTCTTGACAAAAGAATTGCAAACAAAATAATACGCATGAGGAGGTCAAACTCGTTTGATGTTATTATATTTAACATAAAAGTGCAGTGTTGGTTGCCTAATCTCATAAGTTGAAATAAATTACTCCTATTTCTTAAAACATACAGTACCTAGAAGTTGTTTATGCATCACAGAACAACAAAATGTAGCTACTAACAACAAGAAAGTCGTATGCTACATTGTCTGTTTCCTTTTTTTTTTTCTTGCCTTTAGTTAGTCATTTATTAATTTAACGTTTACCGTTTATCCACTTCAATAATTATTACTTTAGTTCCATCAGTTTTAAAACGACTAGACTCAAGCATTTAAAGCGTAAAACTTCAGCTATTATTATGCGGAGCCTTGACCTTTGATAATTCATTTTTCCTGTTTTTACCCAGCCCATTTCAGTCAAACTAATCTTGCAATATAGACCTTTAGGATCAAATAAAAATAATCAAATTCTATATTATACCACTGTCGTTAGGAAAACCCTTAAATACAATACACCCCGTTTCATCAATCATGCATGTAATTTTCACGAATATTTCAAATTCACCTGCATTTATAAATTCTGAATAGCAGAAATAAAATAAGACCACAATGAAAACCTTCCAGCAGCACCTAAGGTCACAACTGTGAATAGATGAAAAAATAATTGCGTACCTATTTTTTTTATTGGTCCTTGTTTGTTATAAATAAAATAATCAGTCAACTGCGCTTTATTTAAATTTAAGTTTAATGAGTTTCATAATCAAAACATTGTAATTTGAAATATTAACATAGATATATGTTACAAACACATTTCTTCAAAAATATAGGTTACTTAAGGCATTGAGATTAGCAGTTGAATAATTTAATACCGTTATCCGATGCTTCTTCAACAATGTGACTACTTCAAGTTACTTTAGAAAAACTATTGGTAGTAGGTATAAACCGATAAGAAAAATTCAGCAAAGAGATTAGAATTTTCTTTACCATTACTCTCTACTTTATCTAAGTAGGACATTTGATCCGGAATGTTATCACTGACTGACTATTCTATCTTGAACCACTTTCAAAAAGAAATAGGGATTGCTGATAATGGAGGCGTTAACATTATCCACATTCAGTTTGTGGGGATTCTTACAAAGTTCCAATACAAATAGACATTTAAACCTCCTGATTGTTTCAATTTAGCGTGAGCTTTAACTTTTTAGCAGCAAAGTGTTTTTAATTCAGAATTAAACAATTTAGGATGTTAGTTAGATACTTTTAGTTTAATCACTGTTCGTGGAATGTATGCTTATATGGCAAAATTTACAATATCATAGAAAATCGTTACCATTCATTCCAGTGTATGCAAGTCAAATTATTATCATTAAAGAGAAAATAATTACGATTCAAAGAAGCATTAAGAACAACAGAATTCGACCAAAAATAGGGGTTGTAATGTAAAATAGGATCAAATAAGGGATCAATAGCTGAACAAATTTACAAATCAGAAAAAATATTGGTAAAAACCAAATAAACAAAAATATTTTGATCATTAGGAGTCACAATTAGCTAATGTAAATTTAAAAATGAATAATATACAACTCAGTGGTAACCCTGATTAATACCAACATGTCCATATTTATTTATACCATTTAATGTGAAGTGTTCAAGTCCTCCACAGTTATAACATTCATTAATAAGTAATGACTATCCTGATCCAGATTGATTAATTCTTCCTTTTATTTCTTGTATGAAATAATAGGTACATGTTGAATAGGATTTCATACAAGAAATAAAAGAAACAACTAAATACAAACACACGATATACAAACTGTATACACCAAAATACCAAAGGTTCCCAACAATTCTTAGCAACTCTTTCAAAAATAAAACAGAGTTCTTCGAGATATTTTCAAATTCTTTCAAAAATAAAACACAAGCGGTCTGGAAGTTCTTTCATATTTTTTAAAAAAGACACGAGGCAGCTCCAAGATTCTTCCAAACTTTTTCAAAAACCAACATCAAATAAGGTGCGAATTTTATTTTTTTGGTGGTACCCTTATAGTACCCTTTCAAAGGCGCTACCGTAGGAAGCGAGTCGACCTCAACGGATCACTATAACGTACTCTCATTGCGCTGTCATCGCAACGATGGTCCAGGGTAGAAGGGACAACCGCTATAAAAGGGCTGCACTTAAGATTGTGTTTGGTAGAGCTTACGCAATCCGATGCTCTTTTCGGCAGCGGATTACTCTTCTCAGGGATTACGTGTGCGACACAATTTCTTCTATGACGAGCGAATCACGTATAGAACCGTAATTCCACTCCACCCGTGACGAGAAGACTGTAAAGCTGACAATGGTGTGGAGTAGGACGATTTCATTCGAACCCTGACGTTCATCAATCCCAATACTTGACTTGTACATATATATATATAACAATATTGCTTGTATGTATCCCCCTACAGTCGCAATTTCTGTAGGTTAAAATAAAATTAGGTGTGGATTATTAAACTATCAGTCAAGACGCAATGCAGATGTCTTTCCTGATGTTCCGTTTTAGGTGCACACAAGTGAACCCTCTCATTATAGGCTTCTGTTGTATGCATTAATTCAAATGTGAATGGCTTCTTAAAAATCTGTCTAATGTTCTCAAATAATTTCCCTTTTGTCACGTATTCACAACGATCTTCTCGCGTTAGCTACGCCGAAGTTCGGTTGAAAATTGTCTCTAATTGGTCGTGAAACGAATGTGTGTACTTGGTAAAAATCGATCACCGTGCGAGCAATTAACGACAATTATTCTCGAATTTATGGCAATTAGCAGCGCCTTAGTATAGATAATCGTAAAGTATACGTTACTTGCATAATTCAGTTAAGAAAGTTTGCCTTATACCGAGGCTTATTAGTATTGACGGCCTTTGATGAAGTTCTGACCTATATTCCGCGCTCAAACTGAAACGCGATGTTGAGGATCGGTTTTATGTTTGGACACATAAAGTTTTACGACATGAAACGACATAAATTCGAGAAAAAATTTAAAATGGGCGAGGAAGGCGGACAAATTAAAATTGCGGAATATACGGGTATTTATTGCACATTATTATTTCACACAAAATAAGCGAATTTTTCTTTCCTGTCTGAAGTTGGTTGTTCGTTGCAGGTTACCAGTGCCTTGGTTGATTTTCGGCATCATCTACGGCGAGCCTGTAGAGGTGACTTCGGCGGGAATGGTGTGCTCCATAACGATCCTGTTCATGATGCTCCTCTTCGTCATCATGTCGATAGCCTGCTTCCGGTGGAAGATGAACAGAGGACTAGGATTCACCATGTTCTTGTTGTACTTCGTCTTTGTGGCAGTGTCGCTCATGTTCGAATACAACTATATAGTGTGTCCCGTTTAGAATGCCATCATGCACGACATTAGAGACTCGTTTTAATAGCCATTATTATAGCAATTGTACTGATCACACTTTCAATATAGCTGATTGAAATAATGAATAGCAGTTTAGAAACAGACATTCGTATTTCGCGCCGGGTCCTCGCCAGTCACCTCGAAATTACTTGGTATTACCGAAAACGACACCAAATTCAAGCCACACGTGAGAGGGGCCGCTGCAGGGAGGGGCCCGCGGGGAGACGCACACCCACAGCCACTCGGACGCCGCGAAATTGGCGCCAACACTGACCGGGCCAACCAGGAGGCCGTTGCCTAGCCGGAGTCGGCGCGCTTTCCGTCTCCTGACCAATCGCCGCGGAGCGGAGGCTTGACCCTGGCCAATGGGCGGTCGAGCTCGCGGCGCCAAATTCGAAGGAGTCGACGAAATTTGTTTTTGGTCACGGAAAGACTGAGATTCAGCGCGGCCCCCGCGCTCCACCGGCCCCTGCACCGCACACCACTTTCGTTCCGGCTGTCGATGCACTTGTTATTTGAAGGTCACTGTACGGGGGAGGGCCCGGGATAGTTGTTAACGCTATTGGTGTTCAGCGGATCATGCACAAAGAAAAACAATATCGACTTCCATGATAGTGTGTGGACTTTAGGTAGTAGAAATCTCCCCGACCATGATAGCAATAATATCTATTAACTACAATAGATTTTGAACTTTTTTACAAAAGGGGGACGTTTCGTAATAACTAGGGAAAAACGAACTAGACATTGGAAGTAGCATTCTTTCATTTATTTCCGGATAGCGCGTTTTCGTAGTGGTATGATTTGAGATGTAACTTAAGAAAACCGAGGAAGACTAGACCTGGCAAGCGCCCAATTCGCTTTGAACAAACGCACACGACAACGAACACCCTAAAATCGAGCTGAACAAATCATTGCGGCATGCAGAGAGTTCAAAGTTGTTTGGGCAAGGCTGTACGTTACAACTTCCCGAAAATAATATGTTGCACTGTAGAGTTAAGTTATAGCGCAATATACATATCTAGATTGTAGATATATTTTAGCATAGTTATTGTGTAGAAAGCATGTAAATAACGTAATTGTTTGGGCACTTGAGATCTTCGCAGGTCATTGCTGAAAGTGCCTACTGTTAATTTGTTTTACCCGATGTGATACATTAACAAATGGGATTTGTAAGTATAAATGAAAATTTTAAAATCACACTCCTTTATTTTTTTGTTCGCGTTTTCTTTCACCGACTTCGGTTCATCATCGATAGCGGCGACGCGAGATATCAAACCAAAAATCGAAATCGCCTTAATTTAAACCATAATTTTCGTAAACTCCCCTTCGCTTTTTAAAATTTTATTTTAAAATGACTCTTTCCGTGTCATCATTTTTGAATTGTACACCATTCTGTAACCTTACAGAAATCAAAAAACTATAAATCGTTGTGTTTTTAAATGTCACAGTGTCAAATTAAACTTATGCAGCACAAATTTCAACAAACAAACATTTTGACACAATTTTAAGAAATATATTTTGTATTCTTTCTACTTTTAGCAGTAAAGTGTCTTAAATAATTCGAGACGGCTTAAAATGTCAAACTGCTTATACGCATAGTGATGATTTAGACCTGAGTGCCGCTTACTCGGAAAGTGAACTGTGCGACGAATGTGTCCCCTTGTCGAAAAAGTGACCGTACTAATAACTGAAAATAACGTAAAAACCTCACATTTGCGTCACTTGCTTGTTAATATAATTTATCTAAATGCAATGCGCTTAGTGAAACGCTAAAAAATTAATAAAATTTTGAGTAACAATTTAATAGTAATCACTAAATGTCATTATAAATACAGCTAGAAGTGAAATTTTGTCGTTGGATATTTAAAACTTGGTAATATATGTATGGCAAAAATTTGATAAAAACATTCGCTTTAATAATTTATTGTACCTAAATGTGCCTCATACTTCGAAATCGAGCTGTGCTAGGACTGTGCCGCCTTTTGCATGTACTAAGTACCACGACATGACGCTTTAGAAATTCTTAAATATTATAAATCTTTATAATTTTAGGTTATCATAAAATTCAACTCATTAGTAAAGTTGTTTCTAGCATCAGAAATTTTACTACCATCTGTAAGATTTTTTGCAGTTCTTTTCAGTTTCCTGTACTTTGATGAATATTCTTGAATGTTTTAAAAGCACAATTTTGATATTTCTGAAAATGTAAGCACTCACTTGTTGTTTATGAAGAAAAATTGTAGTGTAAAAGAGACATAAATCCCATTGCGGTTGAAGTAATTGCGTCAGCTTAAAACAATTAATATTTTAAGTTATTTCATTGTTTTCTATAGTTCTTTGCCTGTTAGTAGTTTTAATTAGATATGTAGCGGCAAAATTTACCTCTAGCTGTAACTCGTTTTCAAAATTTTCGAAAGCGAGGATTCGCTTTTGTTTTTGATGCATCAAACTAGATCAGTTTAATTGTGCCGCGTATTTCAAAATCGAGCTACACTGTGAATGTGCCGCCTTTTGCATGTATCGAGTACAACTACAAGTGAACATAACCTAGCACTTGTGTTATTAGTTGTGACGTAGAATCGCTTTTACATGGCTTGTTGTTGGCGACAAGTACTATTTTGTGTTCCATTTTCGCGTTATTTAGCCGGGTTTAAGCTAAATTATGCAACAAACGCTGAATATGCGAGCCAAGCGGCACATTAAGACCCAAATCATCACTCTTTACCTCCGACGATTTTTGACACGTCGCACACGAAATTAGTTTGCTCTTAAACCGTCTTTACGAATTCTATTTGTGTAGCAGCAGCCCCCTTTTCCGCAGTAAGAATTTATAATGTTGGCACAGTTGAGACGACTCTACAAATTCGCACTGCCACTTTTGGATTGTTTGTTTTGTAGTGTTTGTTGGTTTATAAATTCCGTTGCCAACAACTCACACGCCAACAGCATAAATTCCTCGTTAATAAAGCACGATTTGCGGCGTTGATGTCTCGCCCCTCCGCTCCTCCAATCAACATAAATCAATCATAGCAAGTGCAATATTTAACAAAGCGTAGTACCTAGGAGAATCTTAAGAGATTACCTCGGTGAGTGTCTCTCTTAACGTAGCTAGGCTTAAAATGTACTTTAAACACGCGGTACTTAATATACATAATTGTAATAATAAATTTCGGAGGCAAAATTGCGATTTGATTGACGGCTTCTCAATTTTTGACTATACATATCTACCTACGAAATTGTTTTGTGATTTTAAAAAATTTGTGATTCTCGTTAGTGGTGCACCGTACTTACGTTGACGTGCTTAATTTGCTTCGACTGTACATCGATCTTATTTGGAAATGTAAGAAGCTTGAGACTATCGTAGCGTTAGTTTCGATTATTTTTCTTTTAAAGTAGAAGACGAGGAGATAACTGTGAGCGAAATTTAGATTTGAAGCTACTAAAAAAATATTACTAATCGTGACGATGGAACAAACTGTAACACGCAAATAGTCCAGTAGGGTAGGCATATCATATTTCAGATTCCTGCTTGATATTGTTAATCTTCTAAATACTATTATATATTAACACATCTTTAGGATCTAGAGTTATTTAGAAACTATACTCAAGATATTGTTATGATATTGTGGATATTATATACTTATACCTTGTTAAAACTTGACATTATTACGGTTTCGTTGGAAATTCCTCCATTCCATCTGGATCGTTGCAATTTCGTATGCTTATTTAGACTGTTGTTGAATATGAAAAATTCTTGTTGATTCAAATTTTCGCACTTATGAGTTCGAGAGCAATGAACTGTTTCGTATTCATCATAAATAAAGGAGTGATTAATTTGTAACTAGTCTGTAAAACATACAATCTCTTCAAACCGATGCCACCAATATACTTCACTGTAAAATAATAGAAAATGTACTTTTTGTAGATCTTTAATTGTAAGACGAGCAAAAGGAAATATTTTTGTATCTTTGATATCGCTGATTTAGACACAAAGAAGCAACATCAAAGACGTGAAATATTTCGCATTTGTTGAAAATTTTCTTTTGTAAAGTCATTTTTAAGACATAAATAACAGAGATTAAGATTGTTAATGGTGTATCTAGTAGATTGTTATTGCTAGAGAATTTTTATTATTATAGTAATGTAATATTGACGAAACCATTTCATGGTATGTTACTTTTTGCCGACAATATAATATGTATATTAAAGAGACTCTCATTAAAACCACTTCGAATTCAACTTATCTTTATTTCTTCTTACATAATCACAAATCAATATAAAAGTTAACACGAAACACTGGTAAGCGACTGACTGTGTTCATAATTTAAAATAAATAGGAAAGCGAAAGCCGAGGAATGAAATTTAAAAACTATCTTCTCCTTTACTGTAGTTTTCTTGCAAAACCTTGAACTTGTCGACGAGGCCGTCGACTGCTATTTCACCATGGACGACATTGTCGCGGGTTCTCACGTTCACGGTATTACTACTGCGCTCCTTCTCACCCACCACTGCAAAATAAAACACAAAACATTTTCTCTCTATCTTCTCTTTTATTTTTGTAGGCGCGCCTTTAGTTAGGTTAAGCCTCTTATCCTCGTTGCTGGAGGTAAGCATCACGTTTTCCAAAAAAAAAAAAAAAAACCAATTGCAACAGAATTCCATTTAGCTCCAACGAGTCACTGTGAAAGAAACACGTTGGTCACGAAAGTGGGAAAGATCAAAATGGCATCTGAAAAGGTTCTCCGGACCAGATCGCGAGCTCGTTTCTATCATATGACGTCATTAGTTTTGATTAGATTACATCAAAGCCGCCAAGTTTCCGCTCGTTTTTTATTTTTTGTGACCATAACCGGTAGTTTTTTCCAACTTACCCAGAATAAAATTGAACTGCGCCAACTGCGCGTTCCTGATTTTCTTATTCATGGTATCTCCAGCGTCAGTGTCTACCTCAGCCATAAACCCAGCTTCGTGCAACTTCTTTTGAACGTGCTGCGCATACTCGTCATACGTAGGTCCCACTGGAATCACCATAGCCTGCCTTGGTGACAACCAAAACGGCCATTTCCCTCCACACGACTCGGTCAAGATCGCAATCATCCTCTCCACTGACCCTAAAATCGCCCTGTGTATGATAACTGGCCTCTTCTTCTCCCCACTCTCGCTAGAAGTAAAAGTGACATTTTTTGATTTTTTTATCCTTGTAGGTGTAAGGATGCTTTTATGCTCCAATTAAACTTAATCTGGAGAATCGCCACAAATGCTGCACAAGGCATTAATTAATAAATAAGTATTCATACGAATTCATTAACTGTCATTAATTATACAAGAACATTTTCTCAAATTCTGTTGGCAAAACTTAAATGCACTAGTCCTTAGTGCGCATGCGCATAATCAATTCTGCACGTCTAGAGCCAGACCAGTCACTAATTCAACAACTTGAAAAACCCACCTCACAAACGACAAATTGAACCTAATGGGCAACTGGAAATCCAGCTGGATTGTACCACACTGGTGCGACCGCTTCAGCGCGTCCATCACCGTGATATCTATCTTAGGCCCGTAGAAAGCGCCATCTCCCGGATTCAGGGTCCACGGAGCCCCGAAAGCGTCCAACCCGTCACTCAGCGCCTTCTCGGCCTCGTTCCACATCTCGATGTCGCCTAGGTACTTCTCGGGCCGGGTCGACAAGACCATGTTGAAAGTAAAACCGAAAACCCCGTAAACGTGGTTCAGGAATTCCAGCGCGCCTTTGATTTCGTCTTTGATGTGTTCAAGGGCGCAGAAGATGTGGGCGTCGTCCTGCTGGAATCTCCGCACTCTGGTGAGACCGGTGAGGGCCCCAGAGAGTTCGTTCCGGTGCAGGACGCCGAAATCGGCCAGACGCAGCGGCAGCTCTCGCCAGGAGCGGGTGCGGTTGTCGAAGATCAAGCTGAAAAAAGAGGGGTTAGTGCGGACGGGGTGAAGGAGGGTGGAGTTACCAGTGGCCGGGGCAATTCATGGGTTTGAGGGCGAATTTGTCTTTTTCGACGTCGAAAGAGAACATGTTGTCCTGAAATTTATTTTATTATTTAATTTTTAAGTTCAAGATTTTAATAGTAACTTACGGCGTAGTGCGCCCAATGTCCTGAAACCTGCCACAGCTTGGCGTTGTATATGTTAGGAGACACCACCTCTTGGAATCCACGCTTCCGATACTCTTTTCTAATAAATTCAACTAAAGTGTTATAAATATGAGCTCCTCGTGGCTGGAAAAAGCAAGATCCAGGGGAAAGCTCATGGAAGAAGAACAGCTCTTGTTCCTAAATATATCAAAATTAACAATTAATACAAAAATAATAAAACAGCTTACTTTTCCAATTTTTCTATGATCGCGTTTAGCAGCCTCTTCTTGAAACTTCTCCCATTCCTTCAACTGTTTGTTATCAGGAAAACTAATACCATAAACACGCTGGAGAGTTTCAGCGTCAGATTTGCCTTCCCAGTAGGTAGAAGAATTCTAAAACCCAAAAATTTTAAAAATGGAAACTACACACATTACTTTCGTTTTACTTTAGTGACTTTTAAAGCTTTAATCTTGCCAGTGTGTCTCACATGGGGGCCTCTACACAAATCAATCAACGGCCCACACCTATATACAGTAGTAGTCGGAGTGTCAACTTTCTCATTCAAAATTCTCACTTTGAATGGATTGTACTTGAACATTTCAAGAAGATCTTCTTTTTTCAGCTCCAAACGTTCAAACGGCTGTTTTTCTTTGACTATTGACTTCATTAGGTTTTCAAGGGATGGGAAATCGCCAGCGGAAATCTGTTAAATTATTGTGAACATTAAATAAGCACGCAGAAAAACATACGCACCCCTTTCTCCTCTAAGTACATGTCGTAATAAAACCCTGATTCTATGGGAGGGCCATAACAAAGGCAGCCCCCATACACTCTTTCTAAAGCTTCTCCCAGAATGTGCGCAGTGGAGTGCCAGAATACTGATTGGGCCTCTGTATTGTCGAACTTCAGTAGCTCTAATTTACAATCACTTTCCAGAGGGCGGTCCAAGTCCCAAAGGACATCATTTACTTTTGAGATCACACAGTTGTCAGCCAAACCCTGACTGTTGGAAGAATTTTCTCAATTTCCAAATATAATAATAATAAGAATAATAATACCCACCTTATGCCCTTTGCAACGTCATATGCTGTGGTCTTCCAAGCAACAGCTTCCACGACTTTACCATCTGGAAGGGTCACTTTAATGGGTGTTTGTGGTTTCCCTGCGATTTCGGCCTCTCTTTCCGCTTTAAGTTTATCCCACAAAGTGAGTCTGTCTTGGATAAATGAGGGCCAGGGTTTCAATTCACTCACTGAAGACTTCTCTGCTGGTGCTTGCTTCATTTTCTTCAGTTTGGCCTGAAATTGTAAGTATGTACTTTAATGAACCGTTCGCTCACGCGTGCACACTAATACTAGATTTGACTACAAAAATCTCAGGTAAAAATTGCGGACTATTGCATCATTCCGGAAAAACAGGATGAGGTGATTTACAAACCAAAGTCGCATAGGATTGACGAAATCCCGGCACGAGGATTTTGTGATAACTTAAAACTTTTAACATTTTACGTAAATAGAAGAAGAGAAAAATTGTTCATGCCTTTTCGTCTATGTTTAAATTTTCAAGATTTTCAACCACGTTGTCGCCCATTTCCACTTTTGACGTTTCAGGTTTTCCCGACTGACAGATGTCGCAGCGACATGTGCGCCACAACAGAAAAAGAAAAAAAAGCTACCACAAAAAAGCTATTTAGTGGATGAAACAGTTAAAATGTACATTTTAATGTAAAATTAAAAGAATAAAAAAACAGCTTTCAGTTTTTTCGCTGTATTTATTTCAACCAACAACATATTCCTAGAACTGACACATGACAGCGACAAGCATGCCAATCAAAACACCAAAATCACTAAATGAAAAATGTTTTAGGTTAATAAAGCTCACATTTTCTGAATTTCATTAATTACTCTCGAAACGAAACAATGATGAATAATATTAACGTTATTTTAGCAAGATCTATGGTGGCGTCGTTTCCCCGGGTCGCCACTTGCAGCAAAAGTGAGGTTATGTTTTGGCCCCCACAAAATACGATTTCTTTGATTTAAGGACTGACAAGCTCGTTATCCAGTGAAGCCGTCCGTCAGAACCACCTCTTCGACATAGAGCAAAAAAAGCAGAAGGAATCTGTAGGACGTATCGAAAAAATCCAAATAGAGTATGAAGGCCCTACAGACAAGGCCACCTTAACCATGAATAAACACATTTCCACACCTTTTGATTGCGCCAAACGTAAATCTCATCGTCATTCTTTACCTCTGTCACAAACGTGTGTTGCAGATCTTGGCGAACGAATCGCGGACCAGTCAGCTGTAGCTTTGTTAAACAATGACACCCTCTGGCACATGCACAAGCCCCTACCTGACTCCTGTAAACTCCAGTTTTTACATTACAAAATTCCGCAGCCCACCGCCGTCAACAAAATCTTCTGGCGCAGTTGTAGTTTCATTTTGGGTGCTGTAGCAAACGCCGCTTTTAAAGACACAGTCAAAGTGCAACTTCATAGTTTTCCTAGCCCGAACGTGCGTTCAGGGAGTTTCGTCTACGACGTCCAACTCGATCTGGCGGACTGGAAACCCACAGAAAAAGAACTCAAAGTGTTGTCGATAGAAATGATCAAGTTCTGTCAGCAGAGTCACGCAATTGAGCACATGAATGTGTCAACAGAGCTGGCGCTAGATTTATTTAGGAACAATACGCACAAATACCAGCAGATACCGGACATTGCGGCGCATAATAATGGGAAAATTACGTTATTCAGGGCCGGGCATCATATCGATATTTCGAGGGGGCCCATGGTGACGAATACGAATCACTTGGGGCGGGTTACTATAGCGAACGTGATTAAGTTAAATACGGATGTTCCCGGGGGGCCCATTTATAGGTTTCAGGGGGTGGCGTTGCCGAAGTCGATTATGTTGAATCATTTTGCGTTCGGGTTGTTGGAGGAGAGGGCGCGCAATTTGGTGAGTTGTTGAACTCTGTGGGGGCGAATTTTTTACAATTTTGGTTACAGAATCCGGCGAGGATACCGGGAAGTCAGGAGAGCTTTGAAGAAGATAACAGTTTCGTGGCGCAAGTTACAGCATAGAGGAATTTTGTACACTAATAAAAAGTTATTAATTTTTTTGGAGTGTTATTAACAGAAAATCGTGCTTTAGAAATAAGGAAGTAGATAATCATCTTTTTAATAACCACAACGGTTTTTTGTGGTGTTGTGTAACGTTATAACGCGATTGTTTGGAACAAAGACAAATACGTCTCAGAATTTGTGTGTGAAGCGAAAAAATAGTTTGTTATTGAAATTTAGAATTCCGATTAAAATAATCTTTTAATGTGCAAAGTTGTTGGTGATGAATCAGCAAGTAGTTTTGTCTGTATTTGCACATTCCCTTCCATTTCCTTTGTTCAGTGTGAGTCTAAACTTTCTACCACTTATCAGCTGAGCAGAGGTCACTGGGGGTTGTTTCTTGTTTTTAATCAGCGCTTATCGAAAACTTTGTTTATTCGTGATTTTGGTTTCGGTGGCAGCAGTTCGATAGTGAACAAAGATGCTGCTCAGGTTTATTGTTTTTTCGTTGTTGGTAGTGTGGGGTGAGTAATTTAATTATTTATTTATTTAATATATTTTTATGAATTTTTGTTTTTTTTTAATAGTATGTGGTGACTGTTCTGTAACTGCTGCACCCGTCTGGAGCAACACGCACACTGTGAAAGGAATTCTTTACATTCCTTATGCAGAAATCGAAGAACCTTTCTATGCATGGTATGTATATTGATTATTGTAATATTTCTTCCATTTGGCACTGTTGGGATAAGTTTACTTTTTGTAAATTAAACAATTTAGAAGCTATTTTAAGTGTTTAACAATTTTATTTGTTTTGAAATTTATTTTTAGGTTTCTGTGTAATTATAACATGAGGAGTAAATATTGACAAACTAAAATACACTGAGAGAGGTCATGTTGATAAGTAAATTATCAATTTATTTATGTCAGTTAAAAGAAAACAAATATAGTATAAATCTTTCAGGTTTCAGGAAAATAATTACAAATGTTTATATATTTTTTTAAGAACGTATTTTGCACGAGCTAAAAACTTTCCATAAATTTTTCAACCATAAAATCATGAAGATGGAATCTTACCTCCATGCATAAAGTAAATACATTTTTGATTTTTTAAACACTGATAGAAAATTGGAATTTTGGGCGGCCAAAAACAAAAACACAGTAATCTTATGAGTTGTGTTTTGGGTGTACAACTTATACATCAAAATGAATAGGTTTATCCCCACAAGAAATTTGATGGCGTCATTTCAAGAAATTATTAAATACAATTTTTTGAAAACGGCAAGAACTCTTCAGAATTGGAGTTTCAAACGATACACAAAACCTAAACCACGTTACAATTTTTTACAAGGTACGATGGCCCTTCCAAACAATCTCGCATCGACTACTATGGTGACATGGTCAAAACTTATCAGCTCTCCACCACCGGCTCCTACGGCACGAGCCTCAAGATCGCCCCTGTGACCACTGAAGCCGAGAAGAACGCGAAAACCTGCCTCCAGGTCAATGGAACCCAGGACTACCATATCAAGCCCCAAATCATCCTGCCTGACTTGACCAACTTCGAATGCACAGGTACGTTGCCCTCTTATATTTCTGTGGTCTGAACGTCCTGCTTCAGGAGAGGAAACCATCAGAGGTATTTTGACTGAAACGTGGGGGCTCACTGAGACCATTGGCCAGAAAGTCAACAAGTACAGGATGTGGCTGTACTACAAGGACAACCCTGATAATGAAGACATCAAGATCGCCATTCCCGTGCGGTACGAGATGCGGGGGTTCAATTCTTTGTTGGGGAGCCACTACGACCACTATTATTTAGAGTATGAGGATTTCGATTCTGACCCCATTCCAGCCGACACATTTAAGATTGACCCAAGTGAGTAAAAATTAATCATGTACTTATGTTTTATGAATTTAATGTATTCATGGTTGTAGATATGACATGTAGCGCCTTCCCCGGCCCTGGAGACAAGCACATCTACACCTTCAACCCCATGGCTGAGTTCGTCCGGCCGGAAAAAACCACCCATGTAGATTTCGAATTTGACAAATTTACTCACAAACATCGCAGACGGTACAGGAATGAAACTGAACTGGCTGCAAGGAAAGAAATATTCAGACAAAACGTGAGATTAATTCATGCAGTGAATAGGCAGAATCGAGGATACACTTTGGCCGTGAATCACCTAGCTGACAAAAACCCAGCTGAATTGAAGGCTTTAAGGGGGCGCACCTACTCTGGAGGCTACAATGGTGGCGCTCCGTTCCCTTACAAGAACATAAAGAAGGGCAATTTGCCTGATCAGTGGGATTGGAGATTGTATGGGGCTGTCACTCCTGTAAAAGGTAAAATATGGAGTTTGTATTTTTGTTTTTTGATGGGAAAATTATAGATCAATCGGTTTGCGGATCCTGCTGGAGTTTCGGCACCGTGGGGACGATAGAGGGCGCTCTGTTCCTACACAATGGGGGAAAACTTCAGCGGTTGTCTCAACAGGCTTTAATTGATTGCTCCTGGGGGTGAAACTGCGACATTGTTGTGTTTTTTATCTTAATATTGCAATATTTCCAGTTTTGGTAATAATGGTTGTGATGGTGGTGAAGATTTCCGTTCATACCAGTGGATGTTGAAACATGGTGGTATCCCAACAGAGGAGGATTATGGACCATATTTGGGACAGGTATGTCGTTCTTAACTTGTATGTATAATCTTCTATTAACGTTTTATGGTAGGATGGCTATTGCCACGCAGATAAAGTTCCAAAAGTTGCAAAAATAACAGGTTACGTTAACGTAACAACAAATGATGAGAATGCTCTGAGATTGGCCATTTTTAAGCAAGGCCCCATCAGCGTAGCTATTGATGCTAGTCAGCGCACCTTCAGTTTTTACTCAAATGGAGTGTACTATGAACCCAAATGGTGAGTTGGTTAAAAAATTGAAAAGGAAGCATAACGTAATATTTTTTGTTTCAGCGGGAATAAAGTCGACGAATTAGACCACGCCGTGTTGGCGGTGGGCTATGGGACAATTAACGGTGCCAATTATTGGTTGGTCAAGAACAGTTGGTCCAATTATTGGGGCAACGACGGGTACGTTCTAATGTCATCGAAAAATAATAATTGTGGAGTCATGACGACCCCAACGTACGTAACAATGTAATTGTGATTATTTTAAGTTCCTTGTACGTGTTTGAATAAAAGTTGCTTCCAGATCCAGATTTTGTTTAAATTTTTTAGGAGTAAATATGTCTATGTGTTGGCTATACTCTACTATGTTGGTACGTCATTCAAAAAACGAATTATAAATAAAAAATTATTTCGCCAGTATTTAATCTGTTTGAGCAGAAATTCGATTATTAGTTTTCAAAGTATTGCAGTAAATTATAAAAATCGTCACTGCAAGATAATATCAGAGAAGATGTTCTCTGATAATATGTTGTATTTGGAATGCAAATTGACCATAACCTCACTAATATGTCAACAGATGTATACAAACATAAATACTCAATTTCTATATATTTAGTGCTTTTTTTACTCATTTCTTGCCTCTGTGATGAAGAAGTTTGCCTTTCTGACTCGCAATGTGCACAGGACTTAAGCACTACGAAAAATAGGTATAGGTTATGTAGGCGCTGAGCCACAGTTTCACGCTAATTTTTAGATTTCTCCTGTACGACGTAAATCCACCGGAGGGTTTCAATCTTCGTCGTGATGTCTATATGCGTTTTGCTATTTTAGCACACAAATTGAAACTTTCCAAAAATGAGAAACTAAAACATTTTAGACTGGTGCTTCCTCCATGGTCACATTTATACCACTGGACTTACAATCCAAATCCCGAACAAATGCCATGGGGACTATTTTTTGATCTAGAAAGTCTCAAATCGTTCGCACCTGTTATAGAAATGCACGAATTTTTCAATGGTTTGTTTGTGTCTGCATTTAATACATTTTTTAAACTCTGTTTCTAGCTATTGACAGGAAGTATAGCGTTGTAATTGACGAAGTGTACATTCTGCAACATTTTAAAGACATGTTTGAGACTGGGAACTTTGAGGACCGAATGAAAATTGAAGAATGCAGAGCCAAGTCCCATCTTATTTATTTTTTTTATAACAATATAACTTCTAAGAACGTCAAGTGTTTATCGTATCATGGTCCAGCAACTAAGTTATCAGAGCTGTTGGATAAATCACCAGCTAAGTAAGAATCTCCACCAATCAAGGTTTAATTTATTTGAAAAGGATCATTTTGTTGCATCATGCTGAAGTGGCTCTTCATCATATGTTTGGGGATAAATTATACTGGCAGTGTAGGAGAAGTATGAGGTTTAATAAAGAACTGCGCTCGATAGCGGCTGATTTTCGACAGCAGTTCCTCAACTCCAGTGATGATTTAGATGGGACTATTTTACCCAATAGGTGGCAAGACGAAAAAGTAATTTTTTTAACACTGTGTGAATATTTGTCAAGTTATAATTTCAGCCTCACAGAAACGCTGTAGGGGGCCCCTACTTAGGAGTACATTTACGGAGAAAAGATTTTTTAACAGGTCGAGCCAACCAAGTTCCTTCTGTAGAAAATATAGTACAACAGATAAGTGAGAAACTTAAAAAACTGAGTTTGTCGACGGTTTTCGTAGCAACTGATGCTAGTGATGAGGGTAAAACTTGACTGGTGTTTGTATTGTTTACTGAAAGTATTTTCCAGAATATGGAGATATCATTAGAAAAATTCCACCTGAATATAAAACCATTAGATACACTCCTAGTGAAAAAGTTAAAACGAAGTATAAAGACGGCGGTATTGCGATCATTGAACAGATTATTTGTTCCCATGCGCGCCATTTTATTGGGACGCAAGAGAGTACTTTTTCCTTTCGAATTCAAGAAGAGCGCGAAATCTTTGGATTCCCCATAAAGTCGACTTTCAATAGTTTTTGTAGAGAACATAATGGGTGTCCGCAACCATCAGTCTGGAAAATTGTTTATTAATAGATCCGATATTAATGCTTTTGTGTTCTTTTTTAAATTTTTAGTTGTTTTTTTGTTAATTATTTAACGAATTTGTCGAATGATGGCGCGGCTTCGTTTTTATTAAAATAATTAATTGAATTACGTTAAAAACCAAAGTAATTATGTTGTGTATTTATATTGTTCACAGCTCTTATTAGTTCACTTGACGTGACTTTTTTTAAGTTGTTGAAGTTGTGTCCCAGTGGCGGTGCAAAAACTGAAAGCGTAGATTGGGATGCTTCAAAACATCCTAAATTTTTGACAAAAATGTGTTCCAGTAAGTGTGTAATGCAACATTTGCATAAGGAAAAAGCAAAAGTCTAAGCTCTTGAGTTATAAGTAAAAAATTAGTGAAAATAAATCAACGCTTTCTCCGCCACTGGCCTTTTCATAATAAAACAACGTCAGCGCCCTCTACGTCATCCAATATGGAATAGTTAATTCAAAATAAAAACGTAGCTTCAGAATAACTCTTCAACGATATTCATTCACCGCAATTATCGCTGCTCCAAAACGAACAAAATTTTTCGTAAAAAGCGCTAATTGCAAAACGAGGTCGAGGCCGTAACCGTGGCCACTTCGCGCATGCGCGCATCTTGACGCGCTGTCGTTCAAATCGCACTTGTCAAAGTGACGTAACCAAAGTCAGCTGAAAGTTATTTTTAATTGTTTGTCCGCGAACTAGCAAAATTTTAGTTGTCACTCGCAAAACCCGCCAGTTCCACCCTCAAAATGCCTAACATCAACTACGAAATCAAGCTGGACTTCAAGGACGTGATGCTGCGCCCCAAAAGGTCCACCCTGAAGAGCCGCAGCGACGTGAGTATTGATTTTGGTTTTCGGGAAATTTCTAAATGGAGGGTGGCCTTATTTTCGCACAAGAGGGTCAAGGGGAGTCAATCGAAGGAGCGGGGCCCCTTCAATCGACCTCAGCCCCCTTGGCAACCCTCGTTTTGTCAATACCCATCCCAACCCTCCCCCAGTCAATCAACCCGGATCGTGCGTCAACGGGGTGATGTCTCCTCCGCTCTCTTAATAGGGTTTCATTGAGTTATTTTTATCGTAATTGAGAGCGGCCTCGAAACCTATTTTTGGCCAATGGACGATTCACTCCATTTGATGAAAGGGGCTGTTTTAGGTGAACTTGTTCCGGGAGATCACGTTCCGGAACTCCAAGCAGACGTACAATGGCATCCCGGTCATGGCTTCCAACATGGACACAGTGGGCACTTTTGAAATGGCACAAGCCCTCTCGAAAGTATGTTCGTTTTTTTTTTTAAATTTACGTTCAAAGAAGCTTGGGTTTTAGCACGGGCTGTTTACGTGCATCCACAAGTACTACAGCGCGGAACAGTGGAAGAAGTTCGCCCAGGAGAACCCCAAGGCTTTGCCTCATGTTGCCGCCAGCGCTGGAATGACTGATTCCGATTTCGAGAAACTGACTGAAATTTTGAAATCCATCCCAGAAATTACGTTTATTTGTCTGGACGTGGCAAACGGGTACTCGCAGCACTTTGTAGAGTACGTGAGGAAAGTGAGGGCCGCGTTCCCCACGCACACGATCATCGTACGTATTGTTTTTGCAAAATAGAATGGTAATTTTTTGAACAATATCAAAAAAGTTGACGTCAAATATTTTCTGTCACACCTACAGCACTATGTTTGCTTCACATTTGGTGATTTTATTCTAATTTCTAATTGAATTCTGAATCTTGACTTCGCCGTGAGCCGCAATCCTGAGATTTGTTTATAATTCGAATTGTAGCTGTCCTTTTTTTTCGTGATTATTATTGTGTCTATGGAGTTGGAAAATCTGATAATTACATGACTATATAACTACTTTTGCAAATATTTAACCTTTAAACATTACGAGTCAAGGTTTGCTATCGCTTTTATAGATAATTGTGTCCTCGTCTGCGATTAGTTGCGTTCTACTTCCGCTCTGTTTAGTAACGAATTATTTCATTGACCTTTCCTGGAACACGGTGATGTAATAAAAAATGTAATGTGATTCTTATTTTGCCAATGTTTACTTTAGATACTTCATAATTGCATTACGTGCGAATTTATAACTTGGTTGGGACATAAATGGTGGCTATAAAACGTGAATTGTTTCACAGAAAAAAAACTGTCTTTGTAGTTATGGTTTGTTGATCAAAGTAAACTGAAAGATACCAAACCGCACTTATGAAAAAAGATATTAATTTTCGTTTTAATTAAGAGACTCCATTGTATTGCCTCTTGAAATATGTACTGTTGATAATTTACACGTGAGTGTCACTAGTCTATTTAGGTGTTATCAGTTCTTATCACGTTTTTTTTATAGACAACTGCGCCTCATTAAATAAAACGCATGAAAATTACAAGTAAAACTAGTTACACAGGCAGCATTGTCATAACTCATAATTTATAATTAGATATTAAAGTGAAGTACAGTGGACGCCGCTTAATGTGATCACTTTGGGACTCAGACAAATTGATCACACTAACCGACTGATAATAATAAGCGAAAACCATCATCAGAGACAGTAAAACTCAAAATAATACAAAATCATGAACAAGATAGTGTTTATTGTGCTGGTAGATGAAGGTACATAAACAGAAGAATTTTTAAAATAAATTTTGGTTACCATTCTGAGAAAGGAACCCTCGATTTCCTTTGGTGGTTGTAGAAGTTTCTTAAGTAAGGGCTGAGAATTTTTTTTTTCTCTGATAAGCTAAGATCTATGAGAGTATAAAGTGAATAGTATAAGCGAATTTATCTTTTGAGAGCAATGAATGTTCATTAAAAAACAATAGTAGTTTCAATCGTCTCGCTTCTCCAAAAAAAAACAATTCCCGCTTGTAAAAGAATTGCGAGATTGATCACAATAAGCGAAATATTGATCACAATAAACGGAAAAATTTTAATGCATTGGTATTGCGTGGGCCCGTTCCAAGCCATTTTGATCACACTAAGCGGTTGATAACATTAACCGTGATCATATTAAGCGGCGTCTACTGTATATAAAACACTATTTCGTGTAACAATATTTAAAGTTATAATTATAATAAATAAAGCACCAATAAGGTTAATGAAATAATTCTCTAAGCTAGAAATAAAGTACCCATTGTGTTAGGGTTCATTGGGCGATAACTTTGAATTAAACATTTCAAGGTTTTCTCGACGTTTCCTAACCCACAGAGTATGAAAAATACGTCTCACGGCAATTTTATTAAACACATAATTTCGGAAACTACTGGAGTGATTGTTATTTGAGGTATATGCTAGGAACATCGAATGGTAAAACTAAAACCTCAGATCATATAATAATTTATATATGATCTATAAGAATAAAACGCTAAACAAATTTTATCTGATCAGTCCGACCAATAATATGATGATGTCACTCGAAATTTTCTATAGTATATGTAAAATAATGAGTATATACATGTGAAATAACATACTCTACACTGTGATTACCCAAACATCCCGCCTTAAAAATGTGAAAAAAAAATGAAAGCCCGCGAAAAATTAAAAGATTAAAGAATTTGGCCTTGGCTGTGCATGTCTAACAAACAAAATGGACATGTGGCGGCAAATTTAAAATTATGGCAGTAAACAAAAGAACATTTTAAAAACTATGCAGCGGCAGCAGCACCAGACCGCTATAAGAGTGTGGCGATCGAACTATCTCAATTTCATTCTAGAGCACACCAGAATTACCCATAGGGGGCGTTGTAGCAGGAGCGGGGTTTGGGGCTCCTGGTCGTGGCTGTTCTTCCACCCCTCTATGACCAAGAAACGTGGCGCGCGGAAACAGGCCATTACGGTCGCAAACTCGTGGTTGGAAATGCCGGCTATTGGGTCAAGCCGCGAGCGTCACGTCATTCCGACCGCCCCTGACTCTATTCAAGACCTTCATCTTTTGTGCAGATGGCGCGGCCGCCAGCTCGACAAGGAACCGCGCACTCCGCTTCCGCTAAGTGTTTCTGTGTTATTTAACCTCAATTCTATTGAAATATTAAATTCGCCATACACTCCCGTGAAATTGTACACAGCAAAGAATTCTTATCTGAAATTAAAATTGGACAGCAGACAATTTATATGATGTAAGCATTAACCAATGAAATATTTACATGAAAAAACTAGTAAATATTTATAAACACAAAAAAAGATCTAGTGTGAAATAAAACTTGTGCAGATAAAAGTTACGTGAAATTAGGAACTGCAGAGCATGAAAATTTACGTTCAATTTATATTATACAACAAAGAAAGTTACTGAGGCTAAAATTATGAGCTAGAGAAAAACTGCAAAGCTAACAAAATCACATGAAGTTAATATTTTATGTCCATTCGAGTTATTGTTTAAATTTTAAACAAGTGAAGTTATTCAGCTGCATTGTGGGCCAACAAACACATAAAGAACAGTGGGAAATATGGAGGTTCAAAATGGTGTCGGATGAATGCGTCGTTCAAAAAAATGTGTCGTAAATATGTCTCCCAGAAATGTGGTCAATCCTGTGGCGCTGTGCAAATAATAATAAAGCAATAAAATGCACATGACCCACAATATTGTTAATTTGTTCAGTAAGATTTTACAGTTCAAATATGTGCTCGATCTGAAAATACGCGTTCAACATGGTCGCTGCCAGAACAAAGAATTTACCTGATGTTAAATTATGCCACACTTTATCAACGATTCAAACAAAGAATTTACATTATGTTAAATTATGCCATTATCCAAGTGATTAGTTACTTAAAACAATTAGCTTTGAGAGTCTATATCGTGGAGTGTCGCCAGCTTATTCCAAACAAAACACATGATAAATAAACAACACAAAATATATCCGGTCTCGGTGATATAATTTTCAACGTTGCGAGAAAATATCTCGGTGATGTGATGATGATATGATGATAATAACTGCCTAAGGGAAGACATTTTTTAATCTCCCCGTACCTCACTTCACGATATTATTAATTCTACCGCACTTACACGGTCTTTTCCCAGAGTGGGATAACGTTGGATGGATTTAACTCCCGTAAATGAACTATTAGCAATCTTGTGTGAGGAATTAAGAAGTGTTATAATGTAACACTGAAGGATAAGCATCCAGAAACCTTATTCATAATTTGGTAAACAAAAAATGTGTCCTGATTAAGTGAATTTCATGAAACCTCTTAACAAGCGCCATATCTAAACAAACTCCTGACTGTTAAAACAATTTAACACAATGTTAGAACCGGTTAACGATCAAAATCCTAACATGAACTGTGAATTTACAAACAATGAATCAGCATCACACCACGTGTTAGCGTCCGTCGAAAGTTCGCATTTTTCCGCTTGGAAAACAAGAGAAAGCAAAATCTGAATTAAAGTAATCGAATGCAAATACACAAGTTATTACGAAGGTGTGGCGGTAAATTTAAATTATGGCAATCGAGAACTGAGCAAGCGAGCTACGCGGACTTTGTAATGAGAGCGGAATTTAAGTTCCTCGTCATAGTCGGTCACCCTTCCTCGGTGATTCTACTTCAGGGGTAGGTACAACACATTCCACATTTCTATACCCAAAAAACCTGCCGCATCTGGAATAAGTTACGCTTTTACGCAGATGCGAGTCTCCCCATGGAGTTGCATTTCAGCGTCTATTTGGGCAATGACAAAACCGCAAACGTTTACTAGAAACCGTGTGTTCCGCTTTCTCCACTCGAACTTGTGCCTTTATATTTCAAATAAGTTCAAATTGTATCTCTCGGATGTATAACGATGACTGAATGAGTATTAAAATTGTATACTTAAATTAATTACGCCACATTATCAAGAATTTCAACCAACAAAGAATGTACATGATGTTAAATTATGCCACACTCTGTCAATAATTTCAAACAACAAAGAAGTTACACGAGGTTAAATTGTGTGCTATTTCAAGTTATTTACTATATCAAATCGCACTCACAGATGTGAGAAAACCCCACATCACACATACAAAAAAAAAACACACATTCAATACAATCAAAATCACAATCAGAGAACGCGGTCTCGGCAAACGCCAGAGGTATTTCGAGGATAAACGTACAAATTTAAACCTCAAAAAATTTATTAAACCTGTAAGAAAATATTAAAGCCCTCTCGTTTTACGAGTCCACGAGGGTATGAACTTAACCGCAACTTTTCAAGGTCCTTTTTCTCAAAATGGACCTCGAGTGAGAAGCTAGAAAGTGTGTCAAAATATAATACTTACGTAAAACACACAGAAACTCTAGTTATAACTTATTAAACAAAAGAATGAAGCTGACGTCCGATTCGGGCTCCAGTTTTTGTATGTCGTATGTTTCCTTGTTGCAGCACTTGTAGCTATAATGAAAAAAGGACGCACACAAATTTGCTAAACGTTGTTAAAACATGTTATCGAGTTAATAATAATAATATTCAGTCAACAATTATTGCGGTTTCAGGCCGGCAACGTCGTCACCGGCGAGATGGTCGAAGAGCTTATTCTCTCGGGCGCCGACTTGATCAAGGTGGGCATCGGCCCGGGCTCCATCTGCACCACGCGCCTGAAGACCGGCGTCGGCTACCCCCAGCTGTCTGCCGTGCTCGAATGCGCTGACGCCGCCCACGGCCTCGGCGGCCACATCATCTCCGACGGTGGCTGCACGTGCGCCGGGGACGTAGCCAAGGCTTTCGGCGGCGGCGCCGACTTCGTCATGGCCGGGGCGATGTTCTCGGGGCACGACCAATGCGACGGCGAGCTCATCGAGAAGAATGGGAAGAAGTTCAAGCTGTTTTACGGGATGTCGTCGGAGACCGCCATGCAGAAGCACTCAGGTGAAGAGGCAAAAGGAAAACTGGGTTGAGATTGCGTTTTTTTGTTTTAAGGTGGAGTTGCAGAGTACAGGACGTCCGAAGGAAAAACCGTGGAGGTGCCTTACCGCGGCGACGTCGAGCCGACCGTGCTGGATATTCTGGGCGGACTGCGGAGTGCCTGCACGTATACGGGGGCTGCCAAGCTGAAGGAGCTGCCCAAGCGGGCCACGTTTATTCGGTGCACCCAGCAACTCAACCCCATTTTTAGTTAAATTTTTAGTTGAGGTTTTAGTTCGAATTTTTATTGGCTGAAAAGTAGTTCCAAGCGACGAAATGGCGCCTACGGTTCGTCAATTATTTTAAGAATTTTAGCCGTTGTTAAAAGTTAACGACTTGAGTGAGATAAGCACAAAACTTTTACGTATTTAGGATGAATTTATTTATTTATATTCGTGATTTTAGTCTTGCGGAGTGACGGAATACACCAATGAAACTCGTCAGCATTTTAGCCATATTGTGATCTTTACAATATTTATTTCGTGCCTGAGTGTCATGTTACGTGGAAACTTGTTAATAAACGTTATTTTTTGAATAAATTAGTGCTTGTATGGGGCAATTTTATTCCTAATCCCGTAATCCTTTCCACAAAAAAAAATCGTTTTATGACTGAGAGATAAACAGTGTGACAGTAAAAGCGTACACTGTGGGATTTCAGTTGCGTATTTTTCCAAAGTTGGCTCTCTGTCAAAGTGCCAAATATGTACCTACTAAAAAATATAATAAAAACAAATATCTTTTTTTTAGTTTTTATATACTTATACAACTTGTCACTTTATTCAAGCTGCAATAGTGTGTTTTGGATTAACAATAAGAAGCTCTTATTAATTAATGATTATCCTATTCACATAAAAAGTAGATCATTTTTATGTATCTAGGACAAATCTTAAAATTCTGGCCTAGGTACTAGGTAGATTCCATTAGTGTTTATTAATTCGCGGCTGCGGCATTTTATTGCGTGGAGACTCAACTACAAATAGTAATTTTTTAACTAAATTAGTCCTATGAAGATAATCTCATTTCTAATCCGTTAATCCTTAAACTGCAAATAAATATCATTTTATGAATGCGAGATAAATGCATTGGGACAAGTGAAATCTTAAAGCGGTGTTTTTATTTAGTGCAGAAAAAAATGATGCGTTGTCACTTTATTTTAATTTTCATTTTTACAAAGTTGATACTTGCCCAAAATGACATAGGAACCGAGTGTCCTTCCCCGATCAAGTGTCTTACAGATACAGAGTTTACGTTCTGTTCAATCATAGACGGCCAAGTGGTGTTACAAGAAGAAACTATCAATTGTCCCACGGGGTACAAGTGCGTAGAGGATCCATACGTACCGTAAGTTCATTTGTAGTACCATCTATTTAATTTTGACAATTTAAATATGTGAAAATCGTATCATATTAATTCTCATTATTGCTGCTATTCAAGTTTAAAATAGTTTCTTATAATATACGTAAGTACCTCACTTATTAAGATTCCGTGGAGTTATATCTCAACAACGAATTAAAGTATGATATTTCCTAAACGTCTTTGTTTTTAGCACAAAGGAGATCCTGACTTAATATTTTATTAACTCTATTTTCGACCATAGTTGATTTAACAGAGTTAAATTTATGTATAAATATATTGTCAAAGGTTCACCATGTTAAAAAATGTACCTATAACATCCTGTTGAAAATGACAAATTAATATTTTTAGTAATCTAATCTAATCTTTTAATAATAAAAATAAAAAATAATTTCCACACCCCGTACATTATTTTTCATTAGCTGCGATTTTTTTTTTTGAGGTGTGTGGAGGCCCCCACGACCAGCAGCACAACGACTACTACTACCACAGAACCTCCAGGTAATCCTTAATCTGCATTTTTTCCAGTTTTAAGATTTATTTAATATACAGGACCGTCTCCCTGGCAACAATGTACTTACGGAGCCACTTTTCCAGCACCTAAATGCTTCCAGTATTATGAATGTGTGAGATTTTTCTGGTGGTACGAATTGCAACTCAAGACCTGCTTCATTGGTAGGGCTTTTGATCCTGTCAGATCAGAATGTGTTCCTATTTATCAAACTAACTGTAGTCTGTAATTTTTATCGAGTGTTTTTTATTGTATCATAAAATTAAGAACTTTGTAACTTCTGAGAATTTTGGGCTTAGGACAGTGTTGATTTTGGTTTTAACTTTTCAAATGATGTAAAATTCGTGTAAATATAATTCGTTCAAACTTGGATATAAATTTTATTGGATCCTTAAATTATGTTAGATATCTTGGGTATTTAAATAGAGGTGTTTGTGGAACTTATGGCTGAGTAGAGTATGGCTGAACTTGTGGAGAATATTTTAACTGTAAGTGTTTTAGTAAAAATTATATAATCCGCGAAAAAAACTATACCTATATGTTTTCTATACTTTTCTAACAAAAAAAAGAAAAGAGATTTTATATCATATGGCAAGTTTGATTGCTTAATTGAAATTATTTTTTGTCATCCTAAAAATTTATCGATATGGGTAGGTATAACCACGTTGTCAAATTGACGTTACAAGTCAACCAATAACATTGGACTTTTGTAATAATTGTTAGTGAGGAGGTAAGTGGAAAAATACTCCACTGGTAAAGGCAAATATTTTTAACACATAAGTAAGCAGTTTCTCCACATGTTGCGCAAATAAAAAAAATACGTGTTGTTTCATGTAAATGTTTATTGTCCTTTCATTTCTATTGAAATATCACCTGTTGATTGTCTAAATATGAATTTTGCCAAAATTACTATTAACAAGTAGTGTTTCAGTAGAAACGGCAAATACTATATAGTGTTGTCACTTTTTATACGGTCCCATACTGAGATTTTCGTTTTCAGTTTTTCAGTGAAACGTTTTTGGGATGTTATCTTTTGATTCTTAACTGATAAAAATCTACCTAATTGTTTGTGTTTAGTTAATATATTTGCTGCCCTTTGTTTCGAACGTGCCTCATTCTTATTTCAAAATCACAAAACATTTGTTCCAAAACTCAGAAGCGTAATCTCTGTGCCGCATATTGAAAAAACTACACATACTAAATCAATGTAGGCATCGTAAAACAGTGAAATTTATTTCATTACCAGGTGTACGAAATTGAGGTTAATTTATTATTGAAAACAATTTTGTAAATAAAATTATTTAAATGTGACGTTACAAAATGATGTAACCGTGTACAAATAAATAAAAATAAATATTTTATGAATATCTTTATAACCGACATAAATACAGAACAAAGAAAATTAAAGTACTATAATTATATCATAAAATCAGATAAGCGATTCTCGCACATACAAACATCACTAAATTACCCAGAAAAAATTTAAAAAATACTACATATTTAAATTACTCAAAATTCTAGTTGGCAGCTACTCTCGTCACCCTGCTTGCAACTACTAATGGCGTAGCAGCAACAACCGAATTCTCAGGTACCCACAAACTGGAAATCGATCCATAATTTATCCATATACTTCTAGTGGAACCACCCCAGTGTATCGAAACTGGCAAACATCCAGCCCCAGCATGCTACCAATACTACGACTGCGTTTATGTAATGTGGTGGTGGGAGGCCCAACTTGTCACGTGTCCAGACAATCAGTGCTTTGACATCGGCTTGAAAGTTTGTGCACTGGCTACCCTTGTCGACTGTCAGTTTAGAATTCCCTTACCAGGAGTAACGAATGCTCCCACAAATTCACCCTCAGTTGCCACGACCAAAAGTACCACTACGAGTACTAGTACTACCACTACTACTACTACAGTGGCACCCCCAACCATTGTACCCGGTTTCCCGAACTGTACAGGCCCTGGGAAACACCCAGCTCCATCGTGCTATGACTACTACGAATGTGTACAAGATGTATCATTGTGGAGACCTGTTTTAACTACATGCGTCGTTGGGTACGCCTTTGATATTATAATCATAGCCTGTGTGCCTGTGGGGCAATGCGATTGTCAGAATCGTTTGACCACTAAAAGCTCAACCACTAGTACTACTTCGCTGGCGCCACCTATAACATACCCTCCAAGTTGCTCAGGAGCGGGAAAACATCCAGCAGAGTCGTGCTATGACTACTACGAATGCGAACAAGAACTATGGTGGTGGAAGCCGGTCCTCAAGACCTGTGTTATAGGCTATGGTTTCGACATCTTCATCATAGCCTGTGTGCCTATAAAACAATGTGATTGTCAAAATCGCATCACAACGACTGCATCTACGAGTACATCGTTAGCACCACCCATAATAGAACCTCCATCTTGTTCGGGTCCTGGCCAACACCCAGCACAATCATGCTATGACTATTACGAATGCGAACAAGAACTATGGTGGTGGAAGCCTGTCCTCAAGACCTGTGTCATAGGATATGCCTTCGACATCTTCATCATAGCCTGTGTGCCTATAAAACAATGTGATTGTCAAAATCGTGTCACAACCACTGTATCCACGACCACTAGTACTACATCGTTAGTACCACCCATAATTGAACCTCCATCTTGTTCGGGTCCTGGCCAACACCCAGCACAATCATGCTATGACTATTACGAATGCGAACAAGAACTATGGTGGTGGAAGCCTGTCCTCAAGACCTGTGTCATAGGTTATGCCTTCGACATCTTCATCATAGCCTGTGTGCCTATAAAACAATGTGATTGTCAAAATCGCGTCACAACCACTGTATCCACGACTACTAGTACTACATCGCTAGCACCACCCATAATAGAACCTCCATCTTGTTCGGGTCCTAGCAAACACCCAGCACAATCATGCTATGACTATTACGAATGCGAACAAGAACTTTGGTGGTGGAAGCCTGTTCTCAAGACCTGTGTCATAGGTTATGGCTTCGACATCTTCATCATAGCCTGTGTGCCTATAAAACAATGTGATTGTCAAAATCGTGTCACAACCACTGTATCCACGACTACTAGTACTACATCGCTAGCACCACCCATAATAGAACCTCCATCTTGTTCGGGTCCTAGCAAACACCCAGCACAATCTTGCTATGACTATTACGAATGCGAACAAGAACTATGGTGGTGGAAGCCTGTCCTCAAGACCTGTGTCATAGGTTATGGCTTCGACATCTTCATCATAGCCTGTGTGCCTATAAAACAATGTGATTGTCAAAATCGTGTGACAACCACTGTATCCACGACTACTAGTACTACATCGCTAGCACCACCCATAATAGAACCTCCATCTTGTTCGGGTCCTAGCAAACACCCAGCACAATCATGCTATGACTATTACGAATGCGAACAAGAACTATGGTGGTGGAAGCCTGTCCTCAAGACCTGTGTCATAGGTTATGGCTTTGACATCTTCATCATAGCCTGTGTGCCTATAAAACAATGTGATTGTCAAAATCGCGTCACAACCACTGTATCCACGACCACTAGTACTACATCGCTAGCACCACCCATAATAGAACCTCCATCTTGTTCGGGTCCTAGCAAACACCCAGCACAATCATGCTATGACTATTACGAATGCGAACAAGAACTTTGGTGGTGGAAGCCTGTTCTCAAGACCTGTGTCATAGGATATGCCTTCGACATCTTCATCATAGCCTGTGTGCCTATAAAACAATGCGATTGTCAAAATCGCGTAACAACCACTGTATCCACGACTACTAGTACTACATCTTTAGCACCACCCATAATAGAACCTCCATCTTGTTCGGGTCCTAGCAAACACCCAGCACAATCATGCTATGACTATTACGAATGTGAACAAGAACTCTGGTGGTGGAAGCCTGTCCTCAAAACCTGTGTCATTGGCTATGCCTTCGACATCATCATCATAGCCTGTGTGCCTATAAAACAGTGCGACTGTCAAAATCGCGTCACTACGACCGCGTCTCCAATCACCAGTGGCACAACACCAGCACTACCTATAATAGAACCACCATCTTGTCCCGGTCCCGGCAAACATCCAGCACCCAACTGCTACCAGTACTACGAGTGCCAGCAGAAACTCTGGTGGTGGGAACCCATTCTTCAAACTTGTACCATAGGATACGCTTTCGACATTTTCATAATAGCTTGTGCGCCTATAGCCTCTGTCGACTGTCATAATCGAATAACAACCACAGTATCACCAACGACTCCCAAACCGACACCGCTGCCGCCACCCATAATCGAACCTTCCTGCTACGGCCCCAGCAAGCATCCGTCGTCCAGCTGCTACCAATACTACGAGTGTGTCCAAGTATGGTGGTGGTGGGAGCCCAGACTTCTATCGTGTGAAAGAGGATATGCTTTCGATATTGCGTACTCGGAATGCAGATTTCTCAGTTATGTCGACTGTTATCCTCGACAAACTACCACAGTCACACCACCCACCACAGCAGCCACACCAGCACCACCGCCTATAGTCGTACCGGAGTGTAGTGGTCCAAGTAGACACCCAGCGCCCATTTGTTACCAGTACTACGAGTGCATTCAAATCGGATGGTGGTGGGCACCGGAACTGAAAAGCTGTTCGCCAGGAGAATCGTTCGATGTAATACTCGGTGTCTGTTATCCGAGTTATGTAGTGGATTGTCAACAAAGAAGTACCACTACGAAGGCACCAACACCCACTACTGCCGCAACGACACCTCGACCTCCACCACAAGTACCGGAATGTCATGGTTTCAGCAAACACCCAGCTGCTTTGTGTTACCAGTATTACGAATGTGGTCAAATGTGGTGGTGGTGGGAACCAACTTTGAAAACCTGTCCAGAAGGGCAAGGTTTTGACGAGAAAAGAGGAAGATGTATCTGTGCCGAAGCAATCGGTTGTAGATTACCAGGTACGGTTTATGGTACTTTTCGCAGATGTGTAATAATTTATTACAGTTACTGAACCCAAATGTTTCGAACCGGGACAGTACCCAGCTCACAAATGTAACCAGTACTACGAGTGCGTGCCATATTTTTGGTGGTGGAGGCCAGAACTAAAGGACTGTCCCAAGGGGCAAGGGTTTGCCACTTCGGTAATGCGATGCGTTGATAAAGGGCATGACTGCACTTTATCAGGTAGTACGTCAGATCTGAAGACGAGGGGGAACTTAAAGTGGTTTATTTTAGGGAACGATTCATCTGAAAACTCGTCGAAGGAAAATTCTTCCAAAGAAAATGCATCTAACGAAAAGTCTTCCAAAGAAGTAGACATATGATGAAATGGTTGACGACAGTTCTGCAGCAACTGAATTATTCTTGATCTGTATATATAAGTAAAGACAAGAAGTATTACTGTATTTTATTTTAAATGTGTGGTTCCCAATTTCTTTAAGCTTCTTGTGACATAAATAAATAATTAGCGGTGAAATGAGTCACTTTTAGAGAACACCTAATATTTCACAAGTATGGAGAAATAAAAAAAAAATGGTGTGATAAGTACAAGCATTACTTCATTTACAACATATTTCACAAAAGATAAGTCCAGGAAATCGTAAAATAGGTGTGTCAGTTGGTTATATAGGTCAAGATCAAACCCATCTGTGTATAGTATCCGACAAAGACGCAATTATGAAGTTTCTTCTATTTTCATTGTTCCAAATTGCGTTAGTACTTCTTGAAGTACCCGCAATCAAAAGTTACGAATGCAACAATAATTCATCCTTGTGCATTGACCAACACCATTATCAACAATGTACCAACAACCAATTAGCTGGAAACGTCATGGCGTGTCCTGAAGGTGAAATATGCGACCACACGTCTGGTACTGCCCTGTAAGTATCAAACCCTCGTACTAACAAATTTTTTCACTTTTCAACAGTTGTAGAGACATCAACGTACTTCCATTATCTTTGCAAACCTTAACAGACGAGCCCCAATGCACAGAACCCTCGCTCTTCCCAGCCCCTTCTTGCCACCAGTACTACGAATGCTCAGCAGTCTGGTGGTGGTATCAACTAGAACTTAAAACCTGTCCAGAGGGTCTACTTTTCGACAAAAAAACTAACTCGTGTGGATCTGCATCTTCTGTTGATTGCGATTCACGTTCGAGTACCACCTTAGCACCACCTATCGAACTACCAGAGTGTAAGGGACGCAGCAAACACCCAGCGCTGCTCTGTTACCAGTTTATAGAATGCGTTCCAATGTGGTGGTACTGGTCACCCGAACTGAAGAGTTGCCCGCAAGGGCAAGCGTTCGATCGGTACACGGAGAGCTGCGTGTGTGCTGGACAACTTGATTGCGTAGTACCAGGTATGTCTTTTCGGTATGACAGTGTCGTTATTTTTGGCGATGGATGTTCTAGATAGTAACAAAGTCGAGTGTAGTGGGCCTGGTAATCACTCGACTTCAAATTGTTATGAGTACTACCAGTGTACCAAATTCTTGTGGTGGTGGCAGGCCCAGTTGAAGAAGTGTCCGAATGGGCAAGCTTACGATAAATCGGTTTGCAAATGTGCGTCAGACCAAGATGTGAAGTGTTTCTATCCAGGTATTGTCGTGGATTTGGTTGTGTAATTTGATAGTAAAATGAGTTTTATTGCAGTACCTCAATGTCAAGGTTACGCTTTATATCCAGCTTCCAACAAACGCCAGTATTATGAGTGCGTGTTTAATGATTCAAGTTTGGAATGGAAGGCGGTACTAAGGACGTGTAACAGTGGTTTAGCGTTTCATCCAAGTTTTGCTGAATGCGTACCCGAATGGTTTCTAATATTTTAATTATTTACTTTCATAAGACCCGTGACAAAATTTAACATTATTATAAAGAGTATTGACATGATCATATCAAATAATTTTCTTATTAAATAAATATTATGCAAATAAAAAGTTTGCTTTCTTTAAAATATACACCAAAATATAAGAGATAAAGTTGAATTAATCAAATGACTGACGGAAATCTTACTGGCAGTGCCAAAAAAAAATTGATTGATTTATTGAAAAGTGCTTGATTTCAGAAACTGATAGTTTTACAAAAGCTTAGTTCAGCCTTATTCTTACTTATCTAGTGGTAATTTCAACATTGATACCTACTTAACTACATTATTGTTGACATGCCCTGTGCGGCTTAGACATATCTTTGTCTAACTATTTGGCCTATGGTCTACTTTTCGTTTTCTACCTATGTTTATGTTCATAACTTGGGGAGAAAAGCTAACCTCCGCTGATAGTACCAAAAAACGGGTGGAACTTACAGACGCAGGTAAAGAGGCTAATCTTACATAATTCAAGATCATATGATTAAGGAATTTATTTGCGAAAAGAATCACGAACTTGGCCAGCAACACTAAACGAAAGTCATATTTTATGACTTCTTTACTCAAGTAAGAATTTTGTTATCAGTTCATCTTTATTATACCGTTTCGAAGTAAAACTGATCTTTTATCGCCAAAATGTATACTCTGTGATAAAAAATCAATGCTCGGAACGCAAGGGCGATTATGAAAGTAAACAATAAAACTGCTTATGGTATTTTCTTACTAAATCACCAAAATTTTGATAACAGAATTTCACTTAAATAATAAAACCGCACAAATATTTGCCTATTATTTAAACGCGACGTCAAAAACATAAATAAAAAGATTCAATTGTTTCTCTACGTTTCATAGTTCCATCACTCGAAATGCTGACTATCGCAAAACTAATTGTAACAACAACGACCAACTAGACGCAAAATTAACTTTTGTAATTTCAGTGCGGCATTTTGGCCCTGTGGGCGGTACCAGCTGACGCCATTTTCTGCACAGGCGAATGTAAAGAATCCGGAATACGATGTCCAGATCCATACTCGTACCAAATTTGCGTGAATATGTCAGATTATGCAGTTGCCGCCACCACCGCCAAACAGTGCCCAGACGGTACCATCTGTACCGATCAAGGAAACTTTCCGTAAGTACCGTTCTTCAAACTTCTTCCTTAACAAACTGTTATTCTAGATGCAAAGTTGGAACAGTACCAGTACCCACAACTACGCCGAAGCCTAGTAAGTATCAACCTAGAGTAAATAGCAATTTAAAGTACCATTCTAGCAACTCTACCACCGTGCTCGGGCCCTGCAAAATTCCCTACATCATCATGCAACACATACTTTGAGTGCGTGCAAACTCTATGGTGGTGGTCGCCCTCCACACAAACGTGCCCAGATGGGCAAAACTTTGACCCGTCCACCGCTGAGTGTTCTAATACGTATAAATGCGGACCAAGCACTACTACTGTGGCCCCTTCAGGTAACTAGTTGTTTGTCTTGATGGCTGTACAAGCAAAGGTATGTTGCAGACCCAAAATGCACTGGTTCCGGGAGATTACCAGGACCCACATCAAATCAGTACTACGAGTGTGAGCTGATCTGGTTTCAGTGGCAACCTCAATTGAAAACTTGCCCAGATGGGCAAATTTATGATAAGACTACAGCTCAATGCGTAGGTGGTTCCAAAAGTTTGAGTGAGAATGTAGCAGTACCAGAGGAGACGATTGACGTATTGAAAAATTTATTTTCACAAATTGAAACGATGTTTAGTTAAACAATTATGAAACGAACATGTTACCAAAAGATAAAATCTATTAATATGAAACCTAGAATTATCCCTAGTATCGTTGTTAAGGCTGAAATAATTATGTTGGCACCGCTGATTAGTTGGTTATGTTTTGACGTATTTTGAGTGTTAGCGATGATTGTTGTTTGTATTCTTGGTATGATGGTACTTGTGGTGGTACTTTCTACGATTGACGAAGTTTCGAAGTTCCGTTCTTCAGTGAATGGATCGATAATATCGCTTTCAGTACTTGTGCTTGGTTTGGTTTCGATTGTTCTAAGAGTGGTGGTACTGTCTTCTAGCACGGTTGATAAAATTTTCGAATCACCATCCTCATCGGCAACATTTGCCATGTTTATGGGATTTCCGTGCAATTTGGTTTCAGTACTTTTTGGAGTAGTGGTAATTTCTGATGCTGACAAAGTATCCATATTACGATCTTCAACAGTCGTAACATTTTCAGTAGTTTTGTGTGGTTCTGAATTTTTCGCTACATCATTTTTCTCGGTGTTTCCCATCGCTGCCCAGGCACTACTATCAAAATTTGGATCTGGTGTAACATTTTCCGGCGTTTTTGACGAGTACGATTCCACAGTCGTCACTCTTGCCGTTGTAACAACATCCTCACTGAAGAAAAACACGCTACCGTTTTTAGTGGCTGAAGAATTTAACACAAAATTGAACCCATGGGCAGCATGTGGAAACGTTCGGGTTGTCGTTGCTCGACTCGTTTCTGTAGCGTTCACAGCTTGTGTTTTTTCGGCAATTGTGGTATTCAACGTAAAAACATCTGTAACAGTACTTACGGCTGAAACTAAAAAAAAAAACACTTTCAACTTTCTCACCATCTTCTGTACTAAAGTGCACATCTGTTGTCCCTCCATTTCCACAACTAATTTTACAAAAAGGGTTAATGAAAATAAATTTCGGAAAGAAGCTACTTACGGGTAAAATTCCGGATCATCGCAGGGTTCATTTTTGAGGCAAGTAACGATTCTGCCTTCCAGAAGACCGCGTTCGCCAACTTCTAGACAAAATCGGTACCGAGTGGCCGTATGGTTTGTGTAACATTTTAGCGTGGTACCGAGATTGAGAAAGAGAAGGAGAGGTGCTACGAGCTATTATGGAAGAATCGAATGAGTTGCGTACGATAGTACAGGTTTTTAATTTACCAATGGGTCAAACTTCATATCTTTGAATAATGTCGTTGCAAAATTATGAGTTGTTGTTTTTGGGAAGGTCACGGAACAATTGTGTTAAGTATCGAGTAAGAAGAAAGTCAATATTTGGGCAATTTAACGTCACATGTTGACGAGGCGTGTGTGAAAAGTGGAATCCTTTTATTGTCGGTTTATTAGTTTTTGCCAATTATGGTTCCACGATCTCAGTTGTAAAATAAAGTAGAAAAAAAAACTCAAAAAAATTAATCGTTGAAAAGTCTGAAATTGGTTAAAATTCGTTACGACGGTTGAGGTACTATCCTAACCTTCGCGTGATTCCTGTGTTATGTGTTGTGTGTTACGACCTGACGATTTTGAAATAGCGGGAAGTGATTATCATCAAACATATTTCAGAACCATCACGATTAAATCTTCAAACGAACAAAAAAAAAACATATTAAAAGCGAACTACAGTACACTTGGACAGACAGATGTTTCAAATTTACAGGGGTTAATAAAACCTTCATTCGAGAGAAACGCGATCATGAACCTTGTTAATGATTTTTGGTATTACGGCAGTTTTTGCAGAACGTGGTACGTTTTCAAAGGATTTTGTCCCGTCCTTGTACCCATTAATCCAAAGACGAATGGCTTCATGAGAAGAATATAAATCGTCTAATGTAGGAAAAATCCAGTCATGCAGTTTTCCCTTCCAAAAAGAAGAACTAAATCACATTAAGAATTACGATTTTCTCCATTCTTAAAAATCACTAGACACACTAATACTCAGTCAATCTCTAAACGAAGAATTACTGACACAATTTACTTATCAAACCACTTTCGTAAAAACTTTCCCGGATAAACCAGCTTTCAAATATTGAAACAACTTTGAAATCGGCTGATGATCTTGAAATGGTTGAAGTTATTATCATCAAACCTGTAGCTAAGAACCATCCCGATTAATTCAACTTTAAACAAAAACAAAATTGAAATCGGTTCTTGTGTTTGCCACAGGCAGACAAAGAGGTCAAAGTTACTAAACATTCCTCTTTTTGAGTAGGCGATTAAAGAAATATGGATTGTGATCAAGTCCACTGGTGGAAGAAAGAGAAATGAAAAACAATTTACCATAGAAACAGAATGTCAGTCTAACAACTAATAATTACAAACATCACGTTTTCATCAACATGTTAAGAAAATCTCTCATTTTCACCTTAATCTTCATGTTTTGCCGAACAGCTGTCAGCTACTCACTTATCGAAGAAGACAAAGAACTCTTAGATGACAACTTTTACCTCAAATACCTCTTCTGGGCCGCTTGCATCGTCTTCACAGGAGTCTCGCGTCACCTCATCAGGGTAAACCCTTAAATCACCACTCATTTACTAACCACTGAAACAGTCGTACGATATCGGCATATCTTACAGCATTGTATGCATCTTCGTGGGCATCCTCTGGGGAGTAGCTGCCTTATATAACCCGTGGGTGTACAAGATAACAAAAGTGGCTCAATCGAACACAATTGTGTTCAGTTTAGGAAGACTGTACGTTCCGACCATTATTTTTACTACTGCGTTTTCTATAGATACATACATTTTCTACAAGTGTTTGGCACAGATTCTTATCATCTCCGGACCAGGTTTGTAAAGTTGTACCTACCAGTAAACAGTTAACTAAAAAAGATTTCAGCTGCTCTACTTTGTGTGTTACTAACATCTGCAATGGCTGAACTAATCCAAGACAAACTTACTTTCGTTCAATGTTTGATGTTTGGGGTCATCTCGATAAGTATTTATCCCATGGATGTGTTGGGATACCTTAAAGAGTCCAACGTTCACGCCAAGTATATTATTTCCTTGTTGCACGGAGAAACGTTAATTGCAACGGTCCTGAGTTCTCATCTTTACTATTGTTTGTTTCGATTTGAGGAGGGGTGGATAGCGAAGTGGTACCAGTTCGTGATGAGTTTTGCAAGGTTCACTTTAGGTAAGTGATCTAGCCCTAATCAGACGATTATTAAATCTTCTGATTAGGGCTAGATGATAATTATATCATTGAAAGACTTGGTTCCAAAGTTGTGATGCGAGGACTAATGCCTACGCATATTAAGCACACAGCTATATATACAGCTACCGTTACTAACCGTGCTTTCCTTCATCACTCTTTATAAGAACGGAGACTGATAACAGAGATAAAAACAGAACTTTTAACGGCGATAATGGTTCTGTTTTCGTGTTTCTTCCTTCGCTCTTGCGCAGAGTGGGAGAAAGTGCATCGTAGATGGATAGCTGTGCAGTAATACATTTTTTTCCTGCGTTCTTGTCTTTAGGCTTCCCGTTGGGCTACATCTTGGGCAAATTAGGCATCCACCTCATGAAATTCTCCTTCAACAGTACTCCCCAGCTTATGCTTCTCACCACAGCCGCTTGCTACGCAGGCTATTTCTTTAGTCGCTGGATCGCAACCGCCGAAATTCTCACCACCGTGGTTATCGGCGTTATGATGGCATCCGAGAGGCACGCGCTGCCAGAAGAAACCCAACAAGCTCTTCAGAGCCAGTGGAAATTGTTAAGCTGCGCTTTTAACGGCATCATCTTCATAACGCTGGGAGCACGCGCGCCGTCCTTGTTCAAGGATAATATGTACTTCAAACATTACATCCTCATCTTCGTGACCTACTTGGTAGCGAATATTTCGCGATTCCTTAGTTTAGTTGTCTTTCTGCCGATTTTGAAGAGGTTGGGCTATGAGCTTACGTTCCAGCACATTATCATTTGTGCGTGGTGCGGCCTGAAGAACCCGCTTACCTTGGTTGCCGCTAGTGATCTTGCCGGTTACATCCCGAATAAGACTGAGCAAACTACGTGGATCTTTTTGCATATTCTGGGACTGTACGTGCTTATGTTACTAATCAATGGGACCTTCTTGCCAGTCCTACTACGGACACTAGGTTTTGCCGAGATTTCCACGACAAGGCAGGTCAACATGAATAACTGCCTCAAATACATTTACGAGTCGAGAACTAGGATGATCACCATACTGAAGATGGACAGGTATTTGTGCTTAGACGGTCTCGGAACTCGTAACACAGCCGCTCGTGTTGTTTTGTTTGTAGGTTTCTTTCTGACGCCAACTGGCCTTTGGTTGTGAGTACCACCATACTCAAGCATCCCTATAAGAAAACGAACGTGACAGACGACCAAAATATGGACGAAAACGAGGAAGAAGCAGATATGTTTCTGGGTTATAGATTCACATATTGTCCGGACTGCCAAAAGCACATACCGAACGAACCGTCGCCTAAGGAATTCAGAGAAATGACAAAAGAAGCCAGAAGGAGAGTCCTCAAACTAAAAAAAACCATATATTCCAGACAGTACGAAAACGCATTGTTAACTAGAGACGGCGTTCGAACCCTCCACCAAGCTGTCGAAATTGCCTTAGACACGGAAGAAGCGAAAATTGAAGTGGAGGGTCTTTTAAAGATGTTCGATAGAGAGGTAAAAGAAGCAATATACTAGATTTTTAAACAATATCTTTTTATTTTTTAGAACAACGTGTGCAAATATCTTCGAAATCATTTACAAACAATTCTCCAAACAAAAACAGACGCCCATGTGCCTCCACGAAACAAATTTTATTTATTCTGTTATCGCATGGTCAACCATATGCTTTACCTACTTTTCGTGGCTTGCACTGTTAGCTTCAACATAGCTCTATTGACAGTAGATTCGGTACCTAATTTAATGGACATAATGGGTCAACTGGAAGTTGCTTGTCATTTCCTCGCTTTTTTTTTGTATTTTTTGGACTTTTGGATGAGATTGTTCAGTGTTTCGCACACTTCGGTTTGGAAAGTTGGATTTCCGTCTTTCTTTAAGTAAGATAGGTAGTGCCAATCAATTTAAATAATAGTTATTATAAGGGCATAAAGTTATTATAAGCCTACGCTTTTATTCACTTTTCCTATACTAAAAACGGGCTTTAAGACAAACAGGCAAAGAAATTTTGTTTCCAAAAGAGAAAGCATTTAACGAGTCAGTATATTCCATTTACTATTTGGATAAAGAGTGGTTGTAGATTAGTTTTTATGTTGCGACCTTTAGGTGCTGTCGCTTCACCAGTATTAAAGCTCCAAACCATTCTCGAAAGTAATTTTTGCTGCGATGACATGTTTCCCTTCACATAAACTCTTCGTTCGTTGTATTTATATTCTATCGATTTTAAATTTCAAAGAATGTGGTTCTACCGCCCTAAGTTCGTTATTGTCCTTATATTTCCAAATTTGTCGTTGCAGATCCTTTCTAAACAAAATTATATTATTTTCAACATGTCCGCTTTTGTGTGCGTGCAAGAGTATGCTGCTTTTAAATTTTTAATGTAATCAAATATTAAAACAGTGTTTGATTTGTAGCAATAAGGCAACGCGGTCCAAAACACTGATTACAGCGACACCAGTACAGACTCATGGTCATGTCTTTAAAACAGTTTATCCAACACATAAAAATTAAACCACAGCCACTCCATATCCAGGAAGATCATGGATGGATTTTTTTGGACGTTATACAGAGTGCCTGTGTTTCATCCAGTGGGTCACGCTATTAATTTTTACTTCCTGATCGTAAGCACACTTAATAATCGAGTCCATTACACGGGTGACCACTTTTGTTTTCTCGACGTTTCATGACCCTTAAAGTACGAAAAAAGTAGTCTCCCGTGTCCGTCTGTTTGTCGTCTGTCTGCTTGTCTCTCTGTGTCAATTTTTGTTAGACATGTAATTTCCGAAATTACTGGGTCGATTGTTGTGAAATTTTATATGTATATTAGAAATATCATGTAGATGGTAAAACGCTAACTAAAATTTAGCTAATTATGTCCACCAACAATTTAATGACGTCTTTTGAAGAATTCTATTTGACAACGAATTAAATGTTATATAAAATAATACATGTGCTTCTATCATGAAGGTAGGATGACAGGAGGGAGCATACCTCATTTGATCAGTGTTAAAGAAACGGCGGCAAAACAGCTTCCTGCAAGAGCCAATTATGACCCTTCCGTACCACGTCGTGAGCGGTCGATTGTCAGCAGAGGGTCACAGGCGGTATCGTTTAGTTTAAAATAGGTTCATACGGAGTAAAAATGTCTTATTACTATTTGTGTAATTCTGGCATAAAAGCAACATTTCTAACAACACAAAAACTCAAGTAAATTTTACTGCTCAATTTTTCAATCATTATTTCACGTTTTCAAACTATCTTCCCTCCTTTCATTCTATGTCCCTGACTTCTACACTACTTGTAGTGTACGAATCGGCTTTGAATTTTTTCCTTAATTAAACGACAAAATATTCACAAAAAATTTAACACAGTATAATAACATTTTATCAGTAACATAAAATAACAACGTCTCACGAACGTCTATCGACACGCGAACTGTCGGGTCGACACCAAACTTGGTCGTTTCTCTTTTTTTTCTCGCACTGTGTTTTATCTATGTTTATGACGTTATAACAAATTTTTTATTGATCAAATTAAGAATGGGTCATCCCATTTTCTCGAAAATTTGAAAATGCGCACGTCTTTTTTTTTATAAGAATAACATTTAATAATAATATTCAGAACATTTAGTTCGATTGTGGCTTAATTAATAATTTTAGTATTTTTAGTCCTCTGTTTTGACGCGACAAACACATTCAAATCAAACAAATTTTTAAATGACATTGTTCCGATCTATATACATAAACACTTGAAGTTAAAGCTTGTTATTATTGCTGAGACGTCATTATTGATGATTAACTTCAGTGTGGTTTGGATACTGTTGCTATGCTTTCACTTTTTCTGACGCCTGCAGCGTCAGTTACGCACCCCCGGTGCTCGCCATTACATTCTGGGTTTGCTGTAGAATGTTAGTGTATGGATCTATCTACAATGTTCTATTATTGGTCATGCCAATGTTAATATTTAAAAAATTGATTGCACAACCCACTAGAGACTTTTTTCTGTCATATGGTATTAATAATTAATAGAACGTCTTTGGTGGTTGCCGACTGCGGTATAGTTTTTACTGGCAAATTTGAATGTGTCTCAATACATGTCTCTTACAAAAACCGTATTTTTTTCAGATCATTTTGGAGCATTCTGGTGTTCGTATTAATGCTACTTAATCTACTCTTAAACATATTCATGGTAACGTTGATCGAAACGGTAGGCACCCAAACATTACACTACATCCTGGAGATTGTGACAGTCGTGGTGGCTTCATTTCGAGTCTTAGAAATATTTGCTCGAATAAAATATTTCTCATGGTTCCTCAAAATCCCCACGATAGGCCTAAAGCATGCAGACATGCGAGTGAATGCACACAGGGCTTTCGCATACGAGTTAGGCAAAAATTATATCTCTGGAGAAGAAGAAATCCTCGAAAATCTCCACCGGATAGTCGACAACGAAAAGATCAGAATGGATCTAAAAAATACAGCGGAGGAAGAACGACACACGCTCAGTCGGAAACTGGCGTTGGCGCAGAAAACAAGGCCCGTGGTGGCGAGTACCGTGAAGACGAAAGCAGCAACCAGGGCGGTTCTCAACAGCATGAAGGACGACATACACGAATTGAAGGTTTCAGGTATCAAGACGATAACCGCATCAAAATTACGGATAACTAAAAAAGCTGTAGTTTTCTTTTTATAAGTTCTTCTGTTTAGCGATATTATAACTGCACCGTCCATTTATTAGGATGGGTCGATGACAATGAGTATAACAAACTCCTGAAGTCTATAGCCGAAAGGTACAAATACGTCAGTACGATGAACTTCATCGAGTCGTCAGCACCTAAACTAATCTTTCAAGAAGTACCGTACATGGCCAACGACAACGTTCTCATCAATTTTCTGTGGTCGAATATAGCTACGAGGAAGTACGATCCGGGAGACATAGTCATAGATGAAGGAGAAGAAGCCAATGGGATTTATATTCTCGTCACAGGTACTACTTTTTTATAGTCGTACTGGCGTACTTTTTTGCACTTTAGGGCTGCTGCTTGTGCAATACATTCCCAACGAAACCGTCCTAAATCTTCTCAAAGAAACAGGATCTCTGCCCGTCATCGACTACCTTTGCATCAGCTCGATGGAACAATCGAATTACGAGTACTTCATCCCCGGCAATACCATAGGCGAATTGTCGACTCTGACTAAACGATCGTACGATGGTAGGATTACCGCCGACACACACAGCGAGGCCTTTTTTCTGAGCGCGGATACCATCAAGCGGGCCATCCAGATGGATCCGGACCCTGTCAACGGGTTAGTGGTACCTCTTTTAAGCATGTGTCCAAATGTACATGTTTTAGTCTCGAATGCCGTATATGGAAGTCGATTGGCTTTAAAATGGCAATCGAACTGATGATGAGGGTTCCAGCTTATCGCACGTTAACTCACGACAAGATTCAGTATTTTGTAGAGCGCGCTTTCGTACCGAATTTGTCGAACTATAAGATTTTCGTCGTTAACGAGATGATGCACGACATCATTTTGCTAGAGGGATTTGTTATTGATTATAACACGAGAGATATATATAAGGCACCGTGCTATATACCCAGGTGACTACATTTTCATCATTCATCTTTATTTGGATCGTAAATAAAATATTTAGAACGGTTAAAGTAGAATGACTGAGTGATAGATATACATACAGTTAAATTAACCCAGAAATATACATATATTGTGTAAAATGAAATAAGTTCTCAAAAGAAGAGCCACTCAACTTCCATTCCATTTAAAAATTTCTGCAATACCCATATAAAGTTCCACCACTTGAACAGTACCTAGTAAAATTTTACAACCGGTACTGTGAGGGATTGTTGCAATGCGGCGGAATAATGACGGCAATAAAAGGAGCGTCCCGCCAGTGTACAGCGGGCTAGAAACATCCAGGGTTGTAGTGAATTTATTATTTATGTTTTTGTGAGTTCAACCTTGATGGTTAACTTTGAAATACCAAGACAATTTTATTAGGTACTGTTCAAACGGTGCAACTTTATGAGTGTTGTTACATTTCAAGGTCCAGGCGTTTCACTTACTGCGCGATCAGCATTATCTGATTACTAATGCACACTTTTTGAATTTCAAAGCTGTACTTCTAGCCCTTTCAAAATTATAATTTTAAATTTTAAAGCCGCACTGTGTGTATATTTACGATGATTCACGAAAAAATTGCTGTTTTCCTTGTAACAAATCACTTTAAAGCATTTTTAGTGTCACACGAAATCGTAAAAATCTAATTACACACACTCGGGTTCGCCTCGATTCCTAGCACACAATTAATTTGAATCCATTTGTTGTTAACTAATAGGATTCGAACTAGATTAACTTGATGTTTATATAAAAATAAGATTTTGTTGCCGCTCCAGAGCTGTACAAAAGTTGGTTCTCCCTAAGAGCAGCCTCGTCACCGTGCAAACAACCCTTGAAACCAAGCTGATGATTGTTCCAGCTAAAGATTACAACGAATACGACATAATGTTTAGCGTAGAAGAAGTGGCCACGCTGGTTTGTACTTAAAAAGAAAATCTGTAGACCTATTTTATGAGCTTTTTTTATCAGGTGGATACAACTAACACCAAGTGTCTTCATCACTTAATTAAAGACAAACTCCTACTAACCTCTGGAGATTCACGACACAAGTCGCTGAAAATGGCTGTCGCAAACGAGTTGAAAAAATCGAAAACTAAATCGACGGAGTCCGTCAAAAGCAAGATAACATTTGTATTTTTGTGGTTTTTGAGAGGTCGTTGTTTACTTTATCTTGTGCTTTCAGGTATCTTCGGGAACGTTGAAAGATTCCAAGAATGTTTTCGACACTTTATAAATTTAGCTAATTTTGCCTGTTTTTTTTTCAAGTTTTAATAGTAATTAAAGATTTTTACGTTACGTACAATTTAGTTTCTGATTTTGTTAAGCCACATTTCCTTCCTCTAATTGGAACTCCGAACTTTCATTAACTTTTTTCGAATTTTCGAATTATTTTAAGTGCACGGAGAGAGTTTTTTTGTTTGTGCGGTTTATTTGAAATAATGGAAAAGTTCAAGACACGTCGAAAAATTAGAAAGTGCGTCAAACTGGACCAAATGGCGTAGACAGTCGAATTATTGTAAAGACACAAATTTAAAATGCGAGGAAGTCGAGGAACCAGTAGCACCACAAGCAAATGCGGTCGCTACAGTTGTGAGCAAGTACCGAGAAGTGTTAAAGACATTTAGCAAGGATGACGCCGTGGCGTAGCGTATCCTTGTAGAAACTATGAACAACACAGATGTAGATTTGATGGCTACATGTGAGTCAGCGAACATGATTTGGGAATCTTGGAATCAACTTTTATGTACATACGAACAAAGTTTCAGCAACGCGTGGACCGACTTATAGAACAGTTCTTCAGCTTCGAAAAAATCCAGACGAAGAATCGCGGCTCACATCGTCCGTTTGCAGCGAAATTTCCTAGAAATGAATGGAGAACTAAGAAGAAACTGCCCGACCTGTTGCTAGTGAGCCGCATCATGTTGCCCTTATAATATTCGTAGGTAAATTTCCGTGTTGCTTCATTCTTTTCTAAATTCACCTCTTCCCCTAGAAATTTTAGAAATTTTTTGTTTCTTTCCAGCGTTTTTCCTTCATCGGTGTGAATGAGATAAGAGTGATCGGTCAATTTCTTTATTATTCTTTCTTTTTTCCATAAAGTTCGAGCCACAGACCATTGAGCAAATAGAAAGACGTTTAAAAACCACTACGATTTAATGTGGCGATTACAGCGCTGCTCGAGCTCCTGCATGAATTAAATCCACTGATTACTAGATTATAATTACTATAGTAGTAATTTTATTTTTAATTACAATTTTAATTCTATAAAAATGAACTAAATTCAGTAATGAAAAACATATATTTGATAACAATGACAAAATTACAAAACAACTCTCAAAGAAAAACAATTTCATTTCGAAATACCTAAAAAAAATAATTTAATTACAAACTGCTTAAAAAAAACTCTTGAAACTACGGGTAGGTGTTAATTTTAAAACCTATTTGAATTATTAATTCTTCTACGATTATGTACTTCAAATTGTTTTTGCAGATTGGTCAATTTTTTATTTATTATTAGACGCACTGCCAAATTAATAATTTCCGTTCTTAAATCAGCAATATGAATGTCACAGTTAATCCAAGTAAAGTTAATTGTTGCTGTTATATGTTCTTTTAAATTTCTTGCAATATTTGGAACTTCTCCAAAATTATCTAAAAAGAAGACTATGGTATCGTAAATCTCAGCTAAGCATGTTACAAATTCTTTTGTAGCATATTTCAACCTTAATTTTTGATCCTGTTCTTTGTAAAGAGTGAAAATATGATGTTCTTCGGTTTTTTGTGCAATTATACAATTTTTACAGTCTTTACATGTGATAGCTTTTAATTTTTTTATTAAAAAGCCACAAACATATGTAATAGCCTGAAGATCATATAAATCTTTAAATGCAGCTCTATTAGTTGAGCTAGAATTTTCTAAATTTACCAACTCATTGATATTTTCTGTAAACTGAAAATTTGTTGGTTTTGATGACGAGGATAAAAATATTCTAAGATTATCGAGAAGTTTTCCTACATCTTCTTCACAATTCTTACCATATGCTTGATATGCTATCAAATTATTCAAAATACTTGTTTTTAACGCCGATATAAATTGAAAACACGATGGATTACTATTTCCTGAACCGTATTGTCGTATCACTGAAAATAAATTTTCTAGAGGATCCTGATTCAACATTCTTGTTCGCAAAAATTTGAATTCATTTTTTTCACACATCTGCCAAAGAAGTCTATTTCCACGAATGTTATTTAACCAACCTTCTTTAAAGGGCATATTTGTTTTGAATTGACCACGTACTTCGTCATAAAATTTCCAACTTTCGATTTTTTTTTCCATTTTATTCCAAAAATCAAAATGACCAGATTTCTTTGTTAAAGCACATCTTAGCTTTGGATTGCAGTGATTGTTACGCATATTAATACCAGTGGAGTTGAAACTGTCGAATAAATCATTTGCGTCTTTTACAAAGAAAGCCGTTTCGATTGCTTCTGAAGGAATATTTTCTTTTGAATCTATTAGAGTTTCAAGTGCAGCTGCCATACTGGCACTAAGTGTTTTTGCTGCAATTGACACTTTCATCTTTAATAATCTATATCTGTTCACGTAAAGAAAGGGTTCTCGGATTTTATGCAAAGTTTGAAATCTTCGAGTACTATCAAATTGATAAGCTTGTCTCAAATACATAAATTTAGCTTTCTTGGTTTCATCATAATAAATCGTATATTTAAGGAGAGCATTTCTTAATGATTTCAATAAATGGGGACTATCATATAAACATACAATTTTTTTTGAATTTACCTTAAAGTATGGTTCCTTATACTCTACATTTGATTCTTCTTTTAACAAACGTAGAGCCTTTACATTCGAACTGGCCTGATCACAAACGGTGCATATGACTTTTGCGCCGGCCATATTAAGTTTGCTCATAATTTCTTTAATTATTAGTTTTAATTTTATACTTTTAATAGAGTCCTTAACAAAATAGTACGCTATTGGTTGTTTCCATCCGGAACTAATACCTTGTATCATAAATACTAACGCATGGTTAGCATAATTTTTATTTCGTCCTAAAGATCCCAAATCCTCAAAACCAATAATTTTGTCAGTAGATCTCGAATAGGTTAAATTTGTAGATAAAGACACTTCATCAAACATAAGCTTGCATAATCGATCTCTTGGTTTCAGTTTCTCAATTCTCATTTTTAACTTATCAAATAGTTCGTCATTCACGCCACATTCAAAAGGTATATTTTTCAAAAATTTGTACAAAGTTGTTTTTGACGGAAGTCTGAAAAAATGTTTTAAAAAGCGATAACATTTTGGACCTCTTTTGTACATAGCCAAGGCAAATATTTTATTTTCAGTTGACCATCTAGGAATTTTTTTTTTCATGTTATCAAATTGGGATTTTATGAAGCTTGCACTTACAGAATTGCAATTTTCTTGTAAAATGTTAATTAGATGATTTTGGGGAGCACGTTTTAGAAGATCCAAGTTTTTTTTTGATTTACATAATTTTAAATTTAATCTGTTTATTGCCTGTTTCTGGCGTTTTGTTATTCTAAATAAAGTTTGCTCTCTAGGAGTTAAGTCGTCCACTCTTTTGCATCCTACCTTTTTCAAAACACTGGGTGAATATTTTCTTTTTTTCGGAGTATGTGATATTGTCGTGAGAGTATCACAATGGCGTTTGCGTCTTTGTGAATTTACGCTACCATCATACTCAGATTCCGGAATAGTTCCGACTAAAAAAATAAAAATTTTATAATTTTTTTGTTCACTTTTACTGGAATACCCATCACCATTAGTATTAATCACAGCTTGACTACTGTCCTTAAAAATAGTGGGAATTGCGTATTTATGAAGGTTCGTTTGTGCGGTGCTCGTAAAGTAATTTTTACTGAAATGATCTTCACAAATGTAAGCTTTTTTACAATTAACAACAATTTTTTCTGTGCAGGAGGCATTAATGGTATCTATCCACTTTTGTTTTTGAACTGGAGATTTAGGAAAAATAAAAAAATGTTTATTTTTGTTCTTGTTGATTCCTGTTGCGTATACTGACGGACAATTTGGAACTTTGCATCGATATTTATTAATAATTTTCATTTCCGTTGTATCTGAAGCAAGTAAAACTATATTTATATGACTTAAAAATAGCAGATATAATAGCCACCAAACTTACTACTGAAAACCTTTTGAAAAAATTATAATTTGGCGTTTGAATTTGAATGACGTTAAAGGAGATATTTGTTGACAGTAAACACGATCTATTACGAAATTTACACGAGTATAAGCGAATGAGTGTTTGCTCCAGCCGCTCGCGCAGCGCTAGTGTCGCTTCCTAGACTATTATCCTATATATACGATTAAATGGCAATGAACTGTCTTCCTATTTGTTTAATGGTCTGTGGTTCGAGCTAAAAAAAAATATCATTTAAATCAGAACGCTTGACAACAGTTGCTATCCTTTTTAAAGAATAGGGTCAGTTTGTAAACTGGAAAAAGTTAAACTCAAAAATTCTACCCTTACATCATGGTGGGCCACAAGGTTCACTCTTGGAGCCTCTTCTGTTTCTAGTGTATGTAAATGACTTCCTCGAATGTATCGTGTCAGTCCATTTCAATTTGCAGATGATACCACCCTAGTGAATGCGGTAGATGAGGAAAACGGTTTATATACAGTCGGTTTTGACGGCCAAAAATTGGTTTCTAGCCAACAAGCTAACTTTAAATGACTAGTTATAATTTTAAATTTTAAAGCCGCACTGTATACCTATTTACAGTGATTCACGAAAGTGAATATTTCTCAACTGTATTATTTGTTTTTGTAATATTTGTTTCGTAAGTGGAACAAGATTGTTGCATTTAATGCAACAAATTATTTTAAAGCATGTTTTGTGCTACGTGAAATCCTAAAGTCAACCTCAATGCTTTGCAATCTATTTCGACTCGACACACTAAACAATTATATACAATCGAGTTCGCCTCAATTCCTTCCACACAATTAATTTGAGTCCATGTTTTGTTAACTAATAGGATTCTAACGAGATTAAATTGATGTTTATATAAAAAGAAGATTTTGTTGTCGTTCGAGAGCTGTACAAAAGTTGGTCTTCCCTAAAAGCAGCTTCGTCAACGTGCAATCTATCATAGAAACCAAGCTGATGATTGTTCCAGCTAAAGATTACAAATTATTAGTTTGTACTTCAAAAGAAAATATAACCATTTTATGAGCTTTCTTTACCAGGTGGATGCAACTAGCACCAAGTGTTTTCATCACTTAATTATAGACAAACTCTCACTAACTTCTCGAGATTCAAGGCACAAGCCGCTGAAAATCCTAGAATTTAGTTTTTGGTTTTGTGGCCATTTCTTTTATTCTAATACCTACAATTTCACCATACTTTTGCCGACTTTAAATTTCAGTTTAGCTTGAAAAAGTGCAACAAACGATCAGTACTTCATTATCGTTCTCTTGAATCAAGCAAAATACGGTTTTTCACTTTTTAACAAGGAAGGTACTAAATTACACAACGTGAATTACCCTTCTTACAAAACGGGGGCAATAAATTCAATTCCAAAATCTCCCGTTCCATTTAGTGCATCATTTACTATAAAGAACACTGTGTACTTTAGGGCCATAAAAGAAAAATTAGCAGAGCGTTAGTAGTGCAAACAGTACCGCATAATTGCTGATAAAACGAGAGTGAACAAGGGGGAAATCCTGCTATTCAAATGTGCACAAATATTGCAACAAGTCCATATTTTAGACGTGCATTTTTTCGTAGTGATTCCCCACTTGTCTTGATATTTAAAGGTATATCGTAACTTCACTCTGCATAAATTTAAAAAATGAAACCGAGCGTAGTATTAATGGTAACTGAAGATTGTTTCACTGTTAAATTTTTCAACTTTTTCTTTTACAGTTTTTATATGGGTTTGTACCCCAGATATTGACTCAGTCGAGTAAGTGACCAGGGTTATAAAATACGTTATTAGTTTGTAATTTTCACTTTCAGCGAATGATCCCACCATCAACACCAATACTACTTTAAATGGAACTGCAAATGGTAAGATTTTAATGTCAAATTTACCTTTATTTCAATTCTAGGAACCACTAAAGTAACCACCATGGTGGTGACAGAAATTGGTATATTTCTCATTCGCAAATTTACATAAAATTTCTAGATAATACAACTGTCTCGACCCACAACACCTCGAATTTAACGACAACTTCTACGCCAACAAATAGTACCACTTTAAGTAAAACTGCAAACGGTAAGATTTTAATGTCAAACTTACCTTTATTTAACTTCTAGGAACAACTAAATTAACCACCATGGTTCCAAGTACGACATTTTTCATGAACGATACTACTTTTGGCGTGGCGGAAACTAGTAAATTAGTTATTCGCAAATATACTTTAATAAACTTAAATTTCTAGATGATATAACGTCAACAATTTTAGAAACAACATTGACGACAAACAACATCTCAGAATTCACAACAGCTTCCACAGCAACTATTAGTACTACTGCAACCGGTAAGATTTTAATGGTGAATTGACCTTTGTTTATTTTCTAGAATTCACTAAAGGTACCACAACCATGGTTCCAACTACGACATTTTCTGCAAATGATACTATTTTTACTGTAACGGAAACTGGTAAATTTATTATTTGTAAATGTACTGTAATAAACTTAAACTTCTAGATAATACAACGTCAACAATTTTAGAAACAACATTGACGACAAACAACATCTCAGAATTAACAACAGCTTCCACAGCAACTATTAGTACTACTGCAACCGGTAAGATTTTAATGGTGAATTGACCTTTGTTTATTTTCTAGAATTCACTAAAGGTACCACAACCATGGTTCCAACTACGACATTTTCTGCAAATGATACTATTTTTACTGTAACGGAAACTGGTAAATTTATTATTTGTAAATGTGCTTTAACATATTCAAGTTTCTAGATGAAACAACGCTTGCAGTTGTAGAAACAACATTGACGACAAACAACACTTCAGAATTAACGATATCTTCCACGCCAATAAATAGTATTACTACAAATGGAACTGCAAACGGTAAGATTTTAAAGTCAGACTTGCCTTTAATTAACTTCTAGAAACCACTAAAGGTACTACCGTCCTTCCAAGTACGACATTTTCTACAAACAATACTACTTTTGACATGGCGGAAACTGGTAAATTTGTTATTCATGAATGTACTTTTATAAACTCAAATTTGTAGAGGATACAACATTAACGATTGTAGAAACAATAGTGCCGACAAACAACATCTCAGAATTATCGACAGTTTCCACGGCCACAATTAGTACTACTTCCAATGGAACTACAACCGGTAAGATTTTAATGTTGAATTGACCTAATTTATCTTCTAGAAACCATTAAAGATACCATCACCATGGTACCAATTACGACGTTTTCTGTAAATGATACTGCTTTTAATGTGACGGAAGCTGGTAAAGTTGTTATTCGTAAATGTACTTTAATATATTCCAGTTTCTTGCAGTTGTAGAAACAACAGTATCAACAAACAACGTTTCAGAATTAACGACAGTCTCTACACCAATCAATAGTACTACTTCAAATGGAACTGCAAACGGTAAGATCTTAATGTCAAGCTTGCCTGTAATTAACTTCTAAAAACCACTAAAGTAACTACCATGGTTCCGAGTACGCCATCTTCCATAAACGATAATACTTTTGACGTGGCAGAAACTGGTAAATTAGTTATTGGTAAATGTACTTTAATAAACTTAAATTTCTAGATGATACAACGCCAACAATTGTGGAAACAACAGTGCCGGCAAACAACATCTCAGAATTAACAACAATTTCCTCAACCACAATTAGTACTACTTCCAATGGAACTGCAACCGGTAAGATTTTAATGTTCAATTGACCTTTGTTTATCTTCTAGAAACCACTAAAGGTACCATCACCATGCTTCCAACTACGACGTTTTCTGTAAATGATACTACTTTTAACGTGGCGGAAACTGGTAAATTTGTTACTTTTACATGTACTTTAATAAACTTAAATTTCTAGATGATACAACACCAACAATTGTAGAAACAACAGTGCCGACAAACAACATCTCTGAAATAACGACAGCTTCCTCTGCAATAAATAGTACTACTTACAATGGAACTACAACCGGTAAGATTTGAATGTCAAATTGATCTGTATTTAACTTCTAGGAACCACTAAAGTAACCACCATACTTCCAACTACGATATTATCTGGGAATGATACTACTTTTATTGTGACAGAAACTGGTAAATTAGTTATTCGTAAATATACTTTAATATATTCAAGTTTCTAGATGATACAACGCTTCCAGCTGTAGAAACAACAGTGTCGACAAACAACGTTTCAGAATTAACGACAGCCTCTACGCCAATTAATAGTACTACTTCAAATGGAACTGCAAACGGTAAGATTTTAATGTCAAGCTTACCTGTAATTAACTTCTAGAAACCACTAAAGTAATCACTATGGTTCCGAGTACGCCATCTTCCATAAACGATAATACTTTTGACGTGGTGGAAACTGGTAAATTAGTTGTTGGTAAATGTACTTTAATAAACTTAAATTTCTAGATGATACGACGCCAACAATTGTGGAAACAAAAGTGCCGACGAACAACATCTCACAATTAACGACAACTTCCACGCCAATAAATAGTACTACTTCCAATGGAACTACAACCGGTAAGATTTTAATGTTCAATTGACCTTTATTTAACTTCTAGGAACCAAAAATATTTTTTTGTCATATTTTAATTTTAGGTTGTGAAACTTGTGCGGAGTCGTCCACACCTCTAACAACACCTGCATCGAGTGGTGATAGTGCAAGACGAATGTCTTTTTATTTCACAATGTTTATAGCTTGCATCTTTTGTGTATTATTAGTGGCGTGATTTATGTTTAAATTAATTCTTTTGAGTTAACTGCAATTTAATTAACCATAACGAACCGCAGTCAACAATAAATAATAATTACATAAAAGACTGGTATTCGGTTGTACTAAAAATAGGTTGTAAGTAGTACTTAATTATAATAGTAATTTCAATTAATTGTAGTTCAATAATTATATTTTAACTTTTTTACTGTCATTAAATTCTCCGTAGATAATTATTTTAAGTCGTAAACAATGAACTCATTTCTTCCTAATTGTCATGTAATTGAACAACATACAAAGAGGAAAAAGAAAACCCCAAAATTGATTACGAAATACATATCATACAAAAATGTTAAAATTGGATTTTTATTTCATTCTTCAAAATCTGATAACGTTAACTTTATGCGTCATGTGTAAAACCACTGTCATTTCCAAAAGTAATCTACAATATATTATTATTAATAAATATACACCTGGCGTAAATCTATAATGGTTTTATTTAGGTAGAAAAGTACCGTGACTAAACAAATCGTATTTTTTTCAAACATCGTATATTTGGAGCCGGAGCATCACAGACAACAACATTAAAAATTTCGAAAATGGGTTATGCGCAAGAAACTTGCATTTATAATCATCGACAAAAATATTCCCGTCCCTGTTTAGACAAGAATATCAAACAATTTAATGAATAATCAGAGCAAACATGAAAACAATGACCTGAGTTTTGCCTTATCAAAAGTGCAAACATACACCTCATAACAATGAAATCAAATCTCCAAAAATAATTCGTACGCAGTTGCAATAAGGAAAATTGACTCAACCTCTAGATATTCAAATATTTATTTTTATTTGTGATTCATTTGTTCCTTTTTTTCAGTAGCTTATGTATAAATAGGAGCTAACAGTAGTGACTTGCCTTAGCAACTCAATACGCACCATGAAGATCGTCTTCTTGGCAGCGGTGAGTACTAGCATTAGTTCAGCGGTTTTTGAAAATAGACTTTCAGATTTTGGTAGAATGGACATACTGCGTGGGAGCGCAAAATCAGACAATCTTTGTAGATGGTGAGTTGTGTAAATAAAATTATAAAATTTAAAAATAAGTTACAGGGGGTACCACGGCAATGGCAGAAATGACTTCAACGACTTCGGTTAATGTTGATTTTACGAGTACAGTAGTAAGTAATGTAACTGATAATTATATAGTAATGACAACAAACGCGGATGAATTAAATAACAATCCAAGTTTAAATACCAGTCCAACTACTTACAAAGATATCGATTCTAGTACTACTACAACAGGTAAACAAAAAGTACCGTTTTGTCATAACATTAAATGGGCAAGTTTTAGATCCAATCACGACAGTAGAGCCGCTGAGCGGAGGAACTGTTCTCTACGCAAGTCGATATGTGTTGATTCTATTACCAATTTTGTTTCTAATGTAGTTCTAAATATAGACACTTTTAAAAAATCGAATGTTGCAATTTTAAAAACCTGAAAATATTTTCATTAGAGTGTATAGAGTTAATTTTTCGTCTCTCATAACTGTGACTAACCCTACGTAAAATTAGTACCGTAATTACAGTACTTTACCAGTAGTAATAGCCTAATAGCGGTAACGCTCTATAAAGAAATCTGAGAGATCGGTTACAATTTTTAACAGTTCCAGCAAGCAACACAACGAAGAAATCAACCAACGTTTGCAAAAAGTAATCAGTTGAAGAGGTTTAATATTCGGTGATGTTTTTTATCGCTACATATACTCATAATATATTGTAAACAAATATTTTGTTTTAATAAAAAGTATAATAATCCATGCGATGGCGTTCACCTCCCTTATCAATTCAAACGTTTCTTATCTTTTTAGATGCGTTTATTTTTCATTGTTTAAAAGGTCTCTTTAACTGAATTTGTTATTAATAATAATGATAATGACTTAATAATTTATTTATTTATTTAAATTAAGTTTTATATTATAAATTAAAGTAACATCAAGTATCTACTATTTCCATGCAAGAAATGTTAATATTAATATTAAAACTATTATTCACATTTAAAAATTGCTTCATTGGATCCTTGCTGCTGAAGCAGCGTTTGAAGTGTTCTACTAGGTTACGTAGTAGAATGTAGGGTGCGGTAAATGCACTTGGACATATTGTCAGTCACAAGTTGTGAAATATGTTTTAAGCAATTAAATTCTTTCAATATACTTGAAAATTACGTATCACTTTGCAAATCGTTCCGAGAATAAATGCTAAAAAAATAAGTAGGTATGTACTACCGTTTCGATACGAACTATACTTGATATTCAAACGTATCTACTCTATCCCTCTACCCTAACATTTCTATTTTGAAAATCCCAAATCAATAAATTTGATTTTTTAGAAGAATAACTCGCGTCATTAATCATCCATGCTTCTCCACCACTACCGCCACAAAAAACCCTTTTTTGCTCCTTCCACTATCTCCGGCGATAACCCTTACACTTCTTTTCTCCAACAATCACCGTGCACATTTTACAACCAAATTTTAACAAACCAAGGTAAGAAAATTCCCTCATCAGCAGAAATCGTAAAATCTCACCGCCCTCTTCCAGAATGTACAACCTTTTAATACTGGCAGGAGCTATCGCTTCTGCCACCGGTTTTATCGACTTCTTTGCCCCCTTCAGCCACCCGAACTGCACTTACGACCAATTCTTCTGCACCAACTTCGACTGCATTCCATCGAGCAAGCAGTGTGACGGTCACGAAGACTGCAGCGATGGTGTCGACGAACACGACTGCGGTAAAAAAAACTGCTCCAAAAACGAATCCCTTGAGAATCCTTCTCTTCCAGATCTATATCACTGCAAACAACCGTTTTTCTTCAAGTGCAAAAACGCAAGGTGCATCAGTACTAGTTTTGTCTGCGACGAGGAGAACGACTGCGGAGACTTTTCCGACGAAGACTCTTGCAAAGGGTTGCAGCAGATGAATGGTACTTGCCCGGAAAGCCACTGGCAGTGTTCCAACAAGAGATGTATAGCGAAAGAGTGGGTGTGCGATGGGCAGAGCGACTGCTCGGACGGGTCGGACGAAACGCTGGGCTGCAGTAGTACCATCGTTTGTAAAGACTTCAAATGCAAGAATAATCACTGCATCTTCAACGAGTGGCGCTGCGATGGACAAGATGATTGTCGAGATAATAGCGACGAAGAGAACTGTGGTACGACTTCGAATTCAACGGTATTGCCACTAATCGTACTATTTCAGGTAGTACTATCGACCCCAAACAATGCACTATGGAGAACGATCGTTTTCTCTGCGCTGATGGCAAAACCTGCATCAAGTTCAGCCAAGTCTGTGACGACGTCCCCCACTGCCCCAACAAGACAGATGAAGGGACTGCGTGCTCTAAGACTTGCGATCGTTGCTCTCACCATTGTCTTCAACTACCAACAGGACCTGTATGCATATGTCCAGATGGGTACCACACCAGAAAAGGCAACGTATGCCAGGATATCAACGAGTGTGATATCTACGGTAAGCGCTTGTTTTCGTTTTCCAGCAGTACTATAACAAATTCCAGGAATCTGTGACCACAAGTGTCAAAACACGCCCGGTTCGTACCAATGTGCTTGTGACGAAAATTACAGGCTTCAGTCTGATGGGAAGACTTGCAAGGCACACTTTGGAGAAGGTACCTTGTACTTTAGTTCCAAGAAGGAAATAAGGGCCTACTTTTTACGATCCGAGGTTTATTTTGCGGTTGCTAAAAACCTCAAGCAAGCTGTGGGGGTGGATTTCGACGGCAAGTATGTGTACTGGACAGATATTTTTTCAGAGCACGAGAGCATAGTTAAGTCGCCGAAGAATGGGGAGAAACGAGAGGTACCATTTCGATACTACACCGTGCCAAAAGATTCTGATTTTTGTAAAATTTTAGCTTTTGGTGACCTCTGGTTTGGGAGCACCCGAAGACTTACACGTAGACTACATTACAAAAAATATCTACTTCACGGATGGAGAAAGGGAGCATATAGGTGTCTGTACCAACGATGGCACTCATTGCGCCATCATCTTTATCGAGAACATCCATAGACCAAGAGGCATAGTTCTTAATCCCGAAGACGGGTAAGTCACTTTATAGTCCAGTCCATCCGGCACTAAAAAATGGACAACCATGCATTTTGGGTATGCAGCGATTTTTTCTTTGGGTTTCGTCGGGTCGGTTCTAAATGTAAAAGTAATGCATCCTTATTTTCAAGATGGAGGCCGATGCTTCCACGAAATAAAAAGAATATATCTGCTCACTCAAAATGTACGTCCTCATGTCGGACTGAAAAACTCGCACAGAAAAAATCTTGTTTTCAGCGAAATGTACTGGACCGACTGGGGCGACCATCCCCAGATCGGGCGCGCTCTCATGGACGGTCGCAACGCCACTTCTTTCGTTTCCGGCAATATCCGCTGGCCCAATGGCCTCGCCCTCGACCTGCCCAATTCCCGCCTCTACTGGACCGACGCTAAGCAGACTACCATCGAAAGCGTGCGTCTCGATGGCACCGACCGCCGCATCATCCTCCAGGGCATCGTCAAGCACCCGTACGCCATCGCCGTGTTCGAGAACCGCCTCTTCTGGTCGGACTGGGGCACGAACTCCATCCAGTCCTGCGACAAGTTCACTGGCAAGAACCACCGCACCATCATCAAAGAGCAGAAGGACATCTACGACATCACCATCTACCACCCCACCAACCACAAGAAGCTGTACAACCCGTGCGTGGGCGCCATGTGCAGCGACGTCTGCCTGCTGAGCGGCACCACGTACTCGTGTGCATGTCCGCCGGACAAGGAGATGACCTCTGATAACCACACCTGCAAGGTCGCGATCAAGAGGCAGAGGTTGGTGCTGGGTGCTGGCAGCATGTTGCTGGAGGTGGAGCACCAAGTGCTGGGGAAGCACTCGGCGAGCGCGTTCTCGGTGATGGTGAAGAAGATAGGGGCGCTGGCGTACAACAGCGTGGAGAACGTGGTGTATGTAAGCGACCTGGGGACCAGGAAGGTGGTGAGCGTGGGAATGACGACGGGAGGAGCGAAGCTGGTGGAGGTGGGCGAAGTGGGGCAAGTGACCGCTATGGACTACGGTAGGAAGTCTGTGGCTGCAGTTTGGCTTTGAATTTGATGGTTTTTTGTTGTTTTCAGATTACCTAGGCAACAACTTGTACTGGTGTGACTCGGAACGCAAAACTTTAGAGGTCTTCAATTTTAACACACGGTCAAGAACGGTTCTTTTGCACGATTTATACGGCGAAGTGCCAGAAGCCATCGTTTTAGTACCAGAAGAAGGGTAAACATTTTTTGCTTTTTGATCTCTTTCTTACTTTTCTTTTCTAGGGTTATGTTTGTCGCCTTTCGCCACTTCGATCGTCCAGCCAGTCATGTCGACAGACTTTTGATGGATGGTACTACCAGAACCCATCCTGTCGAAGAAGGTCTTGTTGGTCCCATAAGCCTCTGTTACGACTCCACGCTTCATAGAATCTTCATAGCAGATGCAGGTACTGGCAAGATAGAAAGTACCAGCGTGGAAGGCAACGACAGGCACGAATTTCGCTCTCTGGTAACATTACCAATAGGGATAGCGTCCCTAAAGTCGGACCTTTTCTGGGTGAACAGGTACTCGAAGTCAATTAAATGGGGCGATAAATTTAACGCCGCAATTTCGAGTTACAACAAAAAAATTACTTTGGGTAAGATTTGAAAAAGACCGTTCCTGCTTGATAACATCTGTTTTTTTTTCAGATTTACCTCACGACATAGACAGGATGTACATAGTCTCCGTAACCCCACGAAAAATCGGCCTAAGTCCTTGCCAGAATAATAACGGCGGCTGCTCCCACCTCTGTCTTCAGTCACGAAAGAAAATCGTTTGTGCTTGTCCAGTAGACCAAACTCTAAACAAAGATAACAAAACGTGCATCAAACGTACTGAGTGTTTCTCAAACCAGTTCTTCTGTACGAGTACTAACACTTGCATCTCGAAAATCTTGCGGTGTGATGGTACCAAAAATTGTCCCAACGGTGAAGATGAAGCCGACTGCAAAAAATCCAATCATTGTCCTTTGAACTACTACCAGTGCGAAGATGGAGAGTGTATTGAAGACTCGCTAAGGTGCAACTATCAGTTCGATTGCAGAGACAAAACAGATGAAAGAAACTGCAGTCACGTGGTGATGACCAAATGTCCTCCTAAACACTTCATGTGCAAGAACCGCCGTTGTATTAACGAAAGACTTGTCTGCGATGGAGTTAAAGACTGCGATGACCGCGAAGACGAAGAGAACTGCGTAGCCACAATTTGCAAAGATAATGAGTTCAGGTGAGGATCTCTAAGGCCTTGTTTACCGTTGATGACTTTGGTTCTATGACGAATTCACTTAGGTGTAAATCTGGAGCTTGCATTTCCAAAGAGTGGGAATGCGACCACGAGTTTGACTGCCCAGACATGTCAGATGAACATCCTGGTTGTCGTAAGTATTTTACCAGTACCTTAAATAATGTCTCCGATCTTATCTTATTAGACTTAAAAAAAAATAGGTGTAAGCGCAACGGTCATTGTCCAAACATAAAAAGTAAACAACCTAGTTGTACCTCAACTCTTTGACCATCCTCTTCTTCTACAGACTGTCCACATTTCCTATATGCGTTCTGCCAAAGATAACTTCAAGTTTATTCTTCCTCTTCTAGCTAAATGCAGCCTTCCTCAATTCACCTGTTCCAATGGTAAGTGTATCGACCAAAGCTTCCTCTGCGACGGCGAAAACGACTGTGGCGACCACTCCGACGAAATTTCTTGCTCCAAAATCATCGAAACGTGCAAAGAAAAAGAATTCTCGTGTTCGCCGCGTTCTCAACATTGCCTTCCCAGAAGTGCTCTATGCAATGGTACCGTCGAGTGCCCACGCGGCGAAGACGAGAACCACTGCTCCAACGACTGCCAAGTAGACGAGTTCGAATGTAAGAACAAGATGTGCATACCACGAGAATGGTTGTGCGACCACTCCGATGACTGTGGAGATAAGAGCGATGAAGTACCCACCATGTGCAACCACACGGTGCCACATCAAGAAGAAGTCGATACCTGTCAGAACAAGTACCGATGCAAAAATGGCCAGTGCATCGATTTTACTTTGGTATGCAATTACGAGCATAATTGTTCGGATGGATCCGACGAGAATGGGGTCTGTGATACCGCGTGCAATGTTCTGAATGATCCGTGTAACCAGATTTGCGTGAAAACACCAAACGGGCCAACTTGTAGGTGCGAAGAAGGCTTCTACTTAACAGGTAGTACCGAAATCATGTCAAAATCTCGTATACTTTTGTCTTGGTAGGTGACGGTAAAACGTGCGAAGATATAGACGAGTGCGTCGAGGAGCCGCCTCTCTGTGGTCAGCTCTGCCACAACATCCCCGGGTTCTACCTTTGCGACTGCTACGAAGGCTTTGCTCTCCGCACCGATCGGATCTCCTGCAAAGCCGAAGGCAAACCCATGTCAATGGTCTTCGTCACCGACAATCAAATTCGACAAATGTCGCAAATGGAGAACTCTCTCAAACTTTTGTACTCGGAAGATGGTCCCAAAATCACAGGTTTGGATGCCTCCTCCGACACCATTTACTTCTCTATGGAAAACTCGGGTACTATCGTTAAAATTAACCAAACTAGTGGCAAGTCGGAGTTTTTGGAAGCCGCCGGCCAACCCACGAAGCTCTCCCTAGACTGGCTCACTCATAACATTTACTACATGAATAACGAACCTAGAGGCAAAAGCATCAGTGTGTGTAACTTCGACGACAAGAGTTGCACTAGGTTGTTGTCCATAGACCAGCACAGACAAGTGTCCGCCATCGCTGTAGATGCGGAAAATAAATACCTCTTTTACGCTATAGTGAGCTGGTCCATGTTCAAGCCGCCAAATTATGTCCTTTACAAAACCAATTTAGATGGTACTGCCGTACAAGAACTCGTCAAGAATAGTCCTGGGTTTATCACGGGTTTAGCTTTCGATCTATATAAGAAGGAGCTCTACCTTGTCGACCAACACCAAGGTCAGTTGAGTAAGATTGGATACGATGGTATCAGGAAGGTTCTTCTCGTTGCGAATCTCACGAGACCCAACGGATTGGCGGTTTTCGAAAACCAGGTGACTACTATCAGTTTAAACGTTGTTTGTTACAAAAACATTGAATCTATCTCTTCAGGTTTTCTTCCAAACGGCCGGTTTTATGCAAAAGTGTCGTCTGTACGCGCCCGTCGTATGTGACAATTTCAAATTCAAAAGTGACATGTTTACTGTGGTACAGAAATCGAAACAAACACCTGGTATAAACCACTGCCAAAATCACACTTGTTCCTTCGTGTGCGTGGCAGCTCGAGAAGAATACCGATGTCTGTGCGAGGATGGAAAAGTGGTAATGCCCGAAGAAGGGTGTGATTCTAATAAAGTACGACTTATTTTTGCTTTTTGATTATTGGGTATAACAAAAACGATTTTAGCGTGAGGCTAGTTCCGACGACAGTAGAAGAGTTCTCGTGACGTATCACCACGAGCACTACTCTTCCAACCCAGGTCCTGTGATTGCTGGAGTGATGATTTCTATATGTTTGGTGGCTTTCGGTATATTTATTTTCTTTGTGGTGAAGAGGAGAAGCAGTGGGACTTTCAATCTCATCAAGTGAGTGTTGAAAAAGAGATGTCTTTTACTAGTTTTTTTTTTTGTAGTATGAGATTCCACAATCCCGCATATGGCTTACATAGTGACGATGCCGAAAAGTCTATTTTAGAACCAGGTCAACACGAGTATTCCAACCCAGTTGATTTTTTTGAGAACCAAGGAGAATCCGATTCCACCTCCACCTCCACCAAAAAAGAAGTGTTAGTTGATGTGTAGTGTTGTCCTGTTTTACTGTTGTTGTTGCGTATTGATTGTGTATCAATATTATTGTTATTAACTCTTTTAGATAAATTGTAGCTCTGGCCTAACAAATAAAGTTTTAAAACTATTTAAAACGGTGTTTTGAATTTGACACCAACCATAATTTGTAACGAATGGAAATTAGGTGGAAAAAAGTAGAGCGAACATTTTGTCGAACGGAAAAAACAAATTTTGAAATAGGCAAATTGTTGGTTACATACGTACACAAAAATTTTATTTTATAAAATTACAAATAATAAAAGCATTGCGAATCAAAACTCGTCATTGACAACTTTTACACTGAAAACAGATATTTCTTTACATTTACTTATACTTATAACTATTTACTTAGCGTATACATAACGCATATTGAGTTGCATAACGTTGAACATCAGTGATTGCATCTAGTGAACGATTTTTTTTAATGACAGTGAGCTCGTACTCTAGCAAATTTTCGGTCCTCTCCTTTTCCCATAGAAAACTATTCTAGTGGTTATATTCTATGACTTTCTAAAGTACTGCAGTACCTTGTGATAACCCAAACATCCCGCCTTAAATTGACATGTGGAAAAAAATTTAAAGCCCCCGAAAAATTCAAAAAATTTGCCTTGGCTGTAATCGTCTGACAAAATGGAACCTACGTTGTGTGTTTTTTTTTGTGTCGGAATCCGTTCAGATGCAAGTGGTGAACCCCAAAGTTGGAAAAGTACCGCTAAATAAAACACAAAATATATGGAGGACACAAAATTATTTATTCCTCCACTGACTGGGGCTCCCGGTCGTGGCTGTCCTTCCACCGCGACGGTGATTCTATTCTATCGACAAGCACTGCCGCCCAGCACCCCTCTATCGAATGAAGAAACGTGTCGCGCTACCCACTCCGCTATGGTCGCAAACTCGTGGTTGGAAATCACGGCTATAAATAAGCTGACAGTGTCACGTCATCCCGACCGTCCCTGACTTCTATTCAAGACCTGTATCTGTTGTGAAGATGGCGCGGCCGCCAGCTCGACAAGGAACCGCGCACTCCGCTTCCGCTACGTATTTATGTGTTATTTAACCTCAATTCCATTTCAATGTTCCATTTCTATAACTCTGACACTAAACTACTACTGAACAAGTGTTAAAGTTTCAAAAAAGCAATAAACAATATTTAAATTCGCCATAGACCCTTGTGAAATTTGAAACAGTAAAGAATTCTTATCTGAGATTAGATAATTTTATGATGCTTGAAGCATCAATCAACAAAATATTTACAAGAAGAAAAAAACTACCAAAGATTTATAAAAACAAAAAAGATCTGGTGTGAAATAAAACTTGTACAGACAAAAATATTACGTGAGGTTAGAAACTGCAGAGCATGAAAATTTACGTTCATTTTAAATTATACAGCAAACAAAATTACTGAGGCTAAAATTGTGAGATCGAGAAAACTTGTATGAGGTCAAAACTGCAAAGCTAACAAATTTACATAAGTTTAATATTTTGTGTCCAGTCGAGTTATTGGTTAATTTTTAAAAGTGAAGTGAAGTCAAAAATATGTCTCCCAAAAATGTGATCAATCCTATGGCGGTATGCAAATAATAGTCTAACTCCAAGGAATAAAATGCAGGTCCCACGTGACCCCCAATGTTGTTAATTTGTTCAATGAGATTTTACAGTTCAAACATGTGCTCGGTTTGAAAATACTTTTGCAACATGGCCGCAGCCAGAACAAAGAATTTACTAGATGTTAAATTATATCACATTTTATCAACGATTCAGACAAAGAATTTACATTATGTTAAATTATGCCACACTTTATCAACGGTTCAAACAAATAATTTACATTATGTTAAATTATGCCATACTTTATCAACGATTCAAACAAGAATTTACATTATGCTAAATGGTGTCTTGATCCAAGTGACTGGTTGCTTAAAACAACATGATAAATAAACAACACAAAATGTATCCGGCGTTGCGAGAAAAGCTCCTCGGTGAAGTAATTTTCAACGTTGCTAGAAAATATATCTCGGTGATGTGATGATGATATGATGATAATAACTGCCTAAAGGTAGAAATTTGTAATCCCCCCGTCCTCAGTCCACGATATTATGAATTTCATTCATAATTTGGTAAACAGAGAATGTGTCCTGACTAAGTGAATTTCATGAAATCTAACAAGCGCCATGTCTAAACAAACTCCTGACTGTTAAATTGTGTTAGAACCAGTTAACGATTAAAATCCTAATATGAATTGTGCATTTACAAACAATAAAATAAATTTACACAATGTGTTAGCGTCGGTCGAAAATTGGGAAAAAACGCAAGAATTAGCTACGAATGTTGGGAAAACTGTTGTGTCGTCGTCATTACGATTAATTTTCGTGAAACAAAGGTTCTCTATTTTTTATTAACTACCAAGCCAACTAAACTTAACCTAGCTAACTTACGACGTGGTTTTCACTCACAACAACAAACCAAAAGTGACCCTTTCTCTTTCCCGACCCTCTACAAAGCAAGCGCCCCTCTCACTACCAACCCTCTAACTAAAATTCCCTAGCAGAACTACCCACTACCAGAAAAAAACTAAACGTCCACATGATTGCCTCTGTTTAACAATATTTTCTTGGTTGAATTTTTTTTCAAATTCAAATTATTCAAATGCGATTTCGCGCCGCTTTAATTTTTTTCAGCGCGATATTTTAATTCAAATTCGGTCACCACAACCTATAATAAAGTACTTTAACTTTTCCTATTTTGATTTTTTCCGCTCTACAAAATATACGGTTTACATTTTTTTTTTTTGCGTAATTTCCGTTAGTCACATTCACATACGCCATATGCCCATATATTCGTATCATATATGTATTGTCTTCGCCATTTCTATTGAAACACCACCTGTTGATTTTACTTAAAATTTAGCAATTGGTAACAGCTTTCGGTTGATTGACAACGGCTTTTAATTCGAAAATTATCTAAATATGAACGTTGCCAAATTTACGATTAACAGGTGGTGTTTCAATAGAAATGGCAAAGACTATACATTTAACTGGTGAAGAGATTTATTTTATTTTTATCATATCTCAAAAAAGTAGTTACCGGAACCACCGGAACCTTTATTTCAAAATATACACGAATGTAGTAACTTTATCCACCGTCCTTGCAACGCATGTGCTGTGGCATGTGCATCAAAACTGTCAATTGTCATTCCCTGATTGTCATTGATTGTCATTAGAGGTTAAGAATCAGAGTAAACAAAAGTAACAACAGGTATTTAGGAATATTATATTCATTTTTAGCAACACAAACTTAATTTATTGTCGTAGGTCTTCAGCTCTAGACAACCGCTTTCAAGAAAGTGAAGGTAACACCTATCCTCGCGAAACTCCACCACCATGGGTGACCGCTACAACATCCACAGCCAACTGGAGCATCTCCAGTCCAAATACATCGGCACAGGACACTCCGAAATCACCAAATACGAGTGGCTCGTCAATCAGCACCGAGACAGCTACTCGAGCTACCTCGGCCACTCTGACCTGCTCAACTACTTCGCCATCTGCGAAAACGAAGCCAAAGCACGTGTCCGCTTCAACCTCATGGAGAAAATGTTACAACCCTGTGGTCCCCCACCTGACAAGCCCGAGGACTAAATAAAACATCTTTCACTTATAAAGCTTATTTATTTCATCTCGTACATAATAAAAAAAAACTTCAATAAACAACATCGCGTAATGACTGGCTTCTACGAACATTTTTGGCGCGAACACCGACCAGATAAACAAATGGTGTCTGTGCAGGTACGTAACGAGGAAGACTAGAAGGGCGATATACAAACGAAAGCCAAAGAAGGTGGGAAAAGTCATTCGAGGGCGGATGTCTGTATTGACGAAGAGGAGCAAGTGGGAGAGAATCGGGAGGGCGTAGGTGTGGGAAAGCACTTGCGGGAAGACGAAGAAAGGGTTGTAGTGGGTAAGACCCACGTAACCGGAGGAGATATCGACGCTTGAGAGGCTGTTGTCGTGGCCTTGGGCGAAGAAGAGTAAGTTGCCGAGGGCCATGTGGGCCAAGATCGTAGGCTGCTTGGGCAGGGTTTGTTGGAAAAGTACGCTTGCGAATGCGCACGCGGGGATGAGGACCACGTTGTAGGGTTTTAGCAGGAGGGAGATGGTGAGGGTCCACACTGGTAAGAAGTCGTGTTTTCGTATAAGTATGACGGCAAGTTTTACAAAGATTAAGGACCACAGCACTTTCCCGCATAAGTGGTTTTCGTTCGACGGTATCCTGTAGACGAAAATTCCTACTAAAATTGGGAGATCCAAAACGAATACTGTGATGTCTTTTCTAAACACGAAATTAACGTAGAAGGTGAGGGCTAACCCTAGCCCAAATATCGCGACTAAAAAAGGCCGATTCTCTTCCTGTAGTAGCCAATCGGATAAGTCTGGAGCCCCTGCCCACTGATCCCCCACTTGATTCATCGTTCGTACAAATCGTAGCACTACGAAAAGTAACCCCCACTTTAGTTTCTCTCTATTCGTTACAATATTATACAAAAGGAACGTGTTGGTGGCGAAGTACCAGAACTGGTGCTCCTCTTCCAAAAAACTCGACGATAAAAAAATAAACGGGTGTATAACGCACACCCACGACCAGAACGACCATTCAATTACACTAAAATCCTTTCTCTGAAGAGCGCACAAGTACATTGTTATGTAAACACAAGCACAATAAAATGCTATGTCGTTGGTTTCAGGTTTCCAAGTTAACAATGGCCACAGTAAGAAAATTACAAAAGTACATTCCATCAGAAGATCAACACTCAAAAAACCTGTGTAACTTTTAATCAGGCGAACTATAACAAAAGCTCCAGTAAAGACTGACAAAAGGAGGCAAAAAATATCTTGTTGTGTGGAATCATGTTGGAGCTTTTCGCTAACCATTTTTGAACAACTCTTGTAGATTTTTGTGGCATTTTCACCTGAGACAGCATCATTGTTTGTCATATACAAATCAAAGAGTTGATCGGCCATTTGAGTGTCTTTACAAGGGTCTTGTTTTTTTCTCAGCAAGTCCGTGTTATACTTGACGGCACGTAAATACTGATCCCGTGATAACTGCGTGAGGAGAGTGTCGTGGAGCTGCCCTATACTCGTAGGGGGAATGTCGAACCCTAGCAAAAGCGCTAAATTCGCAGCTACGTCAATTTGAGCAAATGTATCGTTCTTGCACGGCATTCCTAGAACCACCAACGGTACGTTGGTTTCAGGGTAGGTGGACCCCCCGTGCCCCCCGCCGTCTCTCATCCCATGATCACCCGTCACTACAATCAACGTGTTGTTATTCTTACCATAAATTTCCTCAATTATATAATCCATTTCCCTCAGTTTCGTCAATATTAGAGGCGATTTTGGCCCGTACACATGTCCAATGTGGTCTAACCCCAAATAATGTAAAATCATAATATCCCAGTCGTTTCTTTCATTTTCCAGGCGAACATTCCGGGTCACGTTATCGTCCACTTCCGTATAGTCGTTGACGAAAAATGACGACGTGCCCTCGCTCCGTACAAACTCCTCAGGAAACAACTTCACCCATATATCATCTCCGTAAAACACTATCCTTTTCCCGTTAGCGTGTGCCCGGTGGATGAAGCTGTCTTCAACCTTGGTCGGGACCGCCAAATTCAATATAATATCGATAAACTGGGGCACGTATCCTGTGGTCAGTGCTTTGATCCTCGGAAGAGTAACTGTAGGTGTTTCGACTTTAAGGTGGATGAAACAACCACTGTTTTTGAATGTTCGTGATAAAAAAGGGGTGGTGGCGTCTGAGACGAAGTCGAGACGTAGAGCATCAATTACTATAAACACGGCTTTGTGCTGCGGGGGGTTATGGATGGTGACGTTGTTTGGAGGATAATCATATGAAGGCCGAGGCGGGATTGGGAAAAAACCTTTCAAAAAGACGAGAATTGACAGGAGTCCGATCAAATAATAGCAGAATCTATCGCAGAAATGATTGAGTGAGTGGTCCACGTTGCGTAGGGGGCGATTTGACATTTTTGATGGGCCTACTTGATTGATTTTTCAGAGGGTTTATCTTATCACATAGTTGTGTTTCCTAGAAGGGCTTGGATTTAATTAGTTGAATAACTGAAAGGAAAACTTACAGGGCATCAGTTTACAGCATTTATTGGTATTAGGCGGATTTTTTCCTACATTTTTTTACATTTTGCTCAAAAATCGAAATACATCAAATGCCAGAGGGCGCCACTATAGAGCTACATAATGACATTTGATACAGATAAAACATTTTTAAAAACATAAGAATAGAATAATTTCATTAAAATCCAGAAAAAAGTAGTACAAAATTAATACACTGACTGTTGGAGGAAAAATTATAATTTTTAGCTAATACTTTCCAATACCAGTCCAATACTTTAACTTCCACTTGTATTGTTGATTGCATAATTGTAGGCCAATTAAATAAATTGCCATTTTGTAAATAAGAAACTCAAAAAAAGACCACAAACGAAAACTTGTTAATTTTTTTTTTAATTTAAATGTGAAATAAAAGCACAGATCACTTAAAGTTAATAATGGATTAACTAGCCGTATAGGCAACCAATAAATTTCCCATAGTTTACGTGCCAGATGGCGCCACTCGCCCAAATCCGCGCTTGACGTTTAATTGTAAACATAACCTCATATAACCTAACTTCCACCACTCAGCCGGCGCGATGCCCGACATAAAAATCACCCCCTTGGGCGCAGGCCAGGACGTTGGTCGCAGTTGCATTCTCCTCTCCATGGGCGGCAAGAACATAATGCTTGACTGCGGCATGCATATGGGTTTCAACGACGAGCGCCGCTTCCCCGACTTCTCATATATAACCCAAGAGGGCCCCCTCACGTCCTACATCGACTGCGTCATCATCTCGCACTTCCACCTCGACCACTGCGGCGCGCTGCCCTACATGTCTGAAATGGTGGGCTACTCGGGCCCCATTTACATGACCCACCCCACCAAAGCCATAGCCCCCATTCTGCTCGAAGACATGCGTAAGGTATCCGTCGAGAAGAAGGGCGACATGAACTTCTTCACTTCCCAGATGATCAAGGACTGCATGAAGAAGGTAATCGCGGTAACTCTGCACCAGTCTCTGATGGTTGACAGCGAGATCGAGATCAAAGCGTACTATGCGGGACACGTTCTGGGGGCGGCCATGTTCTGGATACGAGTGGGGTCGCAGAGTGTGGTTTACACGGGAGATTATAACATGACGCCTGATCGACATCTGGGGGCTGCCTGGATCGACAAGTGTCGACCGGATTTACTCATTTCGGAAAGTACGTACGCTACGACGATCAGAGACTCGAAACGGTGTCGCGAACGAGACTTTTTGAAAAAAGTGCACGAATGTATAGATCGTGGCGGGAAAGTTCTGATACCGGTTTTCGCCCTTGGAAGGGCACAGGAATTGTGTATCCTACTGGAAACGTATTGGGAACGCATGAATCTTAAAGCCCCCGTGTACTTCGCGTTAGGGCTTACGGAAAAAGCCAATAATTACTACAAGATGTTCATCACTTGGACGAATCAAAAGATCCGCAAGACGTTCGTTCAGAGGAACATGTTTGATTTCAAACACATCAAGCCTTTTGATCGTCAGTATATAGATAATCCGGGGCCTATGGTCGTTTTTGCGACTCCGGGGATGCTCCACGCGGGACTCAGTCTCCAGATTTTCAAGAAGTGGGCGCCTAATGAGAACAATATGGTCATAATGCCGGGTTTTTGTGTCCAAGGCACAGTTGGTCATAAAATTCTGAATGGCGCGAAGCGAGTCGAGTTCGAGAATAAGCAAATCGTAGAGGTGAAGATGAGCGTGGAGTACATGAGTTTTTCGGCGCATGCAGACGCTAAAGGAATTATGCAACTAATTCAGCATTGTGAGCCCAAGAATGTCATGCTTGTACATGGTGAGGCTGAGAAGATGGAGTTTCTTAAACAGGTCAGAAAAATATTTTAACTGAACATTTTTTTACTCCAAACTTGTCCTTTAAAGATAAAAAAAAAACCATAAACAAAACTTGTTTTTTTTTTCAGAAAATCCAGCAAGAATTCAACCTCAACTGCTACAACCCCGCCAACGGCGAAACATGCGTTATTAACACCCCAGTGAAAATCCCCATCGACGTTTCGTTGCCCCTACTCAAGAGCGAAGCGAAAAAGTTCAACGCATTACCCCCCGACCCCAAACGAAGGAGAACCCTCCACGGCGTCCTCGTAATGAGAGAGAACAGCGTGTGTCTGATGGACGTAGAAGAGGCGTGCAGGGAAGCCGGCATCAACAGACACATCATCCGATTTTCTTCTACCGTACATATTAACGATACAGGTCCGGCGCTTTCCACCGCCCACAAGCTGCACGTTTTCATCAAAGAAAACTTGCCGCAGTGGCCGGTGACGTTCGCCGAAGGCGAGATTTCCATCGAGTCCGTTCTGGTGAAAGTCGAAGGCGACGAGAACGAGCAGAAGAACGTTTACGTTTCGTGGACGAATCAGGACGAAGATCTGGGGAGCTATATCTTGAATATGTTGAACCAAATGGGACAGTAGGATTTTTGAATCCAGCGCCGGTCACCGACGGAAATGTAGGCCACGTGACATGCAGACGTTGAGTTGCGTGAAAAAATTTTGAAATGAAGTAAGATATTTTTGTAAGTCTTGTAAGTTGTACTATGTGTAGTAATTAAATGCATTAAAGAATGTTAATAAGAATGTGATATTGTTTAGAATTTATATTTTTAAATTTTTTTGGAACAAATGTCACTGACTTCAGCGACATCTGCCGGTGTAAAAACACGCTACAGCAATTCTGGTGCAGCCTTATTTTTCTATTTTAATTATGTAGTTACCGCTGGAATTTAGTGCGTGTGTATTTGGTTGCCTACATTTGGCGCCTTTATCGCAAAAAGTAGCTTGCGAGTCGTAAAACAGTCAATGACCCAACACCCTGTTGAAACAATTAGAAAGGAAAGAGAGCGCATGCAATTTTCTCAAATAAAAAACAACATTAAAAAAATATTAATATTTAAACAATAAAACGCACACATTTTCAAACTTGACATAGTGATAAACGCAAAAGAACTAGATTTTTACAAAACATTTTTTTAAATGGCATAGAAATCAGCTGCCAACGATTTCTCACTGCAAAATAATAAACACAATGTAATTAAGCCTTTCGTAATATGTATTTAATTATTATTTCGCAAATTTTTCAAACATTTCAATTTCAAGTTTACATGTCATACCAATCTCTCAAACCCGTTGTCCCTAACGTCAAAAAGCGCGAAAGCAACATCAACAGGTTACTTTCAACCTCCCCAAAACAATGCAAGAAATCACAGATAAATATCGCCCTGAGCGCGATGTGAAATCGTTTAAAAGAAACACAGACATTAACAGGTGCGTCTTACCCTTTTTGTATTCGTGACTTTAAGTTTTTTTCAGAGAAGAAACTTCTGAAGCGAGGTTGCGTCAAATCATCGAAAATGATACAATTGACGCCAAGTACGGCTTTGAAAGAGTCCGGGATCACGTAGAGAGGACGGGGTTTTTGCTAAATATGCATGGGGTGAGTTGGGACGTTGTTTGGACAAGTTTTCAACAAGTTGTCGTAGAGCGAAATCTTGGATGAAGATAAACGGTTAGTGGCCGCCGTTGATTTCTATTTTATGGAAGAGGACGGGACCCGTTTTAAAGTGTCGTATTGCTACATGCCGTATTTTTATATTTTAACGAAAAGGGAGCTGATACAAGAGGTGTCTCAGTTTTTGTCTAAAAAGTTCTCAGGCACGATTGGGAAAATTGAAACTGTGACTAAGGAAGATTTAGATTTGGTAAAACAAAATTGAGTTTAATGTAGTCTTATTGACGTAGTTTTTCAGCCAAATCATTTAATTGGACTGAAGCAAAAGTACATCAAATTGTCATTCTGCAACCAAACTGATTTGATTAAAGTCAGAAAAGAAATTTTAAAAGTTGTAAGAAAAAATAAAGAGAGGCAAAATGCAAACACATTTTACACAGAACTGTTGACTGACATTCTAACAGATAAAGGTGATGTGGCCGCCACTAAAGCAAACACTGACCAAATGGAAAACATCTTAGACATACGGTAGTTTTTACTTGAATATATAACAACAACATAACTTGTTACATTTCAGAGAATATGATGTTCCTTACCATGTACGTGTCTCCATTGACTTAAAAATCTTCTGTGGCTCATGGTACAGTATCAAATGTAAAGCGACAAGTACTGATCCCCCCAGCATCATCCTGAGAAGCGACTTAATTGAACGCCCTGAACCCATTGTTCTAGCGTTTGATATAGAAACCACAAAACTGCCTCTAAAATTCCCCGACGCCAACACAGACCAAATTATGATGATTTCATACATGATAGATGGCCAGGGCTTCTTAATAACAAATCGAGAGATTTTATCTGCGGACATTGAGGACTTTGAATACACCCCAAAGCCGGAATTTGAGGGAAAATTCACCATTTTTAACGAACCCAACGAAATGGCGCTCATCCAGAAGTTTTTTGACCACATAATGGACGTGCGCCCCCACGTTTTTGTAACTTACAACGGCGATTTTTTCGATTGGCCGTTTGTGGAAACGCGAGCCGCTGTTTATGATTTAGATATGAAACAAGAGATTGGCTTTTCGAAAAAAAACGACGTCTACTCGTGCCGGCCTGCCACCCACATGGACTGTCTTTGTTGGGTGAAAAGAGACTCCTACTTACCTGTGGGTTCTCAAAATTTAAAAGCCGTGGCAAAAGCGAAACTACGGTAAGGCAAAAGTTTTTATTTTTAACACTAAGGTATCAATATCTCTATTATCTGTCGCCGCTTATATTTTCCTCGTAAGTCTTCTGGTTGTTTATTCGTCGCTACGAGCGTGGAAAGTCGGGACACCACTTTATCTGATACTGCAAATAAGCTACAAAACGCTCTTTTACATATCCTCATTGTTGTGTCATTTTTGGGGGCAAAGTAGTGGAAAGTGGCGCTCCTATGCACAATTGTGTCCTTATATCTAGGTCGTCTCCTGCCAATTTTCACTTTTTTTATAAAGCTCATTAGATAGGAGTCTTGTTCATTTTTGGGTCTGCCATTATAGACGGTCTCAATAAAACTTTTTCTTTCAATTGATGAAAATTCTTGTGTGCATTTATTGCGACAACCACATTCAGGCCCTGGTTCCTTTTTTGCGATGAAGTTGCCTCGGGTGTTGACGTAGCCTTCTCCTTTGAGTCGGGCCAGTTTGATTTCTTGCTTTTGGGACTTCTTTAGTGGGAATCTCGGACGTTTTGGCGAGGTGTCAGAGTCTGATAATTCGATAATCTCTGTTGACATGTGGAGTTTGTTTATAAAGTAACTGTTAATAAATTAGTCGGTTTTTGGTATTTATATTGCACTTGGGGGGTACTTTATCCAGTCTTCATGGTTTATGGAAATGTGAGGTTATGTTCACAAGTTGGTTAAAATAAGTTTTTGGTATTCTAGGGGGTACAAATCCGTATAAAATGATTATTTTTGTCGTCTTTGGATTGATATGCGACGTTGGAAATGTGTAATTCGAAAAATGTAACATTTGATTTCTGCACAAAATTTTGAGGTTATGGGTGGCTTATAAAGGTGCCGCTAAATTCGAATTCTTGCCACAATAAAAAATACAAGCGTACAGGGATATACAGCTACAAACACTTGAATAATTTTTTATAGTTATGACCCCGTCGAATTAGACCCTGAAGAAATGTGCCCCCTGGCTGTCTCTCAGCCTCAAGTCCTCTCCAACTACTCGGTTTCTGATGCCGTTGCCACCTACTACCTCTACATGCAATACGTGCACCCCTTCATCTTCGCCCTGTGTACCATCATCCCTTGCGAGCCCGACGAAGTCTTGCGCAAAGGCTCCGGCACCTTGTGCGAGTCCCTGCTCATGGTGGAAGCCTACCACTGCAACATAATCTTCCCCAACAAGGAAGAAACCATCCTCAATAAAATGACAGACGACGGGCACGTCCTCCACCAGGAGACTTACGTCGGAGGCCACGTGGAAGCCCTCGAATCGGGAGTCTTCCGCGCGGACATACCCTGCAGGTTCCGTCTTGAAGTCGACGCCTTAAACAAACTAATCGAGCAAGTGCCGAGAACTCTCGCACACGCCATCGAAGTGGAAGAGGGCGTACCGTTATCCGACGTCACCAACCTGGAGGACGTGACCAACGAAATCGTCGGGCAGTTAACGGCGTTGAAGGAACAACCAATGCGATTGGAGCGACCGTTGATCTACCACTTGGACGTAGGGGCGATGTACCCTAACATCATCCTCACGAACCGGCTACAGCCGTGCGCCATGGTGGACGAAACCATCTGCGCGGCTTGCGACTTTAACAAACCTGGGGCGCGCTGCCAGCGGAACATGGCGTGGATGTGGAGAGCGGAGTTCAGTGAGTGGTAGTTTTTGCACTTGATGGATGTTTCACGTTGAGGTTTCAGTGCCGGCGAGCAGGAACGAGTACCACAGGATTCAGCAGCAGCTAGAGACGGAGAAGTTCCCGTCGCAGTACCCCGGAGGGCCACCAAGGGCTTTTCACCAGCTGTCGAAGCAGGATCAGGCCGATTTGGAGAAGAAGAGACTGAATGTGTATTGCCGGAAGGTGTACAAGAAGCTCAGGGTGACGAGGGTGGAGGAGCGCACCACGACGATTTGTCAGAAGGAGAACTCTTTCTATGTGGACACGGTACGAGCGTTCCGAGACCGAAGGTACGAGTACAAGGGGTTGTCGAAAAAAGCGAAACAAGCAGTAACTGCCGCCATTAGAGGCGGGGACGCTTCAGAAATTAAGTCGGCGAAGAACAGAGAAGTGCTGTACGATTCGCTCCAGTTGGCACACAAGTGTATCTTGAATTCGTTCTATGGATATGTAATGAGAAGAGGGTACGTTTCTCCTTGTTTTTGTATTATGCTATCTAAATTTTATAAAATAACACACTTATTTAACGGGTGATCAAAAAGTTTTCGGATTAGAATTGGCCATGGAAATATTTCTCATGTCTTTGATTAAACTGTAAATGTTAAAAATTAAAATTTTGAATTACAAGTGACGTTATGCTTGACATTTGCAGTTTGATCAAATACCAATTCTAGTCTGAAAACGTTTTGATCACCCGTTACTTGTTATTTATGTTGACTTGTACACTTATAGATTTGTTTGTACTTCAGAAACAAGGGAAGTTCTCCCTAAATAATATTAGAAAATTTTTACCTCCTGAGAAAAGTATAGTAATCGAATCCATCGGGCGAATGGCACTTTCATGTTTTTTTCCACGTTTCATGACCTCTAGTGTACGTAAAGTGGTCTCTCGTTTCCGTCAGTCTGTCTGTCTGTCGTCTGTATCAATTTTTATTAGACACATAATCTCCGAAACTACTGGACCAATTGTCAAATACTAAAACACCAACCAAAAATTGGCTAATCATCCCCACCAGCAATTTTTTTTTATTTTTATAAAATAATACTCCTGCACTTTATGGTATATGAATCCGTGTTGAGACATCCAGAGTTTTGTAAAAAAAATCAAAATTGTAAAATAACATTTTGCAATTTAACTTTGACTGCAAAACCGAATGCTCTGAAATCTAGCAAATGTTTTAAGGTTATCGTAATCATGGTAAATCGTTAATCAAAATTTATTCGTCTCTCCCCTCCCACAAGATTGATGACGTCATCTCAAAATTTTGTCTAATAAATCCTCTCTGAAATATGCAAAATATTATGACCCTATACTTTTGTTTTATTAATTAAATTAAATCAACAACTATTCACTACATTTTCCAGAAAATTTGGGAATACAATACTGTTATTATTAGTATTATACTGCATCTATCTAAATAGATATTATTATAAAATTTTGTAATGGAAAAACTCACTTGAAATAAATACGTGGCACGCTTCTTTACATTTATTTTAACATTATGTAGAGATCTTTATTTTAACTTACAAGAGTTATAAAAAAAAATAAAATTCGCAAAATCATATCTTATAATTTAAAAAAAATCTGGGTTTATTTACCGTCTAGCAATTTTTTGATATCACAATTTTTCGTTTTTTCATTTTCTTTCATTTTTCCGTTTTCTATTTTTCAAAGTTTCGGTTTCATAATTTTTTGTTTTTTCAATTTTTAGTTTCTGGACTTTTAGATTTTTTCATTTTTCATTTTTTGATTTTTCAGTTTCTCAGTTTTTTATTTTTTGTTTATTCCTCAATTTTGCAAGTTCTTCTTTTTCATTTTCTCAATTTTTTTATCGTAATTTTTCGCCTTAATTCTCTTAATTTTTTTAATGGTTCTTTCGATTCTATCATTTTTCGTTTATTCAATTTTTCAATTTTGGATTTCTCGATTTTTAAGTTTCTCAATTTTTGATCGTATGATTTTTGCATTTTTGATTTCTTCAATTTTATTATTCAAGTTCTTAGTTTTCAAGTTTTAGATTTTTCAAAGTTTTCATTTTTTATTCGAGAAGCTCAAAACAGAAAAATAAAAAATCGACAACCAAAAAAAATCACAAAAAATTGCAAAATAAAAATCTGCAGAAACGAAACAGTAAAACATTGAAAAATTAAAAATGGACAAACTTAAAAATCGAAAAAATTGTGAAGTCGAAAAACTGTAACATTGGAAGATTGAAAAATCGAAAAATTAAAGATCGAGAAATTGAAAAATTAAAAATCGGAAAATTGAAAAATCGAATACATAAAGGAAAAAGTTTTAAAATCCAATAATTAAAAGATAGAAGAATTCTAAAATCGTAATATTGAAAAAGTGAAAAATTTTTAAAACTATGTATTATAATTGTTATTACATATTTAAAATGAGAACTAGAAAAATTGCAGATCAAAAATTGAAGGAATGACAAATTTAAAAAAATCGAGAAACATCTAAAGTTCAAAAAACGGAAAATAAAAAAATCCATACTTGAAAAATCTAAAATTTAAAAAATTGCACATTGACAAAAAGAAAAATTGGTCTAAAGAGTTTAGACAGTACTTCCCTCGCTGTCGGGAGCGTGACGACTGCAAGCCCATTATGTCTTTTTTCGTATTACATTTTTGTAATTCTTGATTTAATCAATAAAAGTAATTGACTCAGTCATTAATTTTTTTCAGACACCCTGTATAAGCAAATCTAAAAAATATTAATGCAGTGATAAATCATAAGTATAGACTCATCATTCTTTACACATTTAAGCATTTATTCAGCAAAATTTTGAGGTGACGTCATAAATTTTTTAGGGGGGGATGAGCAAATACATTGTGACTAAAAATTTACAATGCCTATGATAACTTTAAAACATGTCCAAGATTTCAAAGCATTCGGTTTTGTAGTTCCTCATCAATAAAATAAATTCGAACATTCATTAATTTTTTTGAGTCACCCTGTATAAAACCGAAAAATTGACCAACTAAAGAATGAAAACGAAAAATTACAAATCGAAAAACTGAAAAATTTAAATGAAGACTTGAACAGTTGCATGTCGTAAAATTAAAACAAAGAAATCAAAAATAGAAAAATTCCAAATCGAAAAACTGAAGAAACGAAAAATTTAAATTAAAAATTGGCCGAAGGTTATCTCGACAGAACTTCTTTCGCCCCTAAAATACAATAAAACAAATCCAGCTTTTTCGAAAAATTATAATTTATGATTATGCGAATTTTATTTTTTTTTATGAGAATCCTTGTATTAAGTTAAAATAAAGGTAAATGTATATGTATGTATATGTCTGTTACGTTAACGTAAATGTGAAGAAGCGTGCTGGGCGTTCGTTCCAAATGAATTTTCCCTTAACAAAATTTTGAGATGACGTCATCAATTTTTTGGGAGGGGATACGATAAACGAATCAATTTTGCTTAACGATTTACTATGACCACGATAACCCTAAAATATTTACAAAATTTCAGGGCATTGGGTTTTGCAGTTTCAAAGTTATATTGCAAAATATTGATATTCAGTTTTGAATTTTTTCCAAAAATTCTGGATGTCTAGGGTGAAAATTCGACACGGGTTCACACAGCAGGAGTATCTTACTTTATGAGATTAAAATAGTATATTATTAGCCAAGGTTGCAGAGCCAAGCATTCTAGACCGAGCGCAAATTAGAACCCGAGACGCGCAGCGTCGAGGGCTCTAAGTGCGAGGTCTAGAAGTGGCTTTGCAACCGTGGTTAATATACTATTTTTTTCACTAGTAGAAACCATAAGACAATAAACTGAAAAATAAACGTTCAATTTTTTGACGCAACGTGATTTTGTTTTGATTTCTAATCAAACTTGATCTAAATCTTCAACACAAAGAAAACCGTTTATACTTGTCGCTGAGTAATCATTTTATCTTCTACCGTCTACCAACTACCATGCGTATACTCAAGTAATGTTTGTAGCACACATTTGTTCATTTTTTAAGAAATAATCACATCAAACATTGCGTACATAACCTCAATTTTTCTTTTTGAACCCGTGGTAGCAAAAGTTGAATTTGCTACCACTAAATGAGTCGACATTTGCATGCGTCCAGGCTGCTAGTGAAAAAAATATATATTATAAATTTTAGAGATGACGTCATCCTTTTGGGGGTGGGGACGATTAGCCAAATTTTAGTTAATATTTAACCATCTACATGATATTCCTAATAGATATAAAATTTGACAACAATCGGTTCAATAGTTTCGGAGATTACTTGTCTAATAAAAATGAATACAGACAGACAGACAAACAAACGGAAACGGGAGACCACTTTTTTCGTACTCTAGAGGTCATGACACATCGACAAAATTTGAAAGTGGCAATTCGGCCAGTTACTACACTTACAAAAAATTATAAAATGGAAACATTGGAAAATCGAAAAATTATAAAAATAAACAAAAAAACCGAAACTAAAAACTAAACTAAAATCGAAAAAACAAAAAATTATCGAAACATCGAAAACTCAAATAATTGAAAAAATTAAGAAAATAAAAAACCGAAACGAAAAATTGAAAAATTTAAAAGTTGGAAAATTGAAAAACTGGGAAATTTAAACTTAACTCGAAAAATTGAAGAAACAAAAAAGATGAAAAACTGAGGAATTGAAAAATTCAAATCAAAAAACTTGCGGGAATGTTATTTACACAATTGGTTTTTACTTTATAGAGATTATCAGAAAACAAGAAACGCAAACAATTTTTATAATTTTTCAAAGAAACGAGGCTTGTTGGGCTGTACTTCAAGAGCAAGGGAAATTCTGCGAAGTAACCAATTTTTTCATTATTGGCTCTATATTGGTACATTTCTACTGTTTCTCAATTTATTGTTTTGTTACTAACTCGAATTTACACGACTAACTATTACAGCTATTATGTACAAAATAACTTTCTAGTGCAACTTGGATGAATTGGCTCACTCGCTGGACTCGGCTTCTTAACTGAATAATAATCGTTCCCGACGGTGGTCTCTATTTAAAGCCAGACTCTTCTACTCGAAGTTTCGTGATCCAGGTCTTTCTGGAATCCATCGCGACTTCCGATTCGAGGCCTTTCTCTAGCGAGCGCCGGCCGCTGTCATCGATGAGTCATACTACACACTAGAAAAACTCATACATACTAGAAGACCCATCGTCGTGCCGAGACGGCGTATGGGTTTATTTCGTAATAATAATATTATTATTATTATTTTAATTCTTCAGGGCCCGCTGGCACAGCATGGAAATGGCCGGCATCGTGTGCTACACCGGCGCCAACATCATCATGCGGGCTCGCGAGATCATTGAGCGCGTTGGCCGCCCCCTCGAACTCGACACCGACGGCATCTGGTGCATCCTCCCGGCGTCGTTTCCCGAGAACTTCACCGTCCGCACCAACCACGAGAAAAAATCCAAGCTCGTCATCTCGTACCCGAACGCCGTGCTCAACGCCATGGTCAAAGAGCACTTCACCAACGACCAGTACCACGAACTCGTCGACGCCGACACCCTCGCGTACGAGGAGCGCAGCGAAAACTCCATCTTCTTCGAAGTGGACGGCCCGTACAAGGCCATGGTGCTGCCGGCGTCGAAGGAAGAGGGCAAAAAACTGAAGAAGCGGTACGCGGTGTTCAACTTCGACGGCTCTTTGGCCGAGTTGAAGGGCTTCGAGGTGAAGCGCAGAGGCGAGTTGCAGCTGATCAAGAACTTCCAGTCGTCGGTTTTCGAGGCCTTCCTCAAAGGGGACACCCTGGAGTCGTGCTACGCGGCGGTGGCCCAAGTCGCCGATTACTGGCTGGACGTGCTGTTCTCGCGCGGACGCAACATGCCCGACTCGGAGCTGTTCGACTTGATTTCGGAGAATCGGTCCATGTCGAAGAAGCTCGAGGAGTACGGGGGACAGAAAAGTACGTCGATTAGCACCGCCAAGCGGTTGGCGGAGTTCCTGGGCGACCAGATGGTGAAGGATGCGGGGTTGGCGTGCAAGTATGTCATTTCGAGGAAGCCCGAGGGGGCGCCGGTCACGGAACGGTAAGTACTAGATCAACAAAGAACAGTACTCATTGATAATAATAATAATGGTGATCAGGGCAATTCCATTGGCGATCTTCCAGTCCGACGAGACCGTCCAGCGGCACTACCTCCGAAAGTGGCTTAAAGACTCCTCTTTGACCGAAATCGACATCCGCGACATCCTCGACTGGAACTACTACATCGAACGCCTAGGTGGCGCCATCCAAAAAATCATCACGATCCCGGCGGCCATGCAAGGAGTACCAAATCCGGTACCCCGCGTGCGTCACCCCGACTGGCTGCACAAGAAGATGCTTGAAAAGAACGACACCTTCAAGCAGCGCCGAATCACGGACATGTTCTCTGCTTGCCCCAAGCCGCTGGTACCCGACATGGAAGACTTCGGCACGCGGGTACCACCAAGCGAGAAACGCCCCATGGTGACCACCTCCAAGCGTAAACGCGGCTCGGACAACGAAAACTTCAGCGACGAAGACTTGAACAAGACGTGGCGCGAGGTCATGGGGAATCCCCCGTCGTACGGTACCACTAAAGAGCAGCGCGTCGCCTGGATCGCCTTCCAGAAGCGCAAGTGGGTGTTCCAAGCACTACAACGCAACCAGGGTAACAAGAGTAAGAGGAAGGTGGGGAATAGTGCGGCGGTGTTGAGGTCGACGGTTAGTGGTACTTTGGGAGGGTTCATACAAAGGGCGCAAAAGACGCTGCTGACGGTTCCGTGGCAGGTAATCCAGGTGGTAGCGACGATGACTCAAGGGGAGTACAGGGTATGGGCGTTGGTTCAGAACGAGTTGCACCAGGTCAAGTTGGTGGTACCGAGGATCTTCTACGCGAACTTGAAGGAACCGAAAGCTGTGGAAGAGGGGGCACTGTTCAAGAAGTGTAACCGGACTTTGCCGAGGTCGCGGCCCGTGTTCAATCTGTACATGTATTCGGTACCTGAAGAGGTCTTCCAGGAGCACGGACGGTAAGCTTCGGGTTCGTGTTTTGTCGGGCGCTTTGTTATTATAATTTTTTTAAGGAAGTTGTATTTGGACCAGACGGATCCGCATGTGGAGGGGGTATATGAGACGCAGGTCCCTCCTCTGTTTCGTACTTTCGTTAAAATCGGGTGTATTTGTAAAGTACTGCGGGGGGTCTCCAACATAGACACGTTCTCGTTGGAGGATGTGGATATGAATACCACGCGACAACAATACTTGGCAAAGGATTCCATTCGAAGGTTGTATTTGTACAATCACAGGCACCCCACGAAACCCCAACAGATGTTTGGGTTGTTTTTGAGCCCTTTGAAGAAGGCGATCGTTGTGGTTGTGGATTCGGTAAAGACGAATTTGATGCCGAACATGAACAAATTGTATCAGACGGAAAGGTTGGCAAAGTGAGTATATTTCGGTTATTTACGTAATTTTATATGCGTTGACGTTTGACGTTGTAATTATTGGTCACAAACACACTGATACATTTTTCTTGTGCAGTTTTTCGAAATCACTAATAAATGTTATTGTTACGTACGTGACAAATGGTAAACAGCATATGTGGGGTTTTTTGAGGACCCAACTAGACAAACAAAGTCATAAATATTCCTCGATTCTTTTCGGTGAACGGATTAACCGGCGTCAGTAGCACTCCCCAATCCCTGCGCCACGGGAACGCGAATTTCAATTATTATTTAATCATTATTAAATATCGCCGGGCGCATTCTCTATTTTCAAGAAAATAGGGGGACTATGATAACCCAATCATCCCGCCTTAAATTGACATGTGAAACAAAATTTTAAAAATTGGTCTAAAGAGTTTAGACAGTACTTCCCTCGCTGTCGGAAACTTGACGACTGCATGCCTATATTATTTTTCAAAATGGGCGCGAAGGTCAAGGACACGCAAAACCCAAAAATTTACTCTTAACTGTGTAGTTTAGTATTTTTTTACACCTCCTTATTTTACTTTATCGACAATGCAATAGTGACTGATCTGTCACTTGAAACGTCAAGAACCGCATTAATTTTGAATCGTTTCTATGAGCGCGTTCTATCGCAATATTTATGATAGATTATGTTCTTACGGAGTGGGGAAGTTAGAACTACAACTTAAAAGCACCCAGCAGAGATCCTAAAGGAACAGATTTATAAATATGCCCAGGATAAATGGTATGGCAGTGACGAGAGCAAGAGGAATTATCCACCTATTTTTCAATATTCCTACCACTGTCAGTATAATCCAATTGAACTGGCGTGGGGACAGTGTAAACTATATTACAATAAACATATTCGGGAACACGGTGGTGCTATTGGTGTTGTACAGTCCTTATGGCGGGAGGCTCTTGCTACAGTAGGTGCAGACAAATGGCAAAATTTTATTAGACATTGTGAACGGCTGATCAGGGATGATTGGAAGCGTTTAATGGGTAATGCACCATATGAAGACATACCCCCAATCATAATTTCTCTCGATTCTGATACTGAATCAGAATGTTTTTCTAATAACTTGTCAGCTTGTCACTTTTTCATTTGGCATTTAATGTCAACAACAATCAGCATTAAGCCCTCAATGCAAACGGCTCTAAAGGCCTTGCTATGTACAGCAGCTGTGTTGAAACATGAGAGTGAAAACAATGTAAATTCTGTGTTTTCTGTTATATAACATACTATTTAGTTACATTTTCTTTTGTTTACAATATTATAGACGAGTACAACACAGATGCACAACAAAACGTGTTATTTACTGTAACGTCCGCGACCCTACAGTTTTGCGAGGGTTGTGATCTCCGCTAACTACACTGGTAAGTTGTCGACCTTGAAATTTGCTTAAATTTTGAAAAATAATATATTGTGTTTTTTTTCTCATTACATTTTTGTAGTGGGAATTTAAAAAAAAATTGCGATGACGTCATCAACATTTTTGCAAGGACACGTATATCAGTTGGGATAGATGTAGTGTAATACTAAGAATAAAATTATTATATTCTCAAATTTTCGGGAAAATGAATTGGGTCGTTTTGAATATTGATTTGTAATAATCAATAAAATAACGAAACAATTTACTCACGTATACGTATCAGAGGCAACTGAAAATCGTGTATGTATAAACATTCTTAATTTAAGATGACAGGCGTAACACCATACGTGAGAGTCAAACAGAGAAACTGTAAACAAAACGACCATCGGTTTTATTGCTTCGACTTCCGCTTATTATATAAAACATTGGGTTTTATTTTAATTCTTGACGGTGAAATTCACAATTGGTTGATTATAAACATGTCTATTTCACATTCGCGGAACCAAGTGAGCGCATAAAACAAATGCAGGTCTGTAATGTTAAAGTCGATGTAAATAAGCGTGCTACCCTTATGTTTCAACCGAGTTTTTCCTTTAACAAATTTTGTGTCTACCAAATTGGGTTGGTTGGGGTGTAATACTAATAATAAGTGTTGCCTTTAATTTAATCAATAAAATAAATTGACTTCATTAATTTTTTTGAACCACCTCTTAAGAAAATCTAAAAAATATGAATGGAATGATAAATCACAAGTACAAACTCATCATATTTTTTGCACTTTAGATAGGATTTATTCAGCAAAATTTAAGGGTGACGTCATCAATTTTTTTAGGAGGGATGAACAAATACATTTTGAACAAAAGTTTACCATGCTTATAATAACTTTAAAATATTCCCAAGATTTCAAAGCATTCGGTTTTCTAATTCCTGATTAAATCGATAAAATAAATTCACGCCTTCATTAATTTTTTTTGAGTCACCCTGCATATACAAATCCAAAAATATGATTGGAATGATAAATCACAAGTACAGACTCATCATATTTTGTACATTTTAGATACGATTTATTCGGCAAACTTTTGAGCTGACGTCATCAGTTTTTTGTAGAAGATAACCAAATATATTTTGACTAAAAATTTATTATGCTCTTTATAACCTTAAAACATCTGCAAGATTTCAAAGCATTCGGTTTTGTAGTTCCTGATTAAATCAATAAAATAAATTTACGCATTCATTAATTTTTTTGAGTCACCCTGTATATGCAAATCGAAAAAATTTGAATGGAATGATAAATCACAAGAAGAGACTCACCATATTTTGTACATTTTAGATAGGATTTTTTCAGCAAAATTTTGTGGTGACATCATAAATTTTTTAGGGGGGACGACCAAATACGTTTTGATCAAAAATTTACCATGCTTATGATAATTTTAAAATATCTTCAAGATTTCGAAGCATTCGGTTTTGTAGTTCCTGAGTAAATCAGTAAAATAAATTTACGCTTTCATTTATTTTCTTGAATCACCCTGTATATGCAAATCCAAAAAATATGAATGGAGTGATAGATCACAAGTACAGACTGATCATATTTTGTATATTTTAGATATGATTTATTCGGCAAATTTTCGAGCTGACGTCATCAAGTTTTTGGAGGGGATAAGCAAATATATTTTGACTAAACATTTATTATGCTCTTTATAACCTTAAAACATCTGCAAGATGTCAGAGCATTCGGTTTTGTAGTTCCTGATTAAATCAATAAAATATATTTACGCATTCATTAATTTTTTTGAGTCACTCTGTATATGCAAATCCAAAAAATATTAATGGAGTGATAAATGACAAGTACAGGCTCATCATATTTTGTACATTTTAGATATGATTTATTCGGCAAAGTTTCGAGCTGACGTCATCAAGTTTTTGGAGGGGATAAGCAAATATATTTTGACTAAACATTTATTATGCTCTTTATGACCTTAAAACATCTGCAAGATTTCAGAGCATTCGGTTTTGTAGTTCCTGATTAAATCAATAAAATATATTTACGCATTCATTAATTTTTTTGAGTCACCCTGTATATGCAAATCCAAAAAATATGAATGGAGTGATAGATCACAAGTACAGACTCATCATATTTTGTACATTTTAGATATGATTTATTCCACAAACTTTTGAGCTGACGTCATCAAGTTTTTGGAGGGGATAAGCAAATATTTTTTGACTAAAGATTTATGATGCTCTTTATAGCCTTAAAACATCTGCAACATTTCAAAGCATTCTGGTTAGCAGATTAAAAATTAAATTTCAAAATATTGTTTTATAATTTTGATTTTTTTTCCAAAAATCTGGACGTTTCGGGTGAAAAGTCGATTCAGAGTTGTAAACTACATGTGTAGGACTATGTTATTTTATACAATTGAAAACCCATTTACTATGTACAATTTTGAAGTGACGTCATCGCATTAGTGGTGGGGATGATTAGACAAATTTTGGTTAGCGTTTTACCATCTACATGATATTCTTAATATAAGTACAAAATTTCACAACAATCGGTCGAGTACTTTCGGAGATTATCTGTCTAATAAAAATCCGGGACAACAGACGGACAGACGGACAGACGGACGGACAGACAGACGGAAATGGGAGACCTATTTCTTCGTCTTCTAGGGGTCATGAAAGATCGAGAAAACGTAAAAGTAGAGAGTCGGCCGACGGACTCGATTACAATACTTCCTTTGCTTACGCTCGGGAAGTAAAAAGCTCGCGAAAGTTTCAAAAATTCAAAAATTTGGGCTTGACTGTGATCGTCTAACAAAATGGAACCCTACATTGTGTTTGTTTTTACTTCCCGAGCGTAAGCAAAGGAAGTATTGTAATCGAGTCCGTCGGCTGACTCTCTACTTTTACGTTTTCTCGATCTTTCATGACCTCTAGAAGACGAAGAAATAGGTCTCCCATTTCCGTCTGTCTGTCCGTCTGTCTGTCCGTCTGTCCGTCCGTCTGTCCGTCTGTCTGCCGTCCCGGATTTTTATTAGACAGATAATCTCCGAAAGTACCGGACCGATTGTTGTGAAATTTTGTACTTATATTAGTAATATCATGTAGATGGTAAAACGCTAACCAAAATTTGTCCAATCATCCCCACCACCAATGCGATGACGTCACTTCAAAATTGTACATAGTAAATGGGTCTTAAATTGTATAAAATAACATAGTCCTACACATGTAGTTTACGACCCCGAATTGAGTTTTTACCCGAAACGTCCAGATTTTTGGAAAAAAAATCAAAATTATAAAAACATTTTGCAATTTAATTTTGAATCTGCTAACCCGAATGTTTTGAAATGTTGCAGATGTTTTAAGGCTATAAAGAGCATCATAAATCTTTAGTCAAAATATATTTGGTTATCCCCTCCAAAAACTTGATGACGTCAGCTCAAAAGTTTGCCAAATAAATCCTATGTAAAATGTACAAAATATGATGAGTCTATGCTTGTGATATATCACTCCATTCATATTTTTTGGATTTGCATATACAGGGTGACTCAAAAAAATTAATGAATGCGTAAATTTATTTTACTGATTTACTCAGGAACTACAAAACCGAATGCTTTGAAATCTTGAAGGTGTTTTAAAGTTATCATAAGCATGGTAAGTTTTTGATTAAAATGTATTTGCTCATCCCCCCTAAAAAATTTATGACGTCACCACAAAATTTTGCTAAATAAATCGTATCTAAAATGTACAAAATATGATGAGTCTTTTCTTGTGATTTATCATTCCATTCATAGTTTTTGGATTTGCATATACAGGGTGACCCAAAAAAATTAATGAATGGGTAAATGTATTTTATTGATTTAATCAGGAACTTCAGAACCGAATGTTTTGAAATCTTGCAAATGTTTTAAGGTTATAAAGAGGATAATAAATTTTTAGTCAAAATATATTTGGTTATCTTCTACAAAAAACTGATGACGTCAGCTCAAAAGTTTGCCGAATAAATCCTATCTAGAATATACAAAATATGATGAGTCTGTACTTGTAATTTATCATTCCATTCATATTTTTTTAATTTCCATATACCGGGTGACTCAAAAAAAAATGAAATCTACTGCGAAAAAAAAAACATAATAGACATGCAGTCGTCACGTTTCCGACAGCGAGGGAAGTACTATCTAAACTCTTTAGACCAATTTTTTTTTTTGTGTGGCGGAATGCGTTCAGATGCAAAGTGGTGGTCTCCAAGGTTGGAAAAGTACCGCTATGTTTTATTTAAAACACAAAATATATGGAGGACACAAAATCATTTATTCTTCCACTGACAAAAAAAACTGACCATAGTTCTCAGCTACAAAAAAAAAACTTGCCTAACTTGGAATGAATCAAATTAAACATTCTGAATAAATGCAATTATTTGAATACCACAAATTTAATAGAAACAAAGAAAAATCAGAATTAAAGTAACTGGATGCAAATACACAAGTTATTGCGGACGTGCGGCGGCAAATTTAAAATTATGGCAGTCAACAAGAGAACATAATGAAAAAAAAAAAACTGCGGCAAGGCGCACAGCGACAGTGGCACCAGAGCGCTATAAGAGTGTGATGATCGAACTATATCAATTTCATTCTAGAGCACAACAAAATTACCCATAGGTGGTGTTGTAGCACGAGCGGAGTTTGAGGCTACTGGTTGTGGTTGTTCTCCCTCCACGACGGTGATTTTACTCTATTGGCAAGCACATGCCGCCCAGCATCCCTCTACCTATTGAAGAAACGTGCCGCGCTAACAGGCTGTTACGGCCGCAAACTCATGGTTGAAAATCCCGGCCATTGGAATAAGGCGCGAGCGTTACGTCATCTCGACCGCTCCCCTGACTTCTATCTAAGGTCTGCCTCTTTTGTGCATATGGCGCGACCGCCAGCAAAGAACCGCGCACTCCGCTTCCGCCACGTGTTTCTGTGTTATTTACCTCAATTCCATTTAAATGTTCAATTTATATGACTCTAGTATTAAACTACAACCGAAGAAGTGTTAAAGTTTCAAAAAGAGCAATAACAACATTTAAATTCGCCAGACACTCCCGCGAAATTTTTAAAAAGCAAAGAATTCTTATCTGAGATTAAGATTGGACATCAGACAATCTTATGATGGAAGCATTAATCAACAAAATATTTAAAAACAAAAACTAGCAAAAGCTCTGGTGTGAAATAAACTTGTGAAGATAAAATATTACGTGAGGTTAGAAGCTGCAGAGCACGAAAGTTTACGTTCAATTTAAATTATACAACAAAGAAAATTATTGAAGTTAAAATTATGAGATAGAGAAATATTGTATGAGGTGAAAATTGCAAAGCTAACAAATTTACATGAGATTAATATTTGCCACACTTTATCAACAATTCAAACAAAGAGTTTACATTATGTTCAATTATGCCACACCTTATCAACGATTCAAACAAAGAATTTATATGATGTTACATTATGCCATGATCCAAGTGATTGGTTACTTGAAACAATTTGTTTTGAGGGTGCTGCACTTTTCGACGGTCTTTTTCCACAGTGGGACAACGTTAGGTTAATTTAACTGCCGTAAATGAACTATTAGCAATCTTGTATGAATAATTGAGATGTGTTATAATGTAACACTTCAGTATTAGCATCCAGAAACCTTATTCATAATTATACAAACAAAATCAAACGACTCCTGAGCTCCTGACTAAGTGAATCTCATGAAAACTCCTGTAGGTGTTTATCTAAACACTTTCCTGATTGTTAAATTGCGTTAGAACTAGTTGACGATTAAACTCCTAACATGAACTGTGAATTTACAAACAATGAATCAAAATAGCTACACGCGATGGGGAAACTGTGGCGTCGTCGTCGTTACGATTAATTGTCGTTAAACAAAGGCTTCCTCCCTTTTATTAACTATCAAACCAGCTAAACTTAACCTAACTCACCGCGTCTTTTCAACACAGAACCAAACCAACAATGACGCTTTCACCTTCCTCCACCAACCAGCCATCTTGTCCCTACCAACCCTCTAACTAGAATTCCCTAGCGAGCTACCAACTACCCAAAAAGCGTTAACGTGCACATGGTTGCTTGTTTAACGATTTTTTTTTATTGAATTTCAAAATTATTCAAATGTGATTTCGCACCGCTGTTAATTTTTTTCAGCGCGAAATTTTAGTTCAAATTCGGTCCCCACAATATATATTTTTTTAAATCGATATATCTAATTTTTAAAATACTCTCCTGAAACCGCCTTATCCTTTCAGAAAAGAATCCGGCACCGAGGAAGACTCCCTTCCTCCCGACGCAGTCACATTCGAAGTCCGTGTCGAAACCGACCTCCCCCACGTCTACAAAACCCTCCAGAAAGCCCTCCAACTTTACAAAGACGAAAAGAAAGGCCCCACTTACCTCGCCATTCAATCCACCACCGAAATCTCCACCCTACGCTCCGGCATCCCGCTCATAACCGAGTTCCCCCAAGTCCAAGTCCACATCCAAGACGTAGAAGAACTCTACAACGTGATGGACTGGCAAAAAATTGGCGCCCGAGCCCTCGTCCGCCACTACCTGAACAGCGAGAAAGTCCTCGACCTCATGACCGAGCAGAGCCGCTACTTCCACCTGCCTCTCGGAAACATGCCCGCGGATCCCGCCCTCTTCGGCGCCGACCTCTTCTACGCGCGTCACCTCTCGAGACACAACCACGTCTTGTGGTGTTCCCCCACCGACAAACCCGACTTGGGGGGCGTCCAAGAAAACGACTCCCGCTTGTTGGCGGAGAACCAAGAGGGCTCGAGCGAGGTGTGCAACGTCCCCGGGTGGTACTCCAGCGTGTGCGTGGAGCTGGACGTCGACAGTCTCGCCATCAACACGTTGCTGCAGTCGCACCACGTGACCGACATCGAAGGCACCAGCGCCATAACGGCGTTCGACGCCGCCGCCATGACGTCAGTCGAGGACCTAGTGGGCGATAACTCGTCGGTGACGACGTACGATGAGACGGCGCGGTGCGCCGAAGCGTTCAAGATTTTGCGCACGATGGCGAGCACCTGGATGAGGGATATCTCGTTGTACAGAAACGTGTTCGCCGATTTTCAAGTCATACACTTCTACAGGTGGCTGAGGTCGCCGAAGGCGCTGTTGTACGATCCGGCGCTGCTGAGGACGTTGCAGAATTTAATGAAGAAGTTGTTCTTGCAGCTGGTAGCAGAGTTTAAGCGGTTGGGTTGTACGATCGTTTATGCGAATTTTAATAAGATCGTTATTTGCTCGAAGAAGAAGAGCGTGGAAGATGCGATAGCGAATGTGGAGTTCGTCGTGACGTCGATCAGGAATAAGGAGTTGTTTCATTCGTTGGAGATTACGTATAGGCAGTGCTGGGAGCATTTGGTGTGGCTGGACACGGCGAATTTTGGAGGGATTCAGGGGAAGCTGCCGGAGAGTTTGCAGAATGAAGTGGATGAGGGACAGAATGAAGAGGAAGATGATGAGGAGGAGAAAGATGATGGCGTAAGTATTGCCGATTGGTCCATAAAAGAGGCGGAGATTAAATTGACCAATCTCGGTTCTTCTACATTTAAATCCTAAAATTTTAGCCAACAGTGGTGATGAACTGGAACTTGGCGGAGCGCCTGCCCGAGAATGGGGGTTGCCGCAACAACTTCAGCGCTGTGATTGCTGGATACATTAATGCAGTCTACACAAAAATGAAGGAAAAAGAAAACACCACGATCGCGAGGGCCGTTTTAAGCCAGCCGTCTTTGGGTTTAGGTGCTGACGAAGACGTCGTCGAATATGCGAAAGAAATTTTATCTGGAGAGATCAGTCAAAAGCTGTTTCAGTACGTTTCACGTAAAAAAAAACGCCAGTATCTAACGCTTGATTTCTAGGATCACAGAAAGAATTAACAACCGTTTGAAGCCCCTCCCAGGCGGCTCAAACCCCGCCCTCGAATTCGTCAAGGCCATTTGTCAGGTTTTAGGGTTGGATTCGGCCATCAGAGACACTGTAGATCATTTGAAGAGCAATTTGTTGCGTTTGATTGGTAGGCGTTTTTATTTTTGACGACATATTTTACTTGTGTGTTCATTTAGGTATTGGCGAGTTTTCGGAAAAAGCCGACTGGAGAGACTACTCTGTCTCTTACGTCATACCACAAGTCATCTGCAAGGCTTGCAACCACTGCAGAGACATAGATTTAGGAAGAGATCAGTACCGATCGGACTCAGCTTGGTTGTGCCCCCTGTGTAATTCCCCGTACGATAACGCCGAAATGGAGCTGTTCTTGCTTGACACGATTAACAGGAAATTCCTAGCGTACAACCTTCAGGACTTACAGTGTAAAAAATGCGCCCAAATCAAAATGGAGAATCTTATAACGCGGTGCCAATGCGCGGGCGAATTCAAATGTCTGATTTCCAAAAGTGATTTAGTGAAATTGATTGAAACGTTCCAGTCTCTGGCGGAGACTTTCAGTATGTTAGCTTTAAGCGAAACCACGAACCAAATCCTAAACTTGATTCAATAAACGTTCTTACTTTAAAGCTTTATTAACATTACAACGACTATTTTATGGAATCTACTTCTTGGTTTCTAGATTGATGGGATCAATGACTGGGTCGTCAAATTTGATGGTTGGGAACTTTGTCATGTCGACGCCAGGGCCCCCGCCATACACTCGGGAGACCTTCTCCAACTCAGATTTAAGTTCTTTTTCAATGTCAGGGGAAGGCTCCACCAACTTGCCACTTTTAAAAGATTACATATTATTATTATTATTCTGTTTGAAAGTATTACAGTCATTTCAGAGACGAAACTTCTCAAGCATTTTTTAACGGATAAGCAGTCAAATTGATCTTGTTACGTCAGATCCCTGACTAAAAGAGAACTTACCCAGTACTTTTCTGTTTGTATTCCCTGATTTTTTCAATAAATAGCTGTTGGATGGGGTCGGTGGCTTTCTGTAAACAAGGCGCCAAGATTCCAATGTTGCGCTTGTGAACCACGGCTCGGGCTGTTTTATGGATATTTTCCAAAAACTGGTAGGACAACATCTGAAAAGTGAGGTTATGTGTTATGTAACACTTGAAAGATATTAACTTAAAGGAAAAATTCTTCCCTGGTCGATAAAATTCGAACCAGCGTTATAACTAATGAAGAAAAATAATTACTCACCGTGCAGAACAACGGGAAATAGAGAAAAATTCAGAAACTGCCTTCGACCCCTAATTTCCTTCAACCTCTGGTTATTTTTGATCCGTTGGATTTACGTTGGCATTGCATACGTCAATTTTATATTCGTATTGATTCGTATTTATTTTGTTTAGTAAACAATAATATCACTTGGAGCCTAGAAAATAGTCGATATTTCTAAATAAAAACTACATAGTTTTTAAAGAAAATTAACAAATTTGAAAAAAAATCTAGTAACTTCCGCTCCGCTGGGTTTGCATTGGCAACAATTACGGTGTACCTGTCAAATTTGTCAATTTCAAGTTCCACGTATTTGTCAATTTGTCGCACAGTGAGCCCCCTTGAGCTCCACAATGGTCTCAATCCTCAATTCCATCGACACCGGCCACGAAGACATGGTCCACGACGCCGAAGTCGACTACTACGGACTTCGCTTGGCCACTTGTTCCTCGGACAACAGCGTCAAAGTGTACGACATCAAAAACGGAGGCACCGCTCTCCTCGACGACCTTAAAGGCCACTTCGGCCCCGTCTGGCAGATCGCCTGGAGCCACCCCAAGTTCGGTAATCTCCTAGCTTCGTGCTCCTACGACCGCAAAGTTATAATATGGAAAGAACAAAACGGCAAGTTCTCTAAATACTACGAGTACGCCAACCACGATTCCAGCGTGAATTCAGTCCAGTTCGCTCCCCCAGAGTATGGCCTGGTTTTAGCTTGCGGCAGCAGCGACGGCTCCATCTCTATTCTCACGTACATTGCTGAAACCCACAACTGGGACGCCAAGAAAATCCAGAACGCCCACGCTATTGGATGTAACGCGGTGAGTTGGGCCCCCGCTATCACTCCCATTACGAGCGATTACAGCCAGGGCGAGCAAAAGCTGGTGAAGAGGCTAGTTTCTGGGGGTTGTGATAATCTGGTGAAAATTTGGCGAGAAGAGGATGATAGATGGGTTGAGGAGAACAAATTGGAGGTGCATTCGGATTGGGTTAGAGACGTAGCGTGGGCCCCGTCGGTGGGGCTGCACCATCACACCATCGCCAGCTGTTCACAAGATAGGAGGGTCATTATTTGGACGAGCGACGACGGGACGAATTGGAATTCGACGGTTTTGCAGACGTTTGACGATGTTGTCTGGAATGTGAGCTGGTCGCTGAATGGAAATATTTTAGCGGTATCAGGGGGCGACAATAAGATTACTCTGTGGAAGCAAAATTTGCAGGGAAATTGGCAGTGCGTGAGCGACGTGGTAAAAGGACAAGGACAGATTAATAACCAATAAGTGTTTGTTGAACAAACCTCTCAGTATAGCTGAATTATGTATTACATTTTGTAAAAATATATACTTTTAAGGTTAACCGTTTTATATCAAAAACAACCCAGTTTTGGTCACTGTTTATTACTATAAACACATCGAACTTATAAAAAATTAATTAAGAGTAATTATTTCTTAGCTTTTGATTTGCGTTCAGCAGCTCGGAGACATTGTTTGGCTGTACTCAAGTTGTGTCGCTTTGAGAATCGTTGGTTCCTCAAAAACTTGGCGTCCATCTGAAACGATAAAAATGACTTTCGGTTACCCTTAAAGAGCAACAATTCTCACCCCCAGAGTGGATTCATGGCGGAAACGCTTGGGTTTCTTGATTCCATTACGGTGAGCCTTGCGGTCTAATAACACAACACAAATCAATAAAAATAGTCAAAGTGAAACAATATACTTACTCTGATTATGATTCGTGTGATTCTTCGACTTTGCCATGGCGTTTTATTACCAAATTCCGTTAAATTTTCTGCACAGTACAACTTCCAAGATGGTTGGAAATAAAGAGGTTATGTCGCACCACGTTGTGTTACTTCTAGTGTGTTTCGTCTTGTTGCGTTGGTAGTTCTGAAGTGTCATACTGTGGTGTCATAACCTCAATTAAGATTTAAGAAGTGAGGTTATGCAGTTGTAGAGTTTCGGTTTAAGGGGGATTATTAAGACTAGCAAATAAAAATGAGGGGGACCGCCGCGTTATTTAAGAGAGGCAACCCCCGAGAGCCTGTTCCGTTTCAAGAAATCCTCCCATTGAAGCTGAAGCAGAGGGTATCGGGGAAAGGTGATAACACTTCGGATGTGTGTTGTATATACGAGATGTCGGTTCTTTTCGCGTGTTTCAAGACACATGACTTTCACCAAGCCCCTTGTAGTAAGGAGATCGACGCCTTTCAAAAGTGTTACTTGAATCACCTGGAAAAAACCAAGTTGAAGAAGGAGCGAGAAGCTAGAGGGATTTTGAGTCCTGGCGAGAAGAAATTATCTTCTAGACAAATAAATATCCTCTTGGATAAGTTCCCGAATTTTAAATAGGCAGTGATGTAGACAATGGTTTATTTAAATATTGTAACACAATTTAGTACAACATACTTAGTAGAAAATGTATACCAAAAAAATAAACAACCATTCTCTATGAACCTTAATGTATGGGTCAAATTACAAATTTGTAAATATACTTTGAAAATCCGTGGATAAGTTTTTACACCTTTATGCTACAAATTGAAACAAGCGGAAACAATGTAAACAGCGAAGATTAATAGCAATACCGGGCGAACGAGGCCCACCAACTGTACCTGGAATGATCACACCCAGCATAGAAAAATAACTCTTCTTTTCGTCTAGATCTATAAAACGTGAAATTCATGTAAAACATATAATTTAAAAGCTTGTTTTTTAAATACATTAAACTTAAAATAACATATTACAGAACAAAATAAAAACTACACCTAGAATAAACTGTGTTACCGTTGATGGGATGGTGGTAAAAACTAGTCACTAACACAAGATGAGACTAAAACTGTAAAAACAAAGCAATGTTGCTTCGGGAGATCTCGCAGCACTCGCACTATTTACACCTCACTCACTTGTCCACGTCCACTTTTATCCGCTCCCGGAGCTTCTTGACGGGGGGCTCGTCGAGCTCCTCCTCCAGGCCTGGCAGTTGAATTTTGGTTTCAGACGCTTCGGACGGCTGCAACAACGCCGCATGAGCAAAACTATCACATTTAGACTGGAAAACCACGAACAACAAAAGACACGTGACATCACTTTTGTTGTCGCGGCTTCGAGCAAATACAATTTTAATTGAAATACCACATCGCACGTCCAGTTAAGACATACCTGTGCATCTATTCCCCCAGTAAACGTAAGCTATGTACAAGAATATATAGCATAAAGGACGCTGCGCTAACAGTAAATTCTTACCTGCACGTCCGTCCCCAAAGGTCCACATCCTTCCGCTTTACTCTTTACCTTTTTCTTTGCTTGCTTCTCAGCATTCAACATTGACAACGTAATATTTGTTTTTTTGTTAGGTTGGTACTGTAATTCAGGCGGTAGGAATACCCTCGTGTTCACGAAGTCGGGCTGAGGGGAAAAATACATTGTCGGTATTCGGGTTTCCGAAGGGAAATCCTTCAGATCGTAGTTCGTCGTTTTGGTTAATAGTAAACCAGAAGCCAGATCACAGAGGGCCCAAATTTTCTGCAAATTAATATTTGTAAAAAAACGGTAAAGTATGTAACGCGAAACTCACATAATTAATGCTATCGTCGTCCGGCCTCACCGCGTCCTTATGATTCTTCATCCTCTCGATGAGACTCTTGTAAAATCCGTAACTGAAATAGTCACTCTTCGTCACCAATGGTTCCAGAATGAACCAAAGACACTGTTTCGCCCGTATCAAATCCTGTACGTCGTCCCATCGACTCAACGCCGGGTCGTGGGCTAAAATGGGTACCGCAAACACGAGCATATAATCGGGCAAAATGTACGGTAGCTGGCTCATCGCTTTATCCGCTTGTCCTATTCCCATCGTCAAAGTCTTCACGTAATCTCTCCTTCTGTTAATATCCGCCATCATATAATTTTTAATGACAGTTCGCAATCGGGACTCGGTTTCGCGGCCCGCTAGCGCATAGTACCCCATGAAGTCCAACGGCAAGCATTTATTTGGTAAGCCTTTGAAAAATAAATAAATCGAAAATTGAATTATATACCCGGGTGTCTCGAGCTCACCTTTACTTAACCCCTTGTGGAGTTTGGCAGCGAAAGTCTCCCTGACTTGCTTCACCTCGTCGACCATCAACTGGGACAGATTATAGAACTGCTCGGCCGTATATTGATCACCTACACCTTTTTGTTCACAGACTTTCAACATGGCGCAGCCTGCTGCCAACCGTAGCCACGACATCTCAGACTTTAGTAATTTCCCTGACTGTAGCAGATCGCCCTTGTGAAGGATGAAAGCGTTCAACATCCGGAAGGTCTTCTGCGCTGAGGCCGTGTCCTGTTTGAGGCCCAGGAGCCAGCGGGCCATCGCTTTTAGACCTTCGATTTTGCAGCGGGTCTCTTCAGGGAGGTCCTCTTCGGCACACCACAGCTCCGAATCCGTCATGTCGATGTCGCGTTCGCCCACTTCTTTCACCAGGAGCTCCTTAACGATCTGAGAAAGAGAAGACGAAACAATTTTAAAGGATAAAATCACTTATTATGAATCTGGCTAGTAAATGTACACAAAAAAAAATTGTTGAGGCTATTACGACAGAACTTCCCTCGAGCCTGAAGTGCACCGTAACAGATCTCGCTTCTCTGAAAAATTATAAAATTGTTTTGCGATTTTTGTTTTCTCTATAAAGTAAAAACCAGGGGCGTAAATAACACTCCCGCCGCTTTTTTGGGTTGAATTCTGCAATTTAATTTTTTTTTTTGTTTCATCGGTTTTTCGATTTGCAATTTTTCGAATTTTCAAGTTTAAAGGTTTCTAAGTACATATTTCAATTTTCCAACTTTTAAATTTTCCGTTCCCTTTTATTTATTTTTTCAATTATTCGATTGTTCAATTTTTAATTTTTTTTATTTCTTCACTATTTAGATTTTGCAACTTTTCGATTTAAAATTTCTCAAGTCTTCAATTATTAATTTTACAATTTTCCGTTTCGATTTTTTGTTTTCTTTATTTTTAGAATTTTTTGAGTTTTTCAAATATATAATTTTTTGTTTTTTCACTTTCAAATTTTGCAATTTTTTGTTTCATCAATTTCTTGAGTCTCGATTTTTCATTTTTTTTTTTCAGTTTTACGATATGTAACTTCAAGTTTTCATTTTTCAGTTTTTCGATTTTGCAACATTTGGATATTTCATTTTTCTAGGTTTTGCAATTTCACGAGTTTTCAATTTTTCAGTTTTTCAATGTTCTGATTTTATAAATTTTCGATTTGCAATTTTTCGGTTTTCAATTTTTCGATTTTTCACTTTTGATTTACAATTTTTCTAGTTCATTTTAAATAATTATGAAATAATCATTTTTAAAATTTTTCTTTTAATCGATTTTTCAATTTTTTGTTTCTTCTAATTTTCGATTTGCATTTTGTATTTTTTCAATTTTTCAATGTTCTGATTTTATAATAATTCGATTTGCAATTTTTCGCTTTTCAATTTTTCGATTTTTTAATTTTTGATTTACAATTTTTCTAGTTCATTTTAAATAATTATGTAATAAATCATTTTTAAAATTTTTCTTTTAGTCGACTTTTCAATTTTTCAATTTTATTTCTTCTAATTTTCGATTTTTCCAAATTATAATTTTTTGTTTTTCCAAATTCAATTTTTGCAATTTTTCATTTATTCAATTTTTCGATTTGCATTTTTTATTCCCTCAATTTTTCGACTTGCATTTTTTATTTTTTCAATTTTTCGATTTTTCACTTTTGATTTACAATTTTTCTTTTAATCGATTTTTGAATTTTTTTATTTTTAGAATTGTTCGATTTTTCCAAATTATAATTTGTTTTTCCAATTTCAATTTTTGCAATTTTTCGTTTTCTCAATTTCTCGATTTGCGATTTTTCAATTTTTTTTTCCATCAGTTTTACGATATGTAACTTCAAGTTTTCATTTTTCAGTTTTTCGATTTAGCAACATTTGGATGTTTCATATTTCTAGGTTTTGCAATTTCATGAGTTTTCAATTTTTCGATTTTTTAAATTTTTCTTTTATCAGTTTCTCGATTTTTATTTTTCGTTTTTTCACTTTTGATTTACATTTTTTCTAGTTCATTTTAAATATGTAATAATCATTTTTAAAATTTTTCTTTTAATCAATTTTTCAATTTTTTATTTCTTCTAATTTTCGATTTGCAATTTCTCGTTTCGTTTTTTGATCTTTATTTTTAGAATTTTTCGATTTTTCCAAATTATAATGTTTTGTTTTTCCAATTTCAATTTTCGCAATTTTTCATTTCTTCAATTTTTCAGTTTTTCAATGTTCTGATTTTATAATTTTTCGTTTTCACTTTTGATTTACAATTGTTACAATTAATGTTACATGTAATACTTATTTTTAAAATTTTTCCTTTCAATCGATTTTTAATTTTCTTTTTCTTCAATTTTTAATTTCTTCCAATTTTCGATTTGCAATTTCTCGTTTCAGTTTTTCTTTTTGTTTATTTTTCCAATTTTTCTATTTTTCAATGTTCCGATTTTATGATTTCTTGTTTTTTCAATTTCAAAATTTCGATTTACAATTTTTAAATTTTTCATTTTTACTTTTTCCTTCAATTTTTTTTTATTTTTTTTTCCAACTTTGGGATGCTTCAATAGATTTGAAATTTCACGAGTTTTCAATTTTTAATTTTGCTATTATGTGTTTCTTCAATTTTTCGTTTCAGTTTTGTATTTTCTTTATTTGTTTCAATTTTTCGGTTTTTTAATACTTTCATTTGACAATTTTTCATTTTTTCACTTTAGATTTTAAAGTTTTTCGATTTTTCAATTTTTCGTTTTTTCACTTTTGATTTAGAATTTTTCTAGTTCATTTTAAATAATTATGTAATATTCATTTTTAAAATTTTTCTTTTAATCAATTTGCAATTTCTCGTTTCGATTTTTGATTTTCTTTATCTTTGGAATTTTTCGATTTTTCCAAATTATAATTTTTTGTTTTTTCAATTTAAATTTTTGCAATTTTTTATTTCTTCAATTTTTCGATTTGCATTTTTTATTTCTTCAATTTTTCGACTTGCATTTTTTATTTTTCCAATTTTTCGATTTTTCACTTTTGATTTACAATTTTTCTAGTTTATTTTAAATATGTAATAAAATAATCATTTTTAAAATTTTTCTTTTAATCGATTTTTTATTTTCTTTATTTTTCGAATTTTCCAAATTATAATTTTTTGCTTTTTCAATTTCAATTTTTACAATTTTTCGTTTCCTCAATTTCTTGATTTGCGATTTTAAATTTTTTTATTTTTTTTTTCATCAATTTTACGATCTGTAACTTCGAGATTTCATTTTTAAGTTTTTCGATTTTGCAACATTTGAATGTTTAATTTTTCTAGGTTTTTGCAGTTTCACAAGTTTTCAATTTTTTAATTTTTCGTTTTTTCAGTTTTGATTTAGTTTTTCTAGTTCATTTTAAATATGTAATAATTATTTTTTAATTTTTTCCTTTTAATCGATTTTTCAATTTTTTGATTTTTCAATGTTCGATTTTATAATTTCTTGTTTTTTCAATTTCAAATTTTCGAATTGCAATTTTTAAATTTTTCATTTTTACTTTTTCCTTCAATTTTTTTCAATTTTTCTTTTTTCCAATTTTGGGGTGCTTCAATAGATTTGAAATTTCACGAGTTTTCAATTTTTAATTTAGCAATCATTTGTTTCTTCAATTTCTCGTTTCAGTTTTGTATTTTCTTTATTTATTCAATTTTTCGGGTTTTTAATATTTTGATTTGACAATTTTTCGTTTCTTCAATTTTGATTAGCAATTTTTGTAGTTTTCATTTTAAATATATGTAATAATAATAACAATTTTTAAAATGTTTCACTTTTTCAGTTTTACTATTTTTGAATTGTTATATTTTTCTATTATTGGATTTTAAAACTTTTTCATTTATTAGATTTTTCCATTTTTCGATCTTTCAACGTTAGTTTTTCGACGTAACAATTTTGACGATCTTATCATTTTTCGATTGTACCATTTTTGGCTTTTCAAATTTTTTGATTCGATTCATCTTTTCTTTTTTTCAATTTTTCCGATTCGAATAAAAAAAAATGGAAAAATTGCAAAATTGATATACTGAAAATTAAAGAAATTGGAAAATCGGGGAACTAAAAAATCAAAGACCGAAAATTTTAATTGAGAAATTGAGAAACTTAAAAATCGAAAAAATTCAAAAAACGAAATATTGTAAAATTGAAATTTAAAAAAATTGGAAAATCGGATAATTGAAAAATCCAAAAACTGCAAAAATGAAATATTTAAACATTTAGGGGAACTGAAAAATCAAAGACTGAAAATTTGAAAAACTGAATAAACGAAAAATTATAAAATCGAAATAAACGTTGAAACAAATAATCGAAATGAAAAAAAATCGGGAAAAGAAAAATACTGAAAAATTTGGAAGTCGAGAAATTGACAATTGAAAAAATTAACGCTGAAAAACCGAAAAATCGACTCATTCATTAATTTTATTCAGTCACCCTGTAAAATAATTCAAAAATCTATGTGTCCATTGATAAACCACACGCCTAGATGCATAATATTTTGCATATTTCAGAGAAGAGAAGAATTTTAAGGTTCAAAGTTAAACTACAAAGCATTGTTCTACAATTTTGATTTTTTCCTATTGTTGGTGGGGGTGTTTATCCAAATTTTGGTTAACCTTTTACCATTTAGGTATACGATATTACTAATATACATATAAAATTTGACAACAATCAGTTCAGTAGTTTCGGAGAGTATATGTCTAATAGAAATTCAGACAGACATCAGACTGGCAGACGGAAACGGGAGACCTATTTTTTCGTACTATAGACGTTATGAAACGTCAAAAGAACATAAAAGAAGCCAGGCGTTTAATAAACTCGATTACAATACTTCCTTAGCTTACGCTCGCGAAGTAAGAATGTAAAACTATGTAGGTGACAGCCCAATAACACCCTTTGCAATATAATAAACCTCTAATTGCAACCGTTTTTCTTTTTTATAGTCCTACTTACCTTTCTAGAAACTATATTTTTAATTTGAACTTTATATCTCTCTGGAACGTTGAATGCGATGTGTCCTAGAGTAACGATGGCCGTCCTATAGTGGGGCGACTCAGGACACAAATTCTCTTTCACACTGTTTAAAATATCTGGAAATAGGTGCTCATGAAGAGCCGGCATGTTTTTATAAATACAATGGATAGCTCCTTTCGCTTGTTTCGGTGTCCCTGTTTGAGCCAAATTTTTGCAAATTGGGGCCAAATTGTCCATCAAATCCGGGAATTGCTCATCTGTAAACAAACAGGGATATAGAAAATATGGAATACATTTTTGGTTTTCACTACGTAATTTAAAAACATCAAGCTATTTAAATTAAAACTTACACAGACACCTATATTTCCCCAGGAACGTGAAAACCGAAAGCACCAACGGCGCCACGTTCTCGTCCTCCAGCTTCAGCAGCTCCATCAGCTGCTCCAGCACGTCGGTGTGGTGGAAATGACACGGGAACACGACGCTCAACATCACCAACAGCTTCAGCCCCCTGTCGCCAGCCGTCGCCGGATGCAATCCGACCTCGTCTATCGTGTTACCGCCCTTGAGGCAGTCCTCCACGTAGCCCACCAACAGTTTGATCGCCTCGTGGTCGATCATCACCGAACTGATGCGCTCCAGCAGCATTTTCACCGTGTTGTAGTACAAGTTGGTCATCACAGGTTGTCCGAGTTTTTTCAGCACTGCTGCGGTCGCTTCGGAGCACTCTTGACAGCTGACCGACGGTCGCGCCACCGTCTCCATGGTCTCGAGGAGGGCCTGGTCGCGTTTTAGGTGGCTGCTGAATTTCGTGAGGAATTCGTGGGCTTTGACGGGCTCCGGTAAACATCTACAAATTTAACCCGTAGATGAAGCTGATCGACCATGATTTCTTAAATTTTCACAGTCAAGAGGCATTTGTATAGATGCTATTAAAAATTGTAAACAATCTTAAATTAAAAAATTAGGAAGCAATATATCGTCAAATACGTAAAATCTAAAAGACAAAATAGTGGTATGTACTCTTAGTAACATGTTTAACTTCGACTGTTTATGTTTATTCAGTAGAATTTTTTAATTTTGGCAAAATGTGGTAAAACTGTATCAGTTACGAGATCTGGTAGGTTTCTGTTTCTGTCTTCGTCCGACAGACAGTATTCCCACAGTAAGTCGGACGAAGACAGAAGCAAAACATACCATTTTACAACACCTTGCCAAAATTAAAAGAATTCTACTACACTTCGAAAGAATTACACTATTACCACAATCAGATAACAAAAATCAGCGACGGCACGCATTTGTGTTAACAGAAAATAAAATTTTATTAATCAATGAAGCTACAATGGAGCAAAACATTCCTAATATTATTTTGGGTGCGGATTATAATTATCATTTATTATTATTAAATATAGGTGGGCGCGACATTACTATATTCTTACATTTTCAAAATAATGGGGCGAACCGAAAAAAAAAATCGAAACGTTTCGAATTACGAACCTTTCACCTGCAAAGGAGATCTCCCCACCCAAAGACCCGTTAGATAGGTTTGCCTGGCTACGTATTATGTGACTAAAGAATAAAAAGGTTAGAACAAACAATAATAATTATAATAATAATAAACAAAAACAGGGTGGATTCTTGAAGTGTGGGAATAGACTATTTTATGAAATTTAAGTTGGCATTTATTGTACAAAATTTTGAGGGGTGTCATCACCTTGTGGCTGAGGATAATTAGACAAGTTTTGGTTAACATTTTACCATCTATTTAACATTCCTAATAAACATACAAAATTTTACAACAATCGGTCCAATAGTTTCGGAGATTATGTCTAATAAAATCCGGACAGCCGGCAGACAGTCATACGGAAATGAGGAACTATTTTTTCGTATTCTAGGGGTCATAAAATGTCGAGAAAACATGAAAGTGGCCAGTAGTCCAATGGATTCGATTATATTTCCTTAGGTTATACTCGGGAAGTGTAAAAATTGGTCGAAAGTTGACAGAACTTCTCTCGTCTCTGAAGTACACAACAACAAATCCCGCTCCTTCGATTTGCTGAGATTTTACTTATTTTGCGATAAGCTCTACAGGGCAAAAACAATGTAGATAATACTAGTGACAGAGTAAAAAAAAAGGTCCATGATGGGTAGTACTACTTCTTTGAAAAATTGTATTAAAATTTGATTTTTACTTCCCGAGCGTAAGCAAAGGAAGTATTGTAATCGAGTCCGTCAGTCGACTCTCTACTTTTACGTTTTCTCGGCCTTTCATAATCCCTAGGGGACGAAGAAATAGGTCTCCCGTTTCCGTCTGTCTGTCGTCCCGGATTTTTATTAGACAGATAATCTCCGAAAGTACTGGACCGATTGTTGCGAAATTTTGTATTTATATTAGGGATATCGTGTAGATCAGGAGTCGGCAACCTTTTTAGGAGAGTGGGCCACTTCAAAAAAAAAATTTACGCGGGCCGCACAGCAAAAAAAATCTTTATACAGAAACAATTTTATTAGGATTAATATGTTATAATAAGACAATAAAAATAAAATCTAATAATATAATCACATAAATAAAAAACCTGATTTTGTTGAGAAGTAACATTACAATTCAGTGCGACTTTTGCTGCTGTATCATTTTTGCCAATTCATCCAAGTCGGCATCAGTTTGCGATACAGAAATCCTGAGAATGTTTTGTAAATTGTCATCAGTCAATCTTGTCCTGTATTTTGTTTTAATAATATTCATCCGCGAAAATGTTTGTTCGCACAAATAAGTACTTCCAAAAATGCAAATCATTGATTTTGCAAAATTCTTAACATTTGGAAATTTATTTTCGGGTAGGCTTGAATAAAACAGTGTTAAATTATTTTGATCAAAATTATTTTTATATATACTATTTGCCTGTAAATCTATTAGTTCTAGTTGTAAATTTTCCGGTGCATTTGTCACATCAAAGTTAAAAGGATTTTCAAATATTTCGATGTCACGTTCTTGCTCAAAAAAATCTTTAAATCGCAAACAGAAATTTTCTTCCAGTAATCTCAAAGAATTAAGATAAACATCATTAGGAATACACTGTTTGTCATTTCTTGTTAACACTGATTGTAAAGTAGGAAAATGACAATAATTATTCCTCTCAATTTGTGAAATAAACAATTTTAGTTTTAACCGAAAACTTTTAATTTCTGTAAATAACTCATTAATTAATTTTCCCTTTCCTTGTAGAATTATATTTAATTTATTGAGGTAAGTTGTAATGTCAACAAGAAAAGCTAACTCGCTTACCCACTGAAAATTTGATATTTCTGGTATACTCTTTTCTTTGTCTGTCAAAAATATTTCAATTTCAAGTCACAAATCAAAAAATCTTTTTAAAACTTTTCCACGACTAAGCCACCTTACTTCAGAAAAGTACATAATATCTTCATATTCTGCATCGATGTCATTTAAGAATTCTCGAAAACTTCGATGATTCATACCATTTTTGCGAATGTAATTAACGGTTGATATTACAGTGTCCATAACATTTTTCAAACTAACAACTTTGGCACAAAGTGCATGTTGATGAATAATGCAATGCAGTTGTAAAGGGGTAGGTGTAATATTTAATTCCGTGATTTTTCTATTAATCAACCCCATTAAACCTGTATTACGACCTGTCATGTTCTTGGCACCATCTGTTGTCACACACCTCAAATTTTCCCATTTCAGATTGTAAATACTAAAAACATTTAATAGTTCCAAAAATATATCTTCGCCTTTTGTGCTTCCATGAAGACTTTTCAGTGCAGCTAGTTCCTCCGTTACACAAAATTGTTTATCAATTCCACGGATAAAAATCAACAGTTGAGCGGTACTAGTAATATCGTTGCTTTCATCAAGAGCAAGTGAAAAATATTCAAATTTTGTAGACATTCCTTTTAATTTACAAAACATATTTGTCGATATATCTTCAATTCAGCGAACTACTGTGCGCGCAGACAAACTAATATTTGCAAATGTCTTAATTTTATCCGGACAAATTTCATTCACCGCAGTTAAAATGCACTTTTTAATAAACTCTCCATCAGTAAATGCTTTGCCGTGTTCAGCAATTAATTTTGAAATTTGTAAACTCGTTTTAATTAACGCTGAATTTTGTTCATCACACTTTTTAAAAATGTTTTGTTGGGCATGTAATGACTTTTTCAAAGAATCTACTTTATTTTGCCTCAATTGCGATTCTAATTGATCGTACTCATCTTTATGCTTCGTGTCGTAATGACGGCGTAAATTAAATTCTTTAAAAACATTTACAGTTTCTTTGCAAATTAAGCATAATGCTTTATTAAAGTTGTTAATGAAAAAGTAATCAAAAGTCCATTTTTCATTAAATACGCGGTTTTCTTCATTTAACTTTCTTCTTTTTCGAGTTTTATTCATTTTAACTAAAACAAAAAAATAATAATAATAACAAAAGAAAAAAAACTTATGTGTTGCTAATTACAAGTTTTGCAATAAAAAGCAATGAATATTTTTCAAAAAAAAAAATATAGAATACCTCTTTTTTCAAATTTAAGTTTTAAAATGTAAAAATACAATCAATTGATGTCAAATTTAACAAAAAAATACGTTGTATTAACTTACCTTTCAATGTAAATTGTATAGCAATAATATTATATTTTTTCTTATCAAATTAATTTGGCACTGCAAGACAATGTGATGACACTGATTTCGCCACAAAATAGATTAGTATTATAGAAGCCACACGTTCCTATAATTCACACTCTTTTGGAGTAAGTGGACACCGAACCAGTTGCAAGCGTGTCACAAAAAATGTGTGCATTTCCAGGCAAACAACCTTGTGTACCGCCTATTTCCGGTGCAGTTTACTGAGTACAGATGGTACAAATATTTCTAAAATTTATGATAGCCCACTTTTGTCCTTTTACAGCATTTTCGGGTTTTGTAGATCCCAACTTACTGTAATTATGCAGTTATTTTGTCTGGAGCTCAAGCGGGGCGCACAAAAGTTTACGGCGGGCCGCAGGTTGCCGACACCTGGTGTAGATGGTAAAACGCTAACCAAAATTTGTCTAATCATCCCTACCACTAATGGGATGACGTCAGTTCAAAATTGTATATGGTAAATGGGTTTTAAATTGTATATATTGTATAAACACATGTAGTTTATGACTCCGAATTGAGTTTTTACCCGAAACGTCCAGATTTTTGAAAAAAAATCAAAATTATGAAACAATATTTTACAATTTAATTTTAAATCTGCAAAACCGAATGCTTTGAAATCTTGCAGATGGTTTACAGTTATGACAACCACGATAAATTTTTAATCAAAATATATTTACTTATCCCCTCCAAAAAATTGATGACGTCAGCTCAAAAGTTTGCCGAATAAATCCTATCTTAGATGTGCAAAATTGATGAGTCTGTAGTTGTGATTTATCATTCCATTCATATTTTTTGGATTTGCATATACAGGGTGACTCGAAAAAAAAAAAATAAAGTGTGAATTTATTTTATTGATTTAACCAGGAACTACAAAACCGAATGCTTTGAAATCTTGGAGATGTTTTAAATTTATCATAAGCAGGGTAAAATTATGATCGAAATGTATTTGCTCATACCCCATAAAAATTTGATGACGCCACCGCAAAATTTTGCTGAAAAAATGCTTAAATGTGTAAAGAATGATGAGTCTATACTTGTGATTTATCACTGCATTAATATTTTTTAGATTTGCTTATACAGGGTGTCTGAAAAAAATGAATGCCCGAGTCTATTAATTTTATTGATTAAATAAAGAATTACAAAAATGTAATACAAAAAATACATAATAGGCTTGCAGTCGTCACGTTCCCGACAGTGAGGGAAGTACTGTCTAAACTCTTTAGACCAATTTTTTGATTTTTTTTTCGTGAACCAGTGACGTAAAGACAACCCCGCTGCTTGGAATTTGCAGGGTAGCAAATTCCAAGGGGGTGCCGGTTTGTAAAAGTGTGGACAATAAATATAAAAAAAAGCAGGTAACCAACGGAAAAAATGTATTATCAGTACATACTTAACTTCGATTGTTTATGTTTATACATCGTAAGAATGCGGCAAATCTGCACGTAGCAAGCTCCCTGAATTAAATGATTTTATGTTTTCAAAACACAGGAGGCGACTACAATTATTAATTAAGCTACAACGCAGTAAAACGTTCTGAATATTATATTAGATAACTAATTGTTGTCACAATTTTTATTTTGTTATTATTAAATATAGACCTGCGCAACATTGCTGTATTCTCAAATTTCCGACGTCATTAAATTGTTGGTGGAGATGATTAACCCAATTTCGTAAATAACCTGCGTAATAAAAATCGATACAGACAGACAGAAACCTATTTTTTTTTTAGGTGCGACTGAAGACTGAACTGAAAATCATTTATGGTACTCGTAACTTAAGACAAATAGCGATAACACTTATCAACCTGTAGACGTGCGAGTAAAACAAATTAAATTAAAAGATGTTTTCTAACCGGATCACAATGCCGACGGTCCAGACTTTTTTATTGCTCTGACTTCCGCTTATTGAATAAAACACTACATTTTATTTTGATTTTCGATGTTGTAATTCACATTTGGTTAATTATAACTTATCTAGATCTAGGGGAGGCTCAGCCTCCTCTAGCCTCCCCCTAACTACGGCCTTGTCTAGGGAGTATGAAATATCGAGAAAATATGAAAGTACCAAATTGTCCGATGGACTCCATTACTGTACGTCCTTAGGTTATCCTCGATAACAAAAACAACTTGAAAGTGCTTATGTTTATACATCGGAAGAATGTCACGTAGAAATTAGTTTGATTTGAATGAGTTCGTCCCCTCAAAACAGAGGATCAAAACTATTACGTGGTAAGCTACAATCGACAAAATGTTCTGAATATCATCATTACTATTATTCTTTATTAATGGGGGCAAAATCAGTTTTATCTTAACAAATACTAGGCCCGCCCACCCGCCCTCTACTTTCCCAGAGGATATGTCATTTGCCGAAATCAGTCTTATCTTACCAAGTACTAGCCCCGCCCACCCGCCCCTGTTTTCTCAGACGATACATCATTTGCCAAAATACGACTTATGTTAGCAAGTACTAGCCCCGCCCACCCGCCCTTTATTTTCTCAGAGGGTAGTACTTGTTAAGATAAGTCTTTTGGCAAATGACATAAACCCTGAGAAAATAGGGGGTGGGTGGGCGGGCAAAATCAGTCTTATCTTAGCACTTGCTAAGATAAGACTGATTTTGCCTCTATTAAACTTGAAAAAACTTGTTCAATTTAAAAGGTGTTAAATTGCATATTTCACAGTAACTAGTTAAATTCCTAAATCTGATTGGATATTTATTTTTTAACAACTCAGTCATTAGTTTTTTTTTTTTCTGAGACACCCTGTATAAGCAAATTTAAAAAATATTAATTATGTATTAAAAATAAATAACAAGTATAGACTCATCATAATTTGCACATTTAAGATAGGGCATTCAACAATATTTTGAGGTGACGTCATCAATTTTTTGGAGGGGATAAGCAACTATATTTTGACTAAAAATTTATTATGCTCTTCATAACTTTAAAACATCTGCAACGATTTCAAAGCGTTCGGTTTGGCAGATTCAAAATTAAATATGCAAAATGTTTTATAATTTTGATTTTTTTTTCCAAAAATCTGTACATTTGGGGTAAAAACTCAACACGGATTCATAAACTACATGTGTAGGACTATGTTATTTTATACAATTTAAAACCCATTTACTACGTATAATTTTGAAATGACGTCATCACATTATTGATAGGGATGATTACACAAATTTTGGTTAGCGTTTTACCATCTACACGATATTCCTAATATAAATACAAAATCTGACGACAATCGGCACAGTATTTTCTAAGATATGACTGATTTTGGCAGATGACATACCCTCTAAGAAAATAGAGGGGAGGGTGGGCGGGGCTACTATTTGATGAGATAAGACTGAACAATATCAAGAGTAGTCACTAGAATGAAGAAGGGGTGTAGAAAAAAACAAACCCATCCCCTCCCCCATCTCATTTCTCTATTTCACTGCAAGTACTAGCCTCACCCACCCCCCTCTATTTTCTTAGAGGATATATCATTTGCTAAAATCAGTCTACTCTTAACAAGTCCTAGCCCCGCCCACCCGCCCTTAATTTTTTTAGAGGATATGTGATTTGCCAAAATCAGTCTTATCTTAGCAAATACAAACCCCGCCCACCCCCTCTGTTGTTGCAAAAAGATTTAGACAATTTTCAATCATTAAACCTAAGATGTAACCCAAAATACATTTCCAAAGCTTTCGCACATTTATTTTTCAATTTATCAATAATATTAAACATATAAACCAAGTTTTGGCGTCTACCAACTTTTGGATGTCTTTAATTATTGTTAGTGACTAAATGGTATTTTAATGAGAAAAAAATTATATTGCTACGAAAAAACCCATATGCCGCCCCGGTACGACGCCTATGGGCCGTCGAGAACTTTCTGGTCTGTACGCAGATGATGACTCATCGTCAATGATAGCGACCGAGCGGCGGAGCGCTAAAGGAAAAGCCTGGAAGCGGATGTCGCGAACGCCAATCCAGAAAGATCCCGATCGCCGTACATCTAGAAGGAAGACTGAGTCCACGAGACTACAGTCAAATTGCGCCGGAATTATTTTGTACATAATCGCTGTGTAAAAATCAGTCGTGTAATTCGAGTTATTAAGAAATAAATTGTTGAGTTTAAACCACGCCGAGTTTATTCACCGATCAATCTAACAATATGATTTTAATTTCTAGCAAACCCAGACAAGAAAAACGCTTCCTTATTTCTTCGGCTTTATGCAAACCGGAAACTGGAGAGAAAATTGGTTACCTCTTAAAATCCCGAAAAAGAACAAGTACAGACCCCGCAAACGAAGTAGCGATTTTGTTCTTTTTTAAATGAAGCAACATTTTCAAACAGTGGTGGAGTTAACAAGCATAATTATCATTATTATTATCGCCAAGAAAACCGCACTGAATCAGAGAAAAACAATTTTAAACAAACTACTCAACAAATGTTTGGTGTGCGATCCTTGGGAACCAAATTATTGGTTCCTATTTCTTTATAGACAATTTCAACGAGAATTCTTATTTAAATTTTATTGGAACCAATTTACTATTATTATTTCAAAATATTAATTTTTATGTTTTCATTAAAACGGTGTTCCTCGGGAGGCGTTTATCCACTTGACGTTACTAAAGAACACATATTACGTCCTTGGATTTTTTTCTATGGGGCGGTTAGAGAACTACTTTGTTGAACTCCATTTAACAACGTAGAACGTTTGGAAAATAAAATAAGAGAAGCGGCAAAACCTATCTCGCCAAATGTTTTATTACGGATGAGAATGCCATTTTTGGAAAAAATTGGAGGATGAAAGAAATGCCGGGCATAATTTTGAGCAGTTATATTAATTAAATAAATTTTGTTGATAAACTTCAAAAGCGATGTTTTTGGCAAAATTATGGTAATGTGTCCGAGATTGTTGTTTAATGTTTTTGATAAATAAATCTATACATCTATAAATCCTTTGAAAATATATTCTAGGTTGCGTTCATTATTTTGATTTATGTTTTGTTAGGTGCAAGTGAACGCGGAATCAGAAGTTCTCACCCACTTCACGTACATTTCCGTATATTTTACGCACAACAATCACCTTTATACCGATCGACCAAACTTGTTAACGAGTACAACAGCGATTTTAATGGTGCATCCATTAATACAGGTATTCACGAAAACCTTCAAATCTATCCAAAAAAAATTAAAACGCAACCAACAATACATCTGTGTAACAGTTTATGTAATCTTTCGAAGTAAACACGGCTATTTTGTTTTGATATGTGGAAATACACGTTAATTTTTAAGTTAGAAGCAAAAACAAACAAATTCAAAACAAGAACTCGTGTGATGTGAAAAAAATGTTAAACATGTTATTCTCGTTACATATAAATAGAATTATTCTTTATGATGCCATATCCGCAATAAACTACTATTACTAAATATACCACGTATTTCGTACCTGCTCAAAGCCTGGACTTTCGCTGCCATCTCCTTCTGCACGTCGGCGTTCGCCGGCCTCCTGTGTAATTCCAGCCACTCTAGAACTAGTTTTCTTACACACAGCTGGTTTTTCTGCAGCTCCATGAACGCCTTCGTCGCGTGTTCGTCCACCGTGCCCAACAAGTGATACAACTTCTTCATTCTCTCAGCCGGCGGCAGCTGGTACGGTACCAGACACGTATTTAGCAACCTCTCCACCAGAAGTCTGTCTTCCATCCCCGCCATGTAATACCCGTGCAGAATCTTGTCTTTGATCCACGTGACGGCCTTCTTCGTCGCGTTCGGCACGTCCGGATCGCTTAAATGCTTTCTGTAGATCAGCGCCAGCCCCGACATTGCTTCTTTCCGGATTTTGAACTTTAATAACAAAGATAAGAATGTATTAGTTGACTGAATTTACAACTTATTTTAGCAGCATATCAATAATTATTGCATAATTGTACTTTGTTTGATACTAAACGCGCCAATGTGTTTACCTTTTTGTCAAGGGTGCGCTCTTTCACGAACTCGAGAAGATCCTCCGAGTCGGAGACCACCTGGAAGTCGCGCCTGGCCGTGGTGACGATGGCCATCACTACTTCATACCGAACGTTTTCTTCAGAGTCGTGTTGGCGCATTTTCAGAGTGTCCGTGATGTCTTTGCGGAGATCCGGGTGATTCAAGAGGAAATGCATGGAGTACTGGACGCACTTGGTGCGGATTTGGAGAGAAATATCGTTGAAGCGGCCCAAAAAAGCGCGCCAGAGCGACCCGTGTCTTCGAGCCAACTCTGAGTCCTTTTCGCTGAACATGCGAGCTAGAAGTGCCACAGCCCCTAGTCGTTCGTTTTCGAGAGGGCTCTTCAATTTGCATTCGAGTTGCGGCAACACCGCCACCAAAATCTGTGGACAAATGTGGTTGAGTTCGTAGATGAGGTCATAAACTTTGCCGCAAATTTGCAGATTTTTGTCTTCTTTGCCCAAGATGAGAACGTGGTTGAAGAAGGCTTGGATGTAGGGCTCTAGGGTGTCTGAAGTCTTCACGATCAGTTCCTTCGCGAGAAGATAAGCGTTTTTACGTTGAGTTTTATTCGGTTCGACTATGTTCATCAAAATTATGTCAAGTAAATCATTGCTGACCATGTCGCTTTCCGTAATCAAAGGACACAGCACGTCAAGCATGAAACTCTTCACTCGCCCTGAGTGTTCGTCATTGACTATCTTGAACATGAGGTGGAACAGCGCACAGAAAATTTCCTGGCAGTCCTCCAGCTCGAAACACATATTGAACGACTTGACATAAGCTAAGTTCTCCAACAAATAGAAGTACCTTTTGAAGGCGGCGTCTTTGGGGTCTTTCAGCCCCGATAATTGCGTTATCAAGAACAGGAATATCGTTTTCACTTGATCGGCGTCTTTGTAGGGGGCGTCGGGGGCGTACACCCTCAACACATCCGCGATGCAACAAGCAATCAGCAACTGAACGTCTCGAGATGGGTGCGACAAAAACTGCTCCTCTGCTAGGTGTAGAGCCAACGGGATGTACTGTTGGTAAGCCCCCTCGTCCTGCCCCATCGCCTGCAACGTATGGGCGAGGGTTTTCAAGCGTCTAATCAACTCATCTGGACCGAGATCGTCGCTGATGGGGCGGCAGCCCGCAGGATACACGATCTCAGACATTTTCACCTCTGCAAAGACAATCGTGAAAGTGCGGCTGCGAAAAGGGGTGTTCTGGATAGGGGTGCGTACCTGGGCATCAAAACTCCAACGATGGGGTGGTCAAGGTACAACAGGCGGTTTCTTCGCGATGCGGCGCACTGGTTGAGACATAAGTTGAAAGCAGGGTTGGACTCAATTCATGTCGTCGGGAGCACGAGCATAGAGGCAAAAATGTGGGTTTTTAGATTGTTTGCATCGTTTTTGTGAGGACGCGTAAAACACATAGCACGAAACTTACAGCACAAACGCCATTATGGTTTTGACAGAGGGGACAACTTCGCAGCGGTGCCAACGTAATGGCGCCCGAAAGGGTTTGAAAGTGGCAGAAGGACAAAAAAAAAAAACATCGAAAAACTTCGTTAGAAGATGCGTGGTAAGAAATACGATTAATAACTTGCGTTTTAATCACAAAGTGCACGCAGTGGAAGCAGTGAACCGGTAGTGTGCCACAAATAAGGTTTTCAGAAATTCGATCATGAAATGCTTTCACCTTGCCTTTTGCACAACTGCTTGGCTGGTTGCATACAGCAGATCATTGACGATTTTTCGACACTTCTCCTGAATTTGATAAATTAAAATATTGTTTACAATAAGGGTAAAGATTTACACCAACACAAGACATTTTAGTACCATTTTCTTAAGAAATAACAAGATGATGATGATGATGATAATCAATAATAAATTGAAATCTACCTTGTCATTGGGGAAATTGGGAATACAAAATTAAAAAATATTTTCATTTGTATATTCTCATGGTATAAGAACGTCTTCTCGTAGCATGGTATAAAACTGTTTATTGAAAGAAAATACCTCATTTATTTCCATAAGTAGCACGTCACCACAATAAACCACATCATTTGACTATCCGCAAATTACATCAATTCTCATATATTGATCTACGTTAAGCATTCTTAATTGGGGTTCTTACAGAGATCCAAAAAAAGCTCGTTGTTTTACACATAAAATATAAAATATAAATGTACGTCTTGCGCTCAACGTCGATCAATTTATTTACAACGTTCTGTGGGTACCGTATATGCGAAAAAAATATACGAAGTGAAAGAACAAGATGAACAGTACTGGAACAAATTTGCCAATTCCTTTCACCTCTGCCTTCGCAGCTATTTTTTATTTTTTTCTCTTAAAACACTTATTTTCCGGGAATTTCTTCTCCACCTAAAATAAAACCGTTTCAAAATATATTATTTTTCACTTTTCACCGTTTTCCTTCCCGTTACAAACCACTCCGATCCAGTGACCTCTGAACGGCGCCAACTTCACTCTGGTCTGGGTACGAAAATGGCGTCGCACGTTAAGTTTTGACATATTTATGGTATTATTATTATGCTTGTGTAAATCGTTTAAAACATTAGTAATCCTCAAAAACCGCTGATACACCTCACAGTACCCCAGAAGTCGAGAATCGCGCAACAACTGGTAAGATCCTGCACCCGTCTGTTTCGTGTTAACATCCTTTGTTGTTGCAGTGACCCCTTGAAATATGTTTCGACATTTGCTCGAAATGGCAGGTTTGGGCTCTTCCTGTTCCCGAGACTGCTCGGGCCGCGGCGAGTGCAACAACGGGACGTGCATGTGCGACATTCGCTTCACTGGAGAATTGTGCGACGGTCCCAACGTGCCCTATCATGCTGGCATCGGAGGTGTCTTCTTCCTAGTGGGACTAGTGTGTGCTGTGCAGCTCATAATGTGCGTCGTGTCGGAGTACCAGCGGATGAAGGCACCCACATTTCTGAAAGCGTGTCGGATCACCACCCAGAAAGCCATCTATTTTGTGATGTGTATAGCCAGCTTAATACGAGGGGCGTACTTCATCTCACCGGTTGGTATTTGATTTTTCCCGTTTGGGTTTATATGTAAATTGATTTTGGTGCACGGTCAAAAACGATTGCGGCAAATAGTTGTTGATTGTGTAAGTTGCAGTTTTTGATTTTATTTTTTTTTAAACTTAATTCACTATTAGAGCTAAGACATTTGATATTCATGAGGGCGGTGACTGTACCTCTCACTTACTAATAGCTGCAAAGAAAAAGAATGTGATTACTTGTGTCACAAATGGTGTGACATATGGTTCAATTAGTATAGAATTTCTTTGTTAAAGCAATCCTTGTCACATTTGTGTGAAATATGAACAAATTTGTACAGTGGGACTATAATACTTTTTAAGTTATGTTTTAGAAGAAAAATTGCACGTAAGTCTACTGCAAGATCACCTAGTTTTTTTTTTTTTTAAATTAAATTTTTCTCGGAGAAGTTTCAAAATATATTCTTTGATTAAACACATTATGAAATATCTGATTGTGTTTTAAAATAAGCAGGTGTCACAACGCATTGTGTTTTGTATTAAATGATGCGTCATATGTACAGATTTACATACTTAAAAAAAGGAAAAAACATATATATAATACACAGGTTCTTTATTATCCATTTTTAAGATATTTATGTTGCATCTAAAAAAGTTAAGTACTGTACAACATATCCAGCTTTTTCGGAAAATTATAAATTTTGATTTTGCAATTTTATTTTTTTAATGGTAACCCCTATAACTCAAAATAAAAATATGTATGTAGTATTAAAGTAAAAGTAAAGAATCATGGTATGCGTATGTTTCAAGTCAATTTTTCCATTAACAAATTCTGTAATGACGTCATCAACATTTTATGTTTACAAATTTTATTTTTTTATCAGCTGAAAATGAAATAAATATGTGAGTAAAACGACGTTGCAATTTAAAAAAATATAGGTTTGAGTCGCGACGCCGACCCCAAATGTGGGTCATAATTACAATGTACTGAATTAAGCTTTCTCCTTCAAGCTAAAAACAATCGCGTTTACAGAATCTCAATATTTATTCGTTCTCAAAATATAAGGCCGCGGAATTTTAACTGGGACAACCTGTATATTTGAATTACATATTACAATCCATTGTTCATTATTCTTTCGTATTCACATGTGGTGAAATTGTTTGACGGTACATATCAGGAAGTGTTTCAAATTAAGATATTTCTTATCATAATTACTCGCAAAACGACAACTAATGTAACGAACTTCAAGGACATTTATATGTACATATATTTAATTTAGAAATCAAGGTGAATTTTGTGAACCCTTGTCTGCAATTTATTAATGTTGCAATTGCCTGTTACTATATATTTCAAGCGTATAATTATGTATTAAATGTATTAAGTTTGACATAACTTCACAATCATGCAAAAATTTTACAGAAATTAAAGCGACGGTTTCCAAAAAAACTGAAAATAAGTCAGTTTATACTTTTATTATTTTTTTTATTAGACAATTGTTAAAACTAACGTAAAAACTAAAACTATAAACATGTATCTAATATTTTTTTTTTAGATGATCGATCTTAGTTTTTTAGACGTATTCCGTATTAAAATACTTATTAAAAATGCTAAATGTGCTAGGAAAGGTCGTTTTCGGTTGTGCACTCCGACGAATACAAAAGAAAAAGAAGACTTTAAACCCCAAACTATTAATTTTCCTCTTTTCAGGATTCTTTCGAGTACGGGTGGTCGTCGAGCCTCCTCTCCTCCTACTACCCCCTTCTCATGTCCTGCTCGTCTCTCATCGTATGCTTCTGGGCCGAGGCAAGTAATTTAGTCACACAATCCCACAAACGCATTTGTGGTCGCCGTCACGATTTTATTGCATTTTCTACAAGTCAATAATGGCTTTCTGACCAATTATGGCCACTTTCAAGGCGGTAATAAATTTGTTTTGTGTTTAGGTTTTCCACTTGCAAGGCATTCGCTGGGACAAGTCGCACTTCTTGTCCAAGTCGTTGCTGGGATTCGTCACGTTTAACATCATAAGTTACAGTTTGTTGCTGGCGGAGGTGATCACGACGAGCCTGGCTGAACCACCACCAAACGATCCCGGCTTCTACAGTCATTTGTTTAATGGGTGCTACGCTGTGCTGTTGTTCATCGTCGTGGTGTTTTTCTTGATTTATGGAGTTGAAGTTTTCTTCAAGGTGAGTCAAGTGTGATTGTTTTGATTTGGTCAGTAGGTATTTGAGATAAGGGAGTATGAATTACACGAACGGCATTTCCCGTGAGTCTCTAAATGTTCCACAGTTATTAGTTCAATTTAATAATCGCGAGTTTATGAAAATAGCGAACAATAGCATTGTTAGGTACTGATTGTTGTAAGTAGAAATATGTTTGTGCAGGAATCGTTTAGAATTTTCTGTGTTAATGTATATAAAAAGTAATAATGGCGATTTTGCATTTTCGTATTTTACGAGCTGTGAAGCTATTACAATACTTCTCCTAGCTGTCAATTTTGGATTTATTTAGTTTCGTTTCGTTGTGTATCTTCAGTAGCTGCCAAATTTACGTCAAAATTCCTATTGATACTAATGATATAAAATCAAATCCTTGTTTAATTTTTCTGATAAGCAAAAACGATGAAAAAGTTGTCGGTAAATATTTACATTTGAGTAATGTTTGTTTGTTGTGTGTACGTCTATCAACAATAACGCAAAAACGTCTCGATCGATGACTTTCAAATTTAGTGCAATCTAGTAAGTGACGATCTAAAAATCAGCGTTTTTGCTTTGGTAAAATGCATAAGATAATTCTAAAAAACCACATTTAATACTCCTGTTGTAATCTTAAGTGCTGTTTTTACATCTCTTTCAATTGTCTTTTATCGCATTACAAACAGTTCAGAATAGCACTAATTACCTCCGTGTCGTAACTTACAACAAAAAAACAATCAAACTACGCAGAATTCCTTCCATTTACATAGTTCCAGCTTCCAGCGTTCCATATCTTAAAAAAACAACATATCGATACGAACAAACCTCTACGACCTCTACCCAACCTTATCGATCCCTCAAGCACCACAGCAATTATCTCCCGCCTAATTATCTCCGCATCGATTTCAATCTCCACATATCGACCACTCTCCGATCTCGTTCCATACATGTCGTCACCGCTTCTCCCAAACCGTCTAAATCGTTCTGTCTCCAGGTCCGCGGCGGCTTCGTCGGCAAGCCCCTGCAGCTCGCCAGCGCCGCCTCCGGCGAGTCGGAGCCACTCAGGTCCGAAGATCTCCGGCCCCAGATCAACATCTCGCAGCTGCACCAGTCGCGTATCGGCCTTCTCAGCCAGGCCCTGATGCTCATCACCATCGTGGGGTTCCTCTTCTCGGAGACGCTGTCCGAATTCTGGAAGACGAAGGTGCCGATCGTTTCGAGGAACTGGCACCACGTCGTCTTCAGGGTGGTAGAGATCGGCGTGGCCGTGTGGTTCCCGGCGGTGTTGTGGAACTGCATGCAGCCGTCGGAGCTGTGGATACTCAACCCGCAGAAGCTGCTCGCGAAGCTCGACCAGAAACCGCAGGAGTTTGTGGCGAGCACGAGCGCGGCGGGTAACGACGACGAGGCGTTCCTGGACAAAAGGGAGTGCTGGATATGCTACGATGCGGATAAGCAGGTGAGACGAGATTTTTTTTAGTAATAGCTGGTGTTCTCAAATAAAGCAGTTTTTTTTTTTTTTCTGTAAATAAGAAACTACATTATATGTTTTTTGCGATAGGAGCCACTGATCCAGCCCTGCGCGTGTACCGGTGACGTTTCCAGCGTCCACCACGACTGCTTGAGGAGATGGTTGATGGAGAGTTCTTCGGGAAGTACAGAAGCTTTGAAATGCAAAGTTTGTAATTACGAGTACGACGTATGCAGCACGACAAAGCTGGATTGGGAAAGGGGATTCACTTCGAAACATTGGGGATGTAATGCTGTGGTGATCACGTGTTTATGCGTCGTCGTGGCTGTGGCATGGATCATTATACAGCTGTACGATAATAGTTATATACGGATGTTGAGCGCTAGTGTGGCGCTTTTAGTCATCTATGTGTGTATTAAGTAAGTACCTCATTTTTTAAACGATTCAGTCAGCGTTATCTTGAGATTTTTACTGTTTTTTGTGACGTCTTGTGTTCGCAAATATTCCTCCAGCTCGACTAGGAACCGCGCCCTCGGCTTCTGCCAAGTATTTCGGTGTTATTTAACCTCAATTCCATTTAAATGTTCAATTATTATAACTCTGATATTAAACTACAACTGAACAAGTGACAAAGTTTCAAAAAGAGCAATAAACAACATTTAAATTCGCCACACACTTTCGTGAAATATAAAACAGAATTCTTATCTGAGATTAAAATTGAACATCAGACAATTTTATGATGGAAGCATCAATCAACAACATATTTACAAAACAAACAAACTAGCAAAGATATATAAAAACAAAAGATCTGGTGTGAAATAAACTTGTGAAGATAAAATATTACGTGAGGTTAGAAACTGAAGAGCATGAAAGTTTACATTCAATTTAAATTATACAACAAAGGTACTGAACTTAAAATTGTGAGATAGAGAAATGAGATGAGGTGAAAATTGCAAAACTAACAAATTTACATGAGATTAATATTTGACACACGTTATCAACGATTCAAACAAAGAGTTTACATTATGTTCAATTATGCCACACTTTATCAACGATTCAAACAAAGAATACCACTATTACCATTGATCTAATAAAGGAATGGATGGAGCCTTGTATACGTTTCCATACGCGAGCGAGTGTAATCAACATAAGAAAGAAATAGCTAGAGCGGTTATGCATCAGTGGGGAAAGGACGGCTGACCACGTATCACGTGCTGGGTGGCACGAAACGCTTCATTTGAACGGAAATTAATACGTTTTCTTAGGAATTTGTTCAAACAATCAATTATAACAAACGTCTGTTAATGAAAACTATATTTTTACAGTTAACATATTAAATTGTGTGGAATTTTCTACTAAAATCTATTTTCTAAATCCACGTACAAATAACTAAAACAATGATCAATAGATATAAAATTCCCGCTTTTTGTAGCAATAATCCGTTTTTTTCGTAACTCGGAATGTTTAGGGAGTCTAACAAATTTTTTAAATTATTTACGAAATCCTTCGTCTGTGTATCTGATTATTACCTATGAAGTGAAACAGGATTGCTTTCTTTGCACGTTCTATGCAATTATACGCACAGCACGCTTTCATAATGTTTAACAAATAGTCCAATAAAATACAACTTAAGAAGATTGTAGACATTTAAATAAGGTAACTTGAGCCTAAAAAACGTAAATTTGCAAAAATACACCTTCAAACACCATGCGACAGCACGAAAGAAACCTCCAGCAACACAGTGCTCTGCAGTTTCGCGTCAATGTATTGCCACCCAGAGAGCCCTATCTTTGTCCCACTGTGTTGACAACGCGCGTCTCTCTCTAAGTTAATTCCATATAATATTATTTCTATGACTATTACTTACAACAATTTGTTTTGAGCGTTTATATCGTGGACTATTTATCCCTAACAAAACACATGATAAATAAATAAACTCAAAATGCGTCCTGCCTTGCGAGGAAAAATGCGTCTCGGGGATGTAATTAAGGAGAGAAATCTTTAATCCCCCCGTCAGTTCACGATATTATATTATGAATTCTGCTGCACTTTTTTACGGTCTTTTTCTACAGTGGGGCAACGTTAGGTTAATTTAATTACCGCAAATGAACTATTAGCAATCTTATGTGAAGAATTAAGAAGTGTTATAATGTAACACTTAAGTATTAGCATCCAGAAACTTATTCATAATTCGTTAAACAAAAGTGAGTCCTGATTAAGTGAATCTCATTAAATCTCCTAATGAGTGTTTATCTGAATAAGTCTAATGTCTGTTAAATTGTGTTAGAACCTGTTCACGATTAAACTCCTAACATGAACTGTGAATTTACAAACAATAAATCAAATTTACACGTGTTAGCGTCGGTCGAAAATTCGCATTTTTCCGAATAGAAAGCCGCAAGAATTAACTCCGCGCGCGTTGGGGAAATTCTGGCGCCGTCGTCGTTACAATTAATTTTCGTTAAACAAAGGATTTCTCCTTTTTATTAACTACCAAACCAACTAAACTTACCACGTGGTTACATTCACAACACACACACCAAAAGTCACGCTTTCACCACCCTCCACCAAGCAGCCATCTTGGCCCTACCAACCCTCTAACTAAAAATTGTAAGCAGAACTATCAACTACCCAAAAAGCACCAACGTGCACATGGTTGCTTTTGTTTAACGATTTTTTTAATTTTTTTTTTAAGGCCGTGTGTTTCATTATTTCTAGTAGTCGCACCAAACATCATCCAGGTTTAACGTGTGCTTTAGTGCTCCGCTTCTTAATAATAACTCCAGGGCTGTATTTTTTTAAATTTTACTTACGGTTTTTTTTTCTTTTGTAGATTCCTTGGCCAAACCACTCTCAGCGCGTACCAGCGAGCCAAAGTCGCCGCCCTCAACATCGGCAGTCACGTGACGACCATCAGCGGGGCGGTAAACGTCGAAACAAACGATTCTCAGCCACAGGCCGCCCTCTAGTCTCGAGAAGCGGTTCTAACAAACCATTTGTGATATTTATCCATGTATTATTAGACGATTATTCTTAGTGTAAACATTCACAAATTAGTATTTTTTATTATTTCGGTTCGTACTAATAGTTATGTGCAATTATTATTTTATTTATAAGTAGGAGCATGTTAGTGTTCGTGTTACAGTACTGTTTTAAGTATGATTACTTAGCTTTGGGTTCTGGATTTTCGTCCAGTTGTGAAATGCCAAAAATGTACATAGATTTGTCTCATAGTTACTTCAATGTTGGAGGGATTTATGCTTGAGTTGGTTCGTTGACCGTTTTTTTTATTGCCGTGTAAATAGGATGGATATTAGAAGTTAAGTTCTGTTGGTAGATCTTTGATGAAGTTGTTCCCGTGTTATTGTAATCATGAAGTTTCATGGTAGAAATAAAACGACACGTCGCATATTTAGCTTTGTTTTGTTAATTTATACACCGTTCGCTCAGCGAGTTTGGCAACACTGATCCTCTTCATTTATAGTTCCAAAGTCCCTACTTTTAAGTCAAATTAAGCCGAAATTTAATCATAAAACGAGAAAATAGACTTTATTAGCATAAACTACAAAATAGTCTTCATTAAAACAGATCTAAATCAGCTGCTACGTAATAACAAAAAAATCTCAAAATTACACATCAAACTTTAAGGCCTTACATATCACCTTCACGTTCCCCACTCATTTGTCCACGTCTCAACACCTCGATCATCCGCTGGTTCCCTTTCGACACCGCATAACCCAACGGCGTCTCCCCACCTTCATCACTCACGTCCACAACCGCCCCCTTCTCAACCAAGAGCTCCACCACATCCATAAACTGCTGCCCACAAGCATAGTGAAGCGGCACAAACCCGAACCTATTTTTCACATTAACGTCAGCCCCAGCGTCCACCAATTTCTCTACAACATCTCTGCGGCCTTTGATGCACGCATAGTGTATAGGTCTACATCCCAGACGGTCCCCATCATTCAGTTTAGCACCGTATTTGGCCAGAACTTCCACCGTGTCGAAATATCCACGCTCGGAAGCATGAAGAAGAGGAGTTTTGCCTTCCACCGCAACATTCACTTTAGCGCCATTTTGAATCAGGAGCTCCGTAATGTCGCCATTGTGGCCGCAACCGCGCAAAAGGGCGTTTTCTGGTACTTGAGCGCCTTGAACAACTAGGAAAAGGGCGGCTTCGTAGTTTTGGTAAAGGCAAGCGAGGCGTAGTGGAGTATCATCGTCTTCATTGGTAACGTTTATGTCTGCACCACTAGCGACAAGAAGCTGCACGAGAGTAATGTCAGAATCTATGTGTTTTAGAAGGAGGGTGTTTAAGAGATCGGTTTGAAAGGTGTTTTGGGTTAAGAGAAATTCTGCGATATTGTGGTGTTTGTTGTCGAATGCCGATTTCAGTAGATCGACTTTACTGTTCTTCATTACGTTTCTGTAGTACGAAGATCTCATAAGTTTTGTCAAACTGTTGAAGGAACCGTATTTTACAGCCACAAATAAGACAGACGATTCAAACTCATCTTCCACGACAGGTAAATCTTTCATAATATCAAGAAGGTGTGACAAATCAAATACGCAAGCGTAATACACAAGAGTAGCAACATCTTTGAAATTCTCGAAAGTGTGAAGAGGAAGATCGTATTTTTTTGACAGAAGATTTAGAGGTGTTAAGCAATGTGAGCGGTCTGCCAACTCGAAGGCATTAAATTTAAATAAACAATCTCTTTCTTCGGGATTGATCTTTTCCACAAGCTGCTCCACTATTCTACAATATTCTTCATTCTCTTTCTTAACAGAGTCTGCAAATATCCCAAACACTTTATACTTGACGTTAAAAAACTCCCACTTGCTGAGTCTCTCTGGGTACAAATCCAAGAAGTGCTCCCCCCAAGAGCACGCCACCTGTAACACATTTCTTCCAATTCTGTCTTTACTTCTTAATTCTTCATCTTCGCAACTTGTTAGCGCTTCTAGATTTTTATACAGTACTGAAACATGAGCTGGACGTCCTTTTGCCATTATCAAATCAAAAAAGAAACGAATGTTGGTGTTTTTCTTGTCAAAAAAGATCTTGGTAATGCTTCCAAGCAAGTCAGTATGTTCTGATAGATGTACAGCTGCGAAGTACTCACTGTATGAGTTGTGCCAGAAGTCTGGAACGCTGTCGTCTGATACGTGGGTGATGATTCCCACAGAATCCGCCTCAGTCTTGATTTCTTCTAAAAAAGTATCACAATTGACGTTTTGTAAAACACCAGGGAAGTGTAATTTCATAGCTACCATCTCATACATTCTGATTCTATCCTTTTTGAATTTCTGGTTTCGTTTGTAAACCATGTCGTTCCAGCCGTCAAAGTTCTCTTTTTCTTGGTGAAGAACGTTGAATTTTTCGTCAACGAAGCACGCGTATAAATCCGTCAAAGACAAAATGTTGTCCAGGAGTGTTTCATATTTTTTCCAGTTTGTGAGCAGAAGTTCGGTAAACATGTAAATCTGAAGAGGGATTCCTAAAATTTGGTTATATCGAAAGAGCTGGATGTTTTTATTAATCTTAACAAAAATATCCTCTAAATCGTCTTGACAACACTTCAATCTTTCTCGTATATACAGTCTTTGTTCCTCTTCGTCGAACTGCTTGATGGTTCGTGACAAAACACCGAATTTATTTTCAAGACAAGATTCTAAATTATTCCGGGATGTTACCCATTGCTTGAACCCGCGTCTTCTCAGTTCGATGATGATTCTAACAATCACTTCGAAATTATCGTCAGAGGTTTCGTCTAAAGCATCCCAAAAAACACGTTGTTCTTGATAAAAAATCTTTAGTAAGTTTTTTTCTAAGTCGGTGTACTTAGACCCCACTTTGTCTAAAATGTAGGCAACGAATTTCTCCACATCGTCTCCGTTTTGTCGAAAATACTTCGAATGGTCCTTCGGGTACACTAAAATCGTCCAAAAATCCGTCGAGTAGTTGTTCTTCAGGTTCTTCAACAAAGTGGTTTTGCCCATTCCGGCATCGGCACAAATTAAGTTAAGACTATTGTCTTCTTCATACTCTAAAAGTTTCCATTCTTCTATAAAATTGTCTTCTATTAGAAACTTCTTTAAAGCGGAAACGCCATCTTTGCTTCGTACCCATTCAAGTTTTTCGTTATCAATTCTGAATTGGTGACAATTCAAATTTTGAAAGTTGTTGCAAATGGTGTCGAATGTGTCTTTGGAACACTCGTCACAAACGTATATGCTTTTGCCATCTGGTTTACCCCCAAATGACAGTTCTTCGATGTTGATAACATTGATATCGTGATTGATAAACTTTTTAAAAGTAGGTTTCCATCCAATGATGATTAGCAGGGTCTTGGCGACAATTGAGTTTAACAATTTAAAATCTAGAAAAAGTCTGGACACGGACCGCCGAATGTAAGGGCTTGGAAGATCTTCACTTTCTTCTCCAACGGAGAACTGATGATATACCATTTGAAGAAGATGACTTGTTGTCACTACACTTAATACATTGTGACTACACTCAAGAAGACTTTCTAAAGTAATTTCTTTCTTTCCTTGAAAAACACACTTGAACGTTTTGGATATATCTTGAACATCTTGTGGTTGCAAATTTGATAAATACTTAAATGACGAACTCTGATAACTATCACAGCTTCGTTGGCACAAAATAATAAATTTCTTGTTTTGGCACAAACTTAAGGCTTTGTTGACACTTTCGTTTCCTTTAACAACCAAGTGACCAAGGTTAAAGATCCAAAGAAGTAAGTTACATTTATCGTCACTCAAAGAACCTAGTTCTTTGATTCCACTTGAAACCACTTGGTACTTAAGAGCAGTGATACTAACTTCTTTCAACATATCTTTATTTTCTTTAAATTTCTGAACAACAACCCCCAACAACTTGGACAAAGTTTCAAAATCTTCTTCTATAAAATATGTTACGTGAAACTTGGACATAATATCCAAAAGAAGCGACTCTCCAGCTTCTGCTTCTTTATGTAAAACAGAAGTGACAACTTTGATAGAAGGCGACAAAACTTGAGCCGCTATTACTTCTTTCATCAAACCTTTATTCAACTTCACCTTTCTTCCTTCTCGTATGCTCCAATCCGTTACAAATTTGTAGTAGTCACGAAAAATCCTCTCTCCACAGTCAAAAAACTTCTTAAATTTATCTATAGCAGCCGCCTCTATTTGAAAAACGTCCAGTTGATTCGTACACAGAAAAAACTTTTGAAAAAACTCTTCATAAACGTCTTCAACCTCATCATTCTTCACAGTTCGAAACTGATAAAAACATCTCCTCTCGCAGAACTTCATGAAATCTTCGTCAGGTTCATACTTCACGATCTTCACGTCAAAATCATCTCCTTCTATCCTAATCTTTGCTTCTCGTTCGTTATAATTAAATTTTCGATTTGTTAAAATAACCCATTTGAAGGCGTCTTGTTTCAGTTTCACGAAGTCCGCGTGGTACTTCCTGACACTAAAGTCCCCGCTTTTGGTTATCAGGTTTTTCAGGGTTAAGGGCCGGGCGCTGTGCTTCAGCTGAAGAGCGTAAGAGTCCTTGGGTTTCTCTTCATTTCTCCAAGTGATTTCGAGGACGATGTCGTCGAAGGCACCGAAGCTTTCGTCGTTTGAGGAGATTTGGAAGTCTTGGATTTCGTCGTCGAAGATGAAGTCTAAAATGATGTAGGAGATGAACAGGTCTTCATAGTCTTTGCCGCGGTCTGTGGTGCCGGCCCTCTTCTTGAAGAACTAAAAGGTGACTCGTTAGTTGGATGTAAGTGGATGAAGAGTTAATACATACTTCATCGGGCATGTTGGTTTCGTAACAAGTTGCTATCTATAATGCAAAAATTTAACCCTAAAAAGAAAATCAGGTATAACAAGATTATTAGTTATAACAAAGGAAGTTTGTTTATTTAAATTTTAAATATTAAACAACTCAAACATTCAGAATATCAGATCACAGGAATATTCTTAAGACGTTGAAAAATTATTTAATAAATAAAAAATTTTATCCTTGAATTTCTTGATAATAATGTCGAGAATCTTAGTTTCACTCAAATGTGTACAAAGAATTCTATATTTGTGGCACAAATAAACATTATTATTATTATTATTATTTTCCATAAAAAAGACGTAAAAACTGTGATAATTTATTATTGAGAACTACTAACGTCAACAGATGCGGTTAGGATTAATTGAATACAATCCAGCTACTATTCCGTTCTGTTTGAAGTCAAAAACACACAATGATGTACGCTTCCAGGTAGTACATATTCTGAAAACTTGCTAAATTTTAAATTTTAGCGCGTAGATTTACAATCCACATCAAAAAATCGATCACGTCATCAAATATGGACATTCAAGGTTACTGCATGTACTCACCTTAAGTAATCTAGTCATCTTGACTCGACTTGATTTGCCTTTGACGGTTTTTAAAATAGTAGATACATGACACTTGTTTAATTTAATTCAATTTCTTTTATTTTCAATCCGTTGAAAAATAAATTGTATGTACAATGAAGGGTAAAAATGTCTTTGTATAACTGGAGTATGACACATAAAAATCTGTCACACAATGTAATCTTATAATGCTAATATCTACAATTTAATTAAAAGATAAAAAAGCTGTGCAAAAATATTTAAAATTCCCGCGATACCTACGACCAATCCTAATCGACGCCCAATTTTTGACAGATAATATAAACAAATCAAAACAAAACGTCAACAAACACAAATGTCACTGCTTAATTTTGAAAACTAACCTCCAGAGACACATTTTCTACCACCAAATGCCCCAAAATTGGCGCCAGAACAAGCAAACTATTCACATTTTGTCCCAAATTCCATGCCATACATCACCGCACCCCCACAACACAGCTGCCTCTTAGCCTCTGTACGCATGCGCACACTAGTCCCCTCTTTCTCCTTGACTGCCAGCCAATCCCAATGCCCCTTGTGCGGCGGGAAACCGCCGATTTGCCCCAGTCCGTTAAGTTTGGTTAGCAAACGGTCCATGAACTACCAACCGTAAACAAAACCCGCCATATCCCGACAGATGTGGTAGCAGAATCGTCAACACGCAGCACATGCTTCCCGCCAGATCCTTAGGTAAGCCCCCAACTCAGCCCCTCGCCTTTACACAGTGTGACGTTGCAGCTTGATCCAATGAAGCCCCAGCAGCGCGTCGAGCACACCGAAGCGGTCTCCAGCAGGCGACGGGCGCTCTTCCCCTGCGACGACGACGGCGACTCGGATTTGGGGTGCATAAGTCCGCTGAACTTCGACGACGAGGGCCTTGGCAACGTAAAGGCGGCCTTGCTGGACGAGGACTATGATATTATCGGGGTGGTAGTCAAGGGGGACGCGCTGCAGACGCCGGTGAGCGCGGCCGCGGTCACCAAGGTGTTCACGCCGAGCGCGAGCGACGAGTCGCCCACACAGCGCCTAAAGACCCCTCACGACATTTCCGATAATACCAAGTTCCCGAAGCTGGTCCGCACCAAGCAGGTTGACACGGCCCTTACTCTGGATTGCAAAAATCCCAAAGTTCGCACGGCCCTGTTTCCTGAAATTGACATGTCTGTGCCTTCCAGAACGTTTTATCCCAAGGGTGACAGCGACGCGGCGCCGAGGGGGTTCGTGGCGGGAAGCAGGGCCAGCCCCAGGAAGGCGAAGAAGAAGCAGGGGCTGTATTTGTGCAGCAGGAAGAGTCGATACAGGTTAGTGGGTTTTGGTTAAAAAAAGTGGAAAGTGAATTTAGAACTGTGTTGTTACGAGGGGTATGTGTGTATAGCGGAAGTCCAAGCGTTAAAGTACACATGGCATTTGAAAAAGATGAACATCTTTGGTACTAGTAATTGTCAAATGAATCATAAAGAGTTTAAAATTGATCTATTACTACGTAAAAAAGGCACTAAAGTATTTTATTACAACTGTTTACATGTGAAATAATATTTTTTATAATATATTATCTTACGTAAAAATTTACATTCGACAAAGTATAGTTTGAATAAAAAAAACTTACTCAACTATGGATCTAATATAGTATATACAGGATGAATCACTAAGCACGCGCTCCTTAATTTCCGCATTAATTATTGGAAGTAGAAAAAAGTTGTATACTTCTTTGAAGACCATCTACATACTAAAATTATTTTCAATTATACAGAGTGTTCTGTTTTTAGGCCATAACACAACTTAATTTTTTCAAATTGAACACCTACATTTTATTATTATATAATCTTATTCTCTTTATTGTTCTCTTTTTCGTTAGGTATTTTCAAAGTTTAAAGTTGTTAGTTACTAAGATTTTTTTACTTTTTTAAGGGTCATCCCTACGTATTTGATAGAAAAAAAAGAGTAAAAAGCGGTTCTAAAATAAACAGTTCCATTAAAAAACTGAAATATCGATATTTGAAAATTGTAAAGTTTAATTTTTTTATAAACATTATACACGTTAAAATTGTTTTTAAAAAAATGGAGTAACGTACTAACGTCGTATCAGAATTTCAAAAATAAACTACGGTTATGAAGCCTAGGAAAGGCTAATAATATGTAAAATATATGGGTATTCTATTGAAAAAAAAGTGTGTGCTATCCCTCGAAAATAAAACACTTTGTATAGTCGAAAATATTATTGTATACATAGGTACTACTCAAAGAGCCGTACAACTTTATTCTCCGAATTCTTTTTCTCTCTCCCATAACAATAATAATTAATGAAGTATCAAAGACCACGCTGTATATAGTAAAAACATCAACCAAAATGTGTCTGATTATATCCCTCCCTCCAACAAATTGATGAGATCATCTCAAAGTGTTCTAAAGTAGTATGCTTCTGTATGTGTGGTTTTTACCGTGGAGGTCTAGGTTGAGAAAAAAAGCAAAATTGTAAAACATTTTACAATTATTTAACTTCAAAACTATGTAAGTTATCGTAAAACCAATTATTTTTTTTTATTTATCCGCTCCAAAATTTTCATTTCAAAATTTTGCTGTTTATTTTTTTGTTGTCTTTGTAGCTTCTTTGTGATTCTTTTTATGGCTTTTTTAAAGCATTTTTTTAACTCCCTTTCTCGTCTTTTTTTTTACTTTCTTTTTTATTTACTCGTTGACGCTTTTTTTAGTCCACCTTTTAATTCCTACGTTTTTATTTTTGTGGCGTTTTTGATCGCCCTTTTTTTTTCTTTTTTATTTTAGATGTCTTTGTCGCATTTTTACGTCCCTTTCTTGTTGGATCTTTTTTTCAACTGTTTTTAGTTGTTTTTTTGGTCGTTTTTTTTTTGGTCACGTTTTTGTTGATTTTTTAAACGCTTTTTTGCCGTCTTTTTTATTCCCTCTTTTTTTGTTGCATTATTGCTCTTTTTTTCTTCCTTTTTGCCTTTGTTGAATACCTTTTTATCGCTCTTGCAATGTTCGTGTTTTTTCGGACTCCTTTTTGCCCGCCTTTTTGGTCCCCTTTTTACTTCCTGGGCTAAGGAAGTGTTGTAATAGCGTCTATCCGACGAATAGCACTTTTGTGTTTTCTCGACGTTTCATGACCCCTACGAAAATGCGTCCGTGTGTCTTGTCAATTTTTATTAGGCAGGAAATCTCTGAAATTTTATGTCAATGGAATCACGTCATCTCCAAAATTTACAGTAGTAAATTTTATTTAAATTTTATAAAATAACATACTCATGCACTTGTGCTTTATGAATCCGTGTTGAGTTTTCACCCTAGATATCCTGATTTTTGGAAAAAAAAAATCAAAATCGCATAACAACATTTTTCAATTTAACTCTGAAACTGCAAAACCGAACGCTCTGAAATCTTGCAAACGTTTTAAGGCTATCGTAAGTATGCTAATTTATTATTTAAAATTGATGCGTTAATTAATCCCAAAACATTGATGACGTCATCTCAAAATTTTACCTATTAAATCTGAAATATGCAAAATATGACTTTTCTTGTGGTTTATCAATAGATTCATATTTTTTAGAAGTACTTATGCAGGGTGACTCAAAAGAATTCATAGACGTGTCAGTGTACTTTATTAATCAATTCGAAAACGACATTCTAAACATTTTGTCGAAAATTCGAATAAATGGTACTGTTACTTTAGTATTACACTACACCTATTCAAATTGATAGTGTCCTCACTAAAATATTGATGACGTCATCGCAATTTTACGAAACTCACTTAAAACATACGCATACCATGCTTTTGTACCTGTACTTAACAGTCCACATATGTATAACTTTCTTTAACTCGCAGAGGTTATTACAAAAAAATTAAATTCCTAAAATTGTATTTTATAATTTTTCCAAGAACCTGTAGGAACGAGGGAAGTTAAATAACTTTAAACCATTTTTTAGAGAACTTCTTTTGTTTTTTTTTCTTTTTGACGGTTTTTTGTCTACCTTTTTTCCCTTATATTTTTTTGTTTTTGTTTTGTATGGTGTTTTTTTTTCATTTTTTTTTTTCTCGATTTTTTTGTTGCTCATGTTAGATGTCTTTTTGTTGCGTTTATGGTTCCCTCTGTATTACTTGTTTTTTTACATTTTTCGGTCGTTTTTTTTGTCAGATTTTTTCCTTTTTTTGTTAGATTTTTTACTATTTTCTCTTTTTTTTTTTCGTCTTTTTTTTAAATAGTTTTTTTAATGGGTTTTTAAATGCTTTTTGGCACAAAAATTTATGGTCTCTTCTTACTCGTCCATCTTTTGGTCCCTTTTTATTACATTTTTTCCGCTTTTTTTCATTTTTAGTTTCTGAGCGTAAGCAAAGTTAAAATGTAATCGGGTCCGTTGGGCGACTCCCTACTTTTACGTTTTCTCGACCTTTCATGACCCCAAAAGTACGATGAAATAGGTGCCCCGTTTCCGTCTATCTGTCCCCACCAATAATGTGATGACATCGCTTCAAAATTGTACCTCGTAAATGGGTTTTAAATTGTATCAAATAACATAGTACCTACACATGTGGTTTATGCCTCCGTTTTGAGTGTTTATAAACAGCATTTTTTGCGCTGCCATAGTTGTAATTGACATTTTACGTTGACACGTAGCGTGTCGCAATGGCAATGAAAAAGGATCTAGTGTTGCAAAATACAAACGAGGAATTTAAGCTTTGAAAAAATTAATTGATTATCACAAAGTAATTACTACTAATTGATAATCATGTATCTAAAGTTATTATAACAAAAAATGGCTCGAAATTAAAAAAAAAAGTGCAATTTAAGTTGTAATCTTAAATAGGGGAATTTGTTGATCAAAATTTGGATTTGTAGTAATTTGACAGTTGACACTATTCGGTGGTTTGGTTTACGTTGTTGACAACTATTATGTTATTACTGTTTGTTAGTAGTTCTTGTTAATTAAAAAAACCGTTTAAACTTGACGTTATTCGCAACCTCACGCTGAATCAAAATCACAAGATTCTCTCTGATCTGGAGCCGTATATAAAAATGTTTCCACTGGTAAGTATTTCAAACTTCTTGGGCTTGTGTCATTCTGCCGCTTTAAAAACACTGTTAATTTATAAAATTTCGAATGATTTATGTTATGTTTGATGCCAAGAGTACTTTTCAGAACTGAATATATTGTCCACAGTGTGGGTGCTTTCATAATTTCCGACTTAATTTGGAAATGAACCAAGAGCGTCGTTTCAGAAAATTCGCGTTTTATTTTATTTTCTTCGCACCACTTGATGAATTTTTGATATTCGGCTTCATATGGATTTACGGATTTTGCAGGCAACAAATTTGCAATTGCTTTATCTGCAATTTTCTAAATACGTGCACGAATCAGCATTTCAACTTTGAAATTCAAAATCTAGCCAGGACAAATTGACAGATTGGTATTTGACGTATTTGGTGATAAATTCAATACCAACATAATTTTGGTTCAATAATATTTATTCTTTTAGCGATTGAAAAATGTTATTTTTTCAAAAAGGCAGCGCAAAAAAATATTGTATGTTACTCGTGTGAAAACTCCATTGCATTACTCACTTACATACAGCGCTCGACTGCGTCTCGCGCCGTATTACCGTTCGTAATGCAATGGACCGTTTTCAACACTTGTAACATAAATAACTAGTTCGAATGCTTTGCAGATGTTTTAAAGTTCTGATAAGCATGATCAATTTTTAATCAAAATATACTTACTTATCCCCTCCAAAAAATTGATGACATCAGTTCAAAATTTTGCCGAATAAATCTTATCAAAAATGCCCAAAGTATGATGAGTCTATACTTGTGATTTATCAGTGCATTCATATTTTTTGGATTTACTTATACAGGGTGACTCAAAAAATTAATGAATGCGTTATCAGGAACTGCAAAACGGAAGACTTTGAAATCTTGGAGATGTTTTAAAGTTATCACAAGCATGGTAAATTTTTGGTCAAGATGTATTTGCTCATCCCCCTAAAAAATTGATGACGTCACCTCAAAATATTGCGGAATAAATCCTATCATAAATGTGCAAAATATGATGAGTCTATACTTGTGATTTATCGCTGCATTAATATTTTTTAGATTTGCTAATACAGGGTGTCTCAAAAAAAAATGAATGCCTGAGTGAATTTATTTTATTGATTAAATCAATAATTGCAAACCTGAATACTTTGAAATCTTGCAGACGTTTTAATGTTATTGTAAGCATAGTAAATTGTTAATTAAAATATATCTACAATATAAAAAAATGAGAGAATGGGTGGGTGGGCGGGGTTAAGTTTAAATTTTTCCTACAGAATCTTTTATATGCAAATAATAGCTTGTCGCTTTTTTACTCTTTTCTTTTAGTCTCTTCTTTTTTCTTTTTCTTCACATTTTTTGTGTCTTTTTTGGCAAATTCTTTGATGTTTTTTTTAATATGTTGTTCTTGTTGCGTTTTTTTGTGTCTTTTTTGGCGAATTCTTTGATGTCTTTTTTTTTAATATGTTGTTGCGTTTTTTGTGTCGTTTTTGTGTTCTTGTTAAAAAGTGGTTTATTGTCGAAACTTACTTGAAACATACGCATAGCATACTACTTTACCTCACAATCCACACATCTTTATTTTAACTTACACGAGTTTTTCAAAAATAATAAAATTCGCAAAATCAGGTTTTATAATTTTTAGAAGACACTGGATGTCTTTGAGGGTACTTCAGGCAAGCAAATCCTGTCTAAATAACTAACTGGTCTAAACCAGTTTTTTTATTTCATTAAAAATGACGTAAAAATCTAACGTTTTTACTGAACAGGAGTAGATTAAACCGAAAGCTTTTTTTTTGAAAGAAACACAACTAAAACTTATCAAAATAATAATAATAACGTTCCGATTTCAAAAATTACAACGTTTAATAAATCTCGTAAATATGTAATTTTAACATGATGCAATTTTCAAGGTTAAAAATACTAATAAAAATTTCTGTAGATTGATGAATAAATAAATGTTAGGTGATGTTGTTTAATCACAAGAATTCTGAAATTCAGAAAGAATAAGAATTTTTGATTAGCCCTAAACCCAAATTTTGGAAAACCATCAATAAATTCAACCAAAAAGGTTTTTTTTCCTAAGAAAAAGTTTACTATAATGATGAAACTACCATTTATTCATATGATGTAAAATCATCTGGAGATTTCGTTGTGTAAAACTACAAAAACCTTTCTCCTGTAGATCCGGTCAGATCAACGCCGGCGTCCGCCACAAAATCAAGAAACGCAAAGTAAAAAAAATCAGCCGCATCGCGGCCCTCCAGGCCGCCATCAACATCATCCAGAACTCCCCCCTCAACACCATCCTCCCCGAACCCTCGCCGTCGCAGTCACCCCCTTCCCCTACCCCATCACCCTCACCGCCGCCCCGCGACCCCACGCCCAGCCCCGAGCCCGACCCCTCGAAGAAGTTCTTCAAGTCGTCGCGCCACAAGGGCGTCGTCACCGTCAACGCCAACATAAAGCTCGAAATGAACAACGGTCGCCTCACCTTGTTGTCCGGCAAGCAGCCCGTGAAGCGGGCCCGACCCCGCGACGACACCAACCCCTCCAAAAGGGCCAAGCTCGACTTCGACACCCAGCAGCCGCTCATCCCCGAGAAGGACATCTCCAGCATCATCCAGACGCTGGAGGACAACAAAGAGAACGAGAAGAACGACGTGCTGATGTCGCCCACGTCGCAGATGTGCAACATGACGTCCGGGCTGGCTCTGAACAGCCCGAAGAAGGCCCGGGATTTGAGCGCAGTGCTGGAGAGCATGCCGGGGAACAACGAGGGGCAAACAAAGCTGTTCCCGGTGTTTTACCCAGGCAGGACGGCGTTGCCTGCGAAAAGTGAGGGTAAAGTGGCTGCAGTGAGGAAGTTCAGGGGTCTTGGAAAGGACCAGATGCTGTTGGACGCCGGGCAGAAGCGCTGGGGGGTGACGCAGTGTTCCGAGTGCAAAATCGTGTACCACATGGGTGACCCAGGGGACGAAATCATGCATCTGAATTACCATAATGCCAGTCATTTTTTTAGGTTTAATGTAAGGTGGAGGAGAGTTTTGGATTGTGGGTGTGTTAATGTGGGTTTTGTAGGGTTGGAAGAACGAGAGGGTTGTTACGAGCGGTTTCCTGGATGGGAGGATTGTGCAGATTGTTCCCGGGGATCCCAAGATCTGGTGGAAAAAAGTTAAGGAAGTGATGGAGGTGATTAATCGGGATTTGGGCTACTACGACATTGAGTTCAATACAGCTAATTCACAGGTAAGTGTGAGTTGATGAGGATAAGTGTATGATAAAAGTGATCCCTATAATCTCGGTACCCAAATTGCAAAAATAGTAACACCGTACAATGACTAAAATAATAACCTAATTTTATTCTCTGAATTCGCAAATGCGTATTTTCGGTTTAATCCCACTCAAGGGCGACTTCCAAATTAGTTTTTATTTATAGAATAAAGTGATCCATTATGACTACCTACTGTCTGTGCCAAAAATTCTGCATTTATCATTTAATTTTATTGATACACGGGTAACCCCATTTATACATAGTAAAACAAAATTAAACGTTGTACTGGTGCAAGTCAAGAGAACAAATTTAAGATAACTGAACTATCTATCATATGCTGATTTAATACGACGTTTAAATTTATTTCTATTGCTAAAGAGATCTTCTTCGTCAATAAATTTATTGTATTGTTAATCTTGCCATCAGTTAAGTAACTCGACAGTCAGTTAAAAATTGTCAAAAAAAAGTCCATGTTATACACATGAAAAATTCATTAATTTGAACGAATAGAAAAACCAAAAAATTGTAAAACATTGGGAGATCGAGCAATCAAAAAGTTGAAACATCGATATATCGAGAAATTGAGGAACCAAAAAAAAATTGTAAAAATCGAAAAATTAAAATATCCGAAATGAGAAATCGAAAACTTGAAAAATCTAAGAATCGAAAAGTATAAAAAATTTTAAAATCAGATAATCAATATGTGAAGAAATTGCAATATTAAAAAATCATAAAATCGAAAAATTGAAAAATCTAAAATTTAAAAATTTGGTCGAAAGCTGTTTAGACAGAACTTCCCTCGCACCCAAAGAATACTGAAACATATTCAGCATTTTGAGTTGAGTTTTTACTTTACAGAATTTTGTGATGATGACGTCGTCAACATTTTTGCAAGGACACGTATATCAACTTGGATTGGTGCACTGTAATAATAAAAATAACAGTAATGTGTTCCCAACATTTTTTGGGAAAATGGAGTGAGCCGTTCCTGATTTAATGAATAAAATAAATTGGCACATTCATAAATTTTTTTGAGCCACCTGTATAAGCAAAGCTAAAAAATATGAATGCAATGATAAATCAGAAGTAAAAACTCGTCATATTTTGCAAATTTCGGGTAGACTTAGGAATTTAACTCGGTACTATAGAAATTTGCAATTTATCACCATTAAATTTCACAAGTTTTTACAAATTTAATGGGGTCAAAATCAGTTTTATCTTAACAAATACTAGGACCGCCCACCCGCCCCCTATTTTCCTAGAGGATATGTCGTTTGCCGAAATCAGTCTTATCTTACCAAGTACGAGCTCCGCCCACCCGCCCCCTATTTTCTCAGACGATATGTCATTTGCCAAAATAAGACTTATGTTAGCAAGTTCTAGCCCCGCCCACCCGCCCATTTATTTTCTTAGTACTTACTAAGATAAGTCTTATTTTGGCAAATGACATATCCTCTGAGAAAACAGGGGCGGGTGGGCGGGGCTAGTACTTGCTCAGATAAGACTGATTTTGGCAAACGCCATACCCTCTGAGAAAATAGGGGGCGGGTGGGCGGGGCTACCACTTGCTAAGATAAGATTGATTTTCCCCCTATTGTCCTATTGAACTTGTAAAATTTAAAAGGTGTTAAATTGCATATTTCCATAGTAACCAGTTAAATTTCTAAATTTGTTTGGATATTTGTTTTTTAACAACTCAGTCATTAATTTTTCTGAGACACCCTGTATAAGCGAATATTAATTATATATTAAAAATAAATCATAAGTGTTGACTCATCATATTTTACACATTTAAGATATATTCATCAATATTTTGAGGTGACGTCATAATTTTGGGGGGGGGGGGGGGGGGTGAGCAAATACATTTTGATCAAAAATTTACCATGCTTATGATAACTTTAAAACATCTCCAAGATTTCAAACGATTAGGTTTTGCAGTTCCTGATTAAATTAATAAAATAAATTCACGCATTCATTAATTTATTTTTGAGTCACCCTGTTTAAGCATATTTTGCACATTTTAGATAAGATTTATCCGGTAAAATGTTGAGGATAATCAAATATACTTTGATTTAAAATGTGTTATGCTTACCATAAGTTTAAAACATCTGCAAGATTTCAAAGCATTCAGTTTGGCAGATTCAAAAATAAATTGCTAAATGTTTTTATAATTGTGATTTTTTCCAAAAATCTAGACGTTTTGGTTAAAAAGTCAACACGGAGTCATAGACTACATGTGTAGGACTATGTTATTTTATACAATTTAAAACCGATTTACTATGAACAATATTGAAGTGACGTCATCACGTGATTGGTGGGGATGATTTGACAAATTTTGGTTAGCATTTTAAAATCTACATGATATATGCTAATATAAATACAAAAAATCGGCCCAAGACTTTCGGAGATTTTCTGCCTAATCAAAATCAGGACGGCAGACAGACAGACGGAAACGGGAGACCTATTTCTCGACGACCGAGGGAATCGATTACAATACTTCCTTCGCTAACGCTCGGGAAGTAAAAATCAAAAATTTAAAAATTAAAATATCGAAAATCTAAAAATGGAGAAATTGGAACATCAAAAAAATCGAAAAACCATGAAATCGAGATATTCAAAAACTGAAACATCGAGAAATCGAAGTATCAAAAGTTCGAGAAATCGAGAAATGGAAAAGTCGAGAACTCAAAAAATCGAATAGTTAAAAACTGAAAAATTGAAAAATCGAAAAAACCAAAACCGGGAAGTCGAAAAATGGAAAGACAGAAATTAAAACATCAAAAAACTGAAAAATAAAAAAAAAATCAAGAAATGGAAACATCAAAAAATTGAAAAATCTAAAGTTTAAAAAGGAAAAAAAACCCAAAACTGAAACGTTAAAAAATCGAAAAATTAAATAATTGAAAAACCGAAACACTGGAAAGTCGGGAAATTGAGAAATAGGAAAATTAAAAAACCGTTTAATTCAACAAATTGAGAAATCGAAAAAAAGAAAATTTATAAACGTCAAACATTAAAAAATCGTAAACTGAAACATTGGAAAATTGGGAAATCAAAATATGAAGAAATGAAAATATCAAAAAATTGAGAAATCAAGAGTTCCAAAATCTCAAAGTCGAAAAATTGGAAAATTGAGAAATCGCAAAATTCTTCTACAATTTTGAGTTTCTTTCCAAAAATGTAGATGTCTAGGATAAAAATTCATAACGGATTTATAAACCACATTTAAATAACATTTATTCGATAAACTATGAGATGACATGGAGGCCATAAACGGATAAACGTTTGCAAGATTTCAAGGCATTTGATTTGGAAGTTAAATTATAAAATGTTTTACAATTATGATCTTTTGATCTTTTTTTTTTTCAAAAATCGTGATATTTAAGATAAAAACTCAACACGGATTCTTAAATCACACTTGTATATAAGGGGGCATAAACGAAAAACTTTTGATTAACGATTTACCATCCTTACGATAATCTTAAAACATTTGCAAGATTTCAGAACATTCGATTTAAATTGCAAAATGTTGTTATATAATGTTTTGATGTTTTTTTAAAAAATTTGGATGTCTCGGGTAAAAACTCGACACAGATTCATAAACCACATGTGCAAGAATATCCTATTTTATACAATTTAAATAACATTTACTAATGTAAATTTTACACATGACGTCATCTTATTGTTGGTGGGGATGACTAGCTAAATTTTGGTTGGCGTTTTATGTACACCATATTCGTAATTTACATATAAAATTTGACAATAATCGATCCATCTGTCTAATAAAAAAAACCGGACAGACGAGAGACAAACGGACGGAAACAGGAGACCTATTTTTTCGTACTATAGGGGTTATGAAACGTCGATAAAAATTAAAAGTGGCCAGTCGTCCAGTGGACTCGATTTCAATACTTGCTTAATTTACGCTCAGGAAATACAAATTGAAAAGATACCATTAATATTTATAATAAATAATTATATAATTATTATTAAACGCCAATTTATGATTTACGTGTCATTTATGTACAAAATAAATATTAGTGTTCCACAATTTGACCCATGAGGAACACCAAAAACCACAGGACTGAAGATCACAAACATTTGTTATTTAATTATTTTCCAGATATTCTTCTACATCAAAAATAAAACCATAATCGGCGCTCTGGTAGCCGAGGCGAAAACTTCCGCCCACAAACTCCTCACGACCCATCAGGACCAAGTGGACCTGTGTTCCGAGGAATCTTACCCCATCAAATGCGGCGTCTCCCGCATCTGGGTGGCCCAAAACCAACGCAAAAAAGGCGTCGCCAGCACCTTGATGGACTCCCTCAAACGAAACTTCATTTTCGGGTATATTTTAAAAAATGAAGACGTAGCGTTCAGCTCTCCTACCGAAATGGGGAAGCTATTTGGACAGAGTTATTTCAAAACTCCAAATTTTTTCATTTACTTTGTATAATTAATTTGCCATATATTTTTATTCCTTGTTGCGTGTATTTTTGATACTTTAATAAATATAATTTTACAGAATTCGTGAAAATTTAACAACGTATAGATGCTCCCCGCGGAGCTTCCGCTCCAAGATAACGTCACTCTTAAAATTATTTTCATTCATAAAACGCTGGATTTCTTGTATATTGTTCTCTTTTAAAAGCACCATATAGCACACACCCTTCTCACTCAAGAGCAGATCTAGAGTGGAAAGCACCTTATCAGTAACTTGACGTCCATGAAAACCCCCAGCCCATGCTCTATTCAATCCATTTCCAACGACTTCACACGGATCCGTAACGACATAAGGCGGGTTAAATAACAATACATCAAATAAACGATTTCGAAAAGCCCCTAACAAGTCCATATTAACACAATCCACTTTTCTCCCATTTAAAACGGCAGTCTCGGCAGTTGCTTGGCACGCCTCTGGGTTAATATCAGTTGCAAAACAAGCGCAAGCTAAAAAAGAAGCCAAAGCTGTGATCACAACGCCACTTCCTGATCCGATTTCGACAGCAAACTCCACCCCCAGATTTTTCAAAAATGGCATTTCTTTCTCCAGCGCGTCGAGGAACAGGAACGTGTCTTCGCTGGGCTCGTAGACCTCCTCTCGTCCTTTTAAATTGTAGCGTGGAGTTTCTAGCATTATGGCGATTGATCCTCAATAGTATTATTCAAGATAATCTTCCGTTTTACTGTTTCTTTCTCAATGGAAGCGTGCACTTTGTTCAGCCTGTCTTGCACGTTCTGCAAGATGTTGGATAAAACTGTTACGCGCTGTTTGGCATTAATCAACTTCTTAACGTAGACGTCGAGATCGACGGTTGATTGTTGGTTGTCGTTGATTTTTTTGAGCTCTTCGTGAAGGGATTCAATGCACTGTTTGAGCTCAAGCTGCGAAATTCTGAAACAAATTCGTCTTTTGAAATTTTGTAATGTTGCATTATTTAAGATGAAAGGATTAAATAAATGTTTAGTTGCTGGTACAATGATTAAAACATGACATTAGGAGATTAATTAGCACAATAGAACAAAGGAGTTTTCATGGTAAGATACCTTGTTGCACGCACTCGTTCGTCAAGCTGGTCCACCGTGGGCTTGATCAGCCCCATAAGACCCTCCGCTAGCGTGTCTCGCGTGGGGTTATCGCAGAAATTCTCGGTATTTTCGTCGATTGAAGTCGCTGTACTTTCTGTGTCCACGTCCATCTTAACCTCACTTTACTGACAAGTGACAAGTGAAAACAGAAGCGACAAGTGACAGATGACAGGTGACAACTTTAAATAAATTAAAAATTCACTGATTGTAAAATTGTCTGTTATTTATTTGATGTGGCTATTGTCACTGCGGCGGCTTTATCTTGCTACTATCGTCAACGATCTTCATTTTTGATGGTTCAATATGCAGCTGCCTCTTGATATTTTGAGTTTTCTAAAATTTATTGCCAACTTTGTTCAGTATAAATCATCCCACAACTACAGTCATGTTTTCGCTTTTTTCTTACTTGTTGTTATTTACCTCGTGTTGTTGCGGCGTTAGATCGTTGTTTGAATTTCCCCCCCGCTTCACTTGCCGGCGGCGGTGCAGATGTCGCCACCGCCGCCAGTTGTCACTAGTAAGTCAAAATGGCTGCCAGCGATGAAGAGCCTATGCATCATTTGTACGAAGTTTTTACCAATTGTTTCAATAAAATCGCCAACAAAGCCCCAGGTGAGTCGCTTTTCCAGTAACTGCCGCCCCCGCGAACGCCTCCCGAGCGTCGTGGGGGCCGTGCGCGCCCGCTTTCAGCCCGAAATATCCCCCCAGTTCTACGCGTGCGATTCAAAACATTAAAACAGCTTGTTTAAAAGCCCTAAAATCGGGCCGTAAGGGCCGTTGGTCACTAAAATCGGGCCCGAGGGGTTCGTGCGAACCCGAATATGCGAGACCTACGCCAATTTCGACACTCTGGAGCGATTTCCACCGCGGTGTTGTCATTGTGTTGAGAGTGGTTTATTTACGTTCGGAGCCCTTCGGAGGTGGCAGAAGGTGAATATCAGTGGTTGTGTGCGTGGGGCTTCTTGCCCGGGGGCGGTGCAACAGGGTGTCTCGCGTTCGAATAGTTTTTGTTTGAGGGTGGCAGTATTGTCGCGGAAAGTTATCAAGTAGGCGAGAAAATGTCACTTTGATGTCAGTTTTGGGAATTGACAAGTTGACAAGTCAGGTTATAAAATACAACGGGGGGGAATCGGGGGTGGTTTTTTTTTTGGAATAGGTTTAGGTTTTTTGTTGTTTTTGACACGTGACTCCGTGGAGGGCCTTATCACGTGGAGCACCTCGCCTTCGGCTCGTCAAGTGGGTAGCTTGCCCCTTCGCAGGATCACCCGGCCCAGAGCCCCCGGCCAATATGGGTCATATTCACATTAATTGCTCTTACGAATTGGTCCCTACGACATGAACAGTTAGAGTTCATTATCCTTGCGTTAAAATGCTCGTGTGTGTATCTTCTTTCGTTCTTGTTTACGCCTAATGTCTTGCTGTTATTTCCAACAGGTAAAGTGAGACGACTACATCAAACGTGGCCGCGTTTTCAGATAGTTCGTTATACTACAAAACATCTGCTTTTGGTATTCAACCGTCTTTTACAAGACATCACAATTTTGCCTCTTATTACCTAATGAATTAGAGTTTTTCGTCTCGTTCTCGTTTAATTTATTGAAGTTTTTTCACTCGAGATTCGGTTCCAATAAATTATCGCGATCGTAAAAAAGAAAAGCTCCTCCGAATAAAGGCAACGGATAAAGTGGCGTTAGCCGTTATGGTCATTGATGGTAGTAGTGTTGCGTAATTTATTTGATCGATTTTTGAGTGGCGAAAAGGTCCTGTTAGGAGTCGGGAGCGATTCACGATTAATGGCTTTTACAGCGAAGATAGATCTGAAAAACCGTTACATTGTTGCAATAAATGAGACCTTTAAACTGTTTGTTATTTTACTTGTGATTTATTACCGTTTCTAGTTTTTTCGGGTTGAACAGTTGGATTAAAATTTTGCTCCTGTTCCGTTCAACTACTAATCAAAGCTTTCAACGAACTGTTCATACGCATATACGAAACATTGTTTTTTTATGCAAATTCGGTTTATTCCGTTTTCTTCAGGTTCCGACATATGGTGTGAACGAATTTTTGACACTTTGAAGAGAACTGTGCTACCAGATTTCATTATTTGTCTTGCACGACCCACTATTTTTTATTTTTCTTTGAACAACGTTATTTCGATTAAGATTGCGACTGTAACCGATCCTGCGCAAGCTGTCAATTTATATTTATTTATTAATTTTTTACACTTTCTGTTGACTTTTCGCTGTTTCGACCTCAAAATACAGCAGTTTTGGTTACAAATATGAGATGATCATTTAAATTTGGCGTCGGAGAAGGCCACAATAAAAAATGCTTTGTGTCAATTACGCTGTTTTAGATAAGTTATGGATGTTAAACGTCACGGCCACGGTTTAAAAGTCACACCAACCAAACGACGGTTTAAGCGGGCAATCGGGCGACTTTTTTGATTCCGCGCAAATGATGTAGTTAGTGTCTTACTTCATGTCTATTTTTAAATTTTTGTTTTGACTTTTATGGCAATTTCGTGTGATGGATTTAACGGACACCGGAAATAACTTTGTAAGACGTTCATTGTTATCATGTGCCAGATTCAAGTTAGCATTTACGATTCCCTAAATTTTTCACAGTTTTTGATTTGCACATTTCAAAATTGTAAGTCGACAATTTTATCGTACGAAATTTATAAAAGACAAAATCGTGAAAATTATGATCGAAAAATCGCAGCAATATTGTGATATACGAAATCAGTTGGTGCTCATACAAAAGCTTAACGGTTTTTGATTGTGATTGAGATATAAATATCCAGACAACTATTCAAGATTAAATGTAGGTTTAATGAAGAGAAAATGTTTAAAAGTGCTATTTAAATAAAAAATGATGTCATAACTCAAAGTGTCGAATTAATCCAAAGTAATTCCTCGAGAGAATGGAAAATTTTGTGTTGTTTTAATTTTTGATCCTCTGTAGGTGACAAACAAATTCATATTTATGACAGTTATTTATGCGTCCATGGTTATACAAGTAATTTTGACCCGAGGCGAAGCCGTGATCTGCAACTACTGGCACGCAAATTATTGCAAGTGATAAGTAGACAATGGATGTGAATAATTTTTCCATTTAATAGTTTTACTGCATGATGCTGAAAGTGATATTAATGAAAATTTCTTATCTTACAAAAGATAACAGATAAAAATGGATTGGGACCTTACTCTTCAAAGTATTTTTTCTTGATTAAGCGACATTGGAATTTTGAATATATTTAGATCGACTGGATTAACAGAGTAGATGCTTTTTTCGAACTCTTGAATGTTAACAGGACACGCTGTACTTGTGGGAAAATCTTTCTTGGATGTTGTTCTACTCATATTTCGGCTTACGCAAGCTCCATTTATAGTTATTTTAATCAGAAAACTCGCAGAATCTGCTTGTCGGTTGTGCATTTTTCCTATTAAGATTAAATTTCTCTTTAAACAGAAACAATTACTAATGAGCTAACTACGCCGTGCCATTTTTTGTGAAACGAGCAATGCAGAAGAAATTCACACTGACAACTTTCTGTTTCTGGGCTTGTAATTTAATCACTTAACACAGAAGGGATATCAAAAACTGCTTTTTTGTTTTTGTTAACGTTTTTAATGGCCCCATTTTTCTTGTTGACTCTATCGACAAAGTTGTTTTGGAGTAACCTATTTTTTAATCATAAACGATTATTTTTACAATTTTTAAATCCCATTGGCACTGTAAACTGCTCTAATGCTTCCTTCGTACTATTTTTAGGATGGCACTTTACATTGATAGAAGTGATTTAATGAGTCACAGCACTCTTGATGTGAAAATAAATTTAGTTTCTAAAAATTTTATAAATCTTGAATGTGTTCGAGTGCGTTAATTAAGAACGAAAAATATTGCCATAATTTCTCGATCCGCTTTGATGTCAGAGGATCACGTGTAGATAAATGGGATAGGTTAGTTCACTCTACGACTTTTTGACGCAAATTCGATTTATATGAATGAGTAACCCACAGGAAATACTTGTGCAGTGTATTTTTATCTGCTTTTTTTACTTTTTTTGTCGTTAAACCTAAAATATTACTAAAACAACAGCAGCATAAGTTAACATAATTCATGTCTGTGTTGTCTTTTTGATTGTCTGAAATAACTGTTCCTAGTTGTATTCGCAAAATAGAAATCTATCTAAAGCTGTGTAAACAGAACTTCCCCTGAAATGCAATAAACAATTCCAAAAGTTGATTCTGTAAATTCCGAATCTATATTAAAATGAGAAATAGAGCGGTTTAAAAACCAATATTTTTGTACAATTTTGAATTTTACCCCAAGAATACAGATGTTCCTAGTTGTATTCACAAAATAGAAATCTATCTAAAGTTGTGTAAACAGAACTTCCCCTGAAATGCAATAAACAATTCCAAAAGTTGTTTCTGTAAATTCCGAATCTATATTAAAATGAGAAATAGAGCGGTTTAAAAAGCAATATTTTTGTACAATTTTGAATTTTGCCTCAAGAATACAGATGTCTAAGATAATATACCGAGTGATCAGAAATGACTGAGTCTGTTGGCAACCCTGGATTTTTAGTTGAAATTGGCACCATGATGTTTTCTATAGTTTCCGGTTGTCAGTTGTCAGATTGACAGATTGTTGAAATTTATAATTTTCAAAATGTATCCAAAACATGACCTAAATTTATCACATATCACGATTGACATATCTGTCACACAATTATTATTATTATTTTAGAAGCATACTATTTCATCAAATTTAAATAGAGATAACTCAACAGAATTTTGAGATAATGTAATCAAATCGACTCTGCGCGTCCGGGGTTCTAATTTGCGCTCGGTCTAGAATGAGTGTATTCACAACCTTGGTTAATAATATACTATTATCAATGCATGCTTAACTTTGACTATTCATATTTGTACATTGAAAGAGTTCGACGATTAAACACATATAAAATTCCGAGGAAAATTTTGGCAGGGACACGTATGTCAATTCAGTACTCTCAAATTGTCAAGAAAATTGGATGTACCGTTGGTTTGACCAATAAAAAAAACGAAACACCGCGGGGAATCGAACTCAGGACAGTTCATGTGCGAAGCAGAACGTCTGCCTACAAGTCCATTAATCA